TCACATCACCATGGTAGCAGTGCTCAAGACGGGGTGCCTGCCGAGACAGGTGAGCGGCCGAGTGTGTGCACAGTCGGCCGCGCAGTGGATGTGGGAATGGTCACAACTGGACGTGTTTGCGCTGGCGTTGTTCATCACTTTATTCGTCTTCAACGCCTTCAGTCTCCTTCGAGCCGTTGCCCCTTGGGGTTTCTACTGCGTCCTTATGGCGGCTATGAGTGGCTTCGAGTTGGCTAAGCATGACTTACCTCCGATGCTGAGAATGGCACAACATGACCTAGTCGAGATGGACGAGATCGTCTGTGAAGAGGAAGGGGAGGAGGAGGAAGAGCAGCAGCAGCAGACTGTTGTCGAGCCCGGCGTCATAAAGCACAGACGAGAGCACTCAGGAAGCAGCTCATTCTCAGAGGAGCGTCTCCGCTCTCGGGTGGACTCGGTTGCAAGCACAGTAACGATCGCCAAGTCACGACGTCTTGGTAACTGCTGTCGTGGACTTGTACGGATAGTCCAGAAATTAGGATTGCCGTTTTTCGTGCTCAAGGCGATTGGCTGGATTATATTCTTCGTCATTTGGTGGGTGAACTCTGGCAATGCCAGACTGGATCTAGCAGGAGTGAACGAGACTCTTCTCGAGAACGCCCCATTGGTAACTAGTGGCCTTCGGGACTTCTTGCCAGATATGGTGGGACAGTGTCCGCCAGAGCTTCCACGTCCCGACATATGCAGAGACATTGGACCGCTGTATCACGATAAATGTAAGTGTCTATTGCCCTTCATTTGGAGAAGAATGGATGAGTCTGGCTTTCAGCGACCGTTATGGAGGTTTTGTCCAGATGGCTGTCCGGTCTCCGCAGCGTTAGTGTGGAGGAGCTGAGCTTGGGGGTGCCACGTGAAAGCGAGTTGGAGATGTCGATTGCGGGCTCATTCGATGAGCTCAGCATGTCACTCTACATCGGACAGTGTATAACTCCGGACAACCTCTTCCGAAGCACTAACGACACAATGGAGACCAACGACGGGGACGGAACCAAGAAGAAGTTCGGGAAGCCAATATGCTCAGCGCTGTGGGATAAAGTGTATTCCTGGAAACAGGTGACACGCCGTATGGGAAGAGCAGCTCTGAACTCGTCAATTTTTTGTGTTACCACAACTGCAACATATCGTGTGATGAGTCCACACCAAGTGGCCAAGCTTCGTATTGGCGTCTGCCGTAGTGGAACTCGGATTGAAGCGCTCTAATTTCCTTGGCACACTTGTGTGTCATTAATTACTATCAACCGGGAAGACGTTAGTCATTGGGCTTGTTGTCAGGTTGGCTGGGGTCTGATCATATCTGCCTCTTGCAATGAGGAGTGGCCTTATGTGAGGAACATCGCGATCAAGGACGTCACTCTGGATCAGAATCTCAAGATTTCTGAACAACTCGTGTTTGGTATCACGGTATGGCTCGGTCGGCTCATGCTGGGCGGAAATGGCAGTCTGGGTTCAGATTAACGTTGACGATCTCACGACGAGGTTCCGAGATGGATTTCAGAAAGCACTGATGCCGTACATTGTCAGCAAGTGAGGACAGCAAAGCGGTATCGTCGTCTTATCTCATCTACAGGTCGCCGTGGATACGATGGGGCGCAGATGAATACGACATGACAGAGTTGCTTAATCAGTTGGTGAGCCTTAATACTAATGCCGGTTCGGGTGCTGATATGCACGATATGTTCAACTTGGGCCATCATAACAGCACTTCCCGAATACGTTGTCCTCGGCCTGGAAATCTCCTGCGGAGCCCCAGAGGGCCGCGGTCAAAGCGCCGATTGAACTGACGATTGCTCCTTTGTTTGATTCATTGGAATACATAATATACTGTACATTTGTCGGGTAGGCTTCTATTCACATTAGCACAACCGTAATATTGCTCGTACCATTTACCAACTGCGTTTGGACGTTTAAGCTCAAGAGATGCATGGTGTTGGTCAATCACCTATTTATCCGTTCTTGGTGGCAGTGGGCAATAGTTATGGTCCGCCCTGAACCTGGGGAAGGGTCCAGTGAGTGTGGATCAACATCGGAAGAGCGGCATCATCGAAGAGCCATGTTACTGGCAACTCAGTATCACACAATTGTGTCGTCGTCGTCATCGAGGATCGGCACTGTCTTCAGGGCAGTAGCATCAGTATCCAGCCTGACGTGGAGGACTAGGACAGATCGTACGACAGTTGAGGACTTTGAGCGCGAATTAGCTCTTGGGTCATCCAAGGTGGTATTGACGCTGTAGATATTCTCCGCCTCCTTTGTGACTACAACGACAGGTAGACTATCTGTCGGCCCTGGAACGTGAAGATTGCCAGCGAAATGTTCAAGAGCTCAGATGTGTTCGTCGAGCAATGGAGTGGCTCAAGGAAGAGTCGAAGCCCATACAGCTACCCGTGACTGGTACCGTAGGGTTCACAGCGTCGATGACTACTACCGATGGTGAACGAAGTGTTTCACAGATGACTTCAGCCATCTCTGTGTCTTCGAATTCGAGCCGAGCCATCCGGAGCATGATTTCACTGATTGCTGTGTGAAGCCTCATTCCCCCGAATTCGAAGAGTGTATAAGGCTCTTCCACTCACACAAGGATGAACCGACGCTTGTTGGTTTACTTTGTAAAGTCGGAGGTGTAGCTTGTGAGGGAAATCGATCCATCACATGAGCTCAGGTTCTTGCTAAGTGGTGTAAGGTGCCTGTGGTCACAGAGACAGGGAAGCTCCAGTCCTTTATCAAGTACGTATACAATTGTTGACGATGTTTGCATCCACCACAGGAATGAGGATCTATGTGATGCTGTATCGGCCGTTGGTGTTACTGCTCGGGCTTTCTCAATCCTTGCAAACCACGATAATGACAAAGTGAGCGCCTTCAATGGTTGCTTTCTCTCATGCCTTCATGGTTTCTCTTTCGGAATCCGACTACGGTTTACGTGCAGGTGTTCGGTGCTTTCCGCAACATTGAGCGGAGCGAAGTCGTTATTATTGGATGTTTGGACTTGCTCACCTCTGTTTCTCCTGAGCTCTTGCTTCGAATAGCCTGGCTGGAGCTGGACGGTGTCGATCGTCGGTCACACGTGAGGGTCCTTTGTGAGATCATATTCACAGTACTCTTACGTATTACCTTCAGGTTGATGGAGTCCCCTCAACTTCGATCTTTTGTCGCTGTATAATGATGCTCACTGAACTTTTAAAGAATGGGCCTCAGGCAGAGTGTGATCCTGACCTTAGGTAGCAGCATCCTATTCGAACGTGCGAGAGTCTGAGGTCTCTTGGTGATTCTCAGGTGTAGCGTGAGAGAGCTCGTGGCCGCTGTCTTGGCTTCCCCCGACACCCTTTGGGCGCAGGATGATGGGAAGCTGATGAAAGTCAGTACAGTCCTCGATTTCTCACGGCAACTTTCCGACCTATCGCCACCTTCCCATCAGGTCGGTCTAGCTCTCCTACAAAATGAACTCAAAAGAACCAAAATGGTTTAGTTTGCTAATTATTGATTCCTCCTTCCGTGTACTGTATTTTGTTGTTGACTTACCCTTTTCCTGTCGTGTCCAAAGTCTTACTAATATGAACACCTACTCGTAGCGTTCAAGATCTGCCCGAAATTCCTATTATTTCCTATCGGACCCCCCGTCCAAATTACTGCATTGATGTTTTAAGCTGTTTTTCTTTCTCGTCGGCTTTTCGATCGAATTGTGCCGTGCTTTCCTCGAACCTGGGTGAGTCGCCGGGGACCCAGTCGACCTCAAGGTGGCTTCAACGGAGTCGTAGAGCCGTCCTTGACGATAGCGCAGTTCCTCTTCAATGAGTGCGAGCGTAGTCGTTCCTCGCTGCAAAAGCAGTGGTTGCGTAGGAAGCACATACTGTCAGTGTCAGTACGGGACTATATACACATGGTCAACTACATGTGTTGCGAGGAATATGGAACTCGTGAGGAAATCATGGGAAATTACCGCTGGTTTTTGTACACTTCTACCAAGAATCGTGTGAATTTTCATAATATAGTGAAGACTCCTGAGGAAACTCACGAGCCCAGTTGAGGAGACCAAATATATCTTCCCACACTGACCAGTGTGACTCAAAAAACGTGGAGGGTTCGTAGCTCTGCACCTCTGAGACTCCTCTGCCGTTCATGCTCGAAGTCGGGTAAACGCCCAACACGTTGGCTCGTCGCATATATCCAGGGTAGACTCTCCCCCGGTCCACAAACGCTCGAGATATCACACCTTTGCTGAGTCGAGTGTCGATCTGCTCGGCAGAGAGTCAGCTACCTGCACCCTGTGTCCAGAGCGTTAACAAGCGCGCGCTCGGAGAGAGCTTATCGATCAGATAAACTCTCACGTAAACTGATACGGGATCTTCTAACCTGGCAATACCGTAGTCCGAAATTATTCGAAGCCAGGCAGTGGTGAGGGTGCACAGTGAGCTAATGAGACTAGTAGTTGAGACCGAACTCGAACTGGCTCTTACAGTGAATGGGACTCAGGTGAATACAGCGAACGGCGACTAAAGCTGTATCCTTACGATCGAGTTCTATCAGGAAGTCATTTCTTAGTACGTACCAACACAAGAACAGACTCTTATATCCGGACAGGAACATCACTTCACAGCAGTCATTGACCGTGTACAGGCGTGTGTGATTGGAGGAGGGTCCACTCGGGATTTCACTTCTAAACCCTTTTGTCCCTAGGAGGCCTCGCCCAGATAGACACATCATGTACACCTTTGCTATAAGGCATATTGCGAGGCACAGTTTCCGAGCTTGGCGTTGTGAGCCACATAAGCAGTTTTTTGACGATAGATTGTTCACGTTTGGGTCGGACGATCGGTCGAGGGAATACACTCTCGATGGCATCAATATATTCACCATAACGGAGAAGTTGAGAGTCGCAGACTGTCTCTAGCATAGCCGCTAGCTCTGGGCCGCCCCGCTCCACAGAACCTCCAACTCTAGCGGCTCGTTCAATCTCTTGTAATCGGCTAACGTTCATCTTGAAATGCAAGTCACTGAGGGGAAATAGAAGTTACAACTCGGTAGTTCACATCCACTCTCGACAGAGAGTGAGTTCAGGTGAGGAGAATAGAGCAGGATCGGATATCTCACGGAATACGGTCCTTGCCAAAACTCATGGAAAAGGACTCAATTTTGAAGCCTCTTTCTGGCTTCTCCATCCCGAGGTCGACCGTCAAGAGCCATGTTACCTGAAGCAGTAGTACGCAGACTATTAGAAGATCTTTCTAAATTCACCTACTGTTTCATTCCGACTGATAGGGATCTGCACTAGATCAGAAGCTGTGCATGCATTGGACGCCTGTCTTCGACTATGGGATTTCCTTCTGAGAGCTTTTCCGATTTCCTCAAGGTCGGCGTCTTCATCGGTGCTTTCCGGAAACAGTGAGTAAGCATACTTCAACACTTCCTTCGAGAAGAAAGCCTCGAAAGAATAGCTATGCCTGGCCATGTTACGATAACTCTTGGTAGCGAGCAAGCACTCCTGTTACTTTCCAGGGAGTCGCGTATGTAGTACAGCGTAGGAAATATCTTCGCCATCGTAACCAATCTCGCACTAGAGAGGAAATCATTCGAGGTAGACATATGTTACTATTCTTGGAGAAGCATCCTACCTCGAGCTCTTTTCCACTGTCGGTCTTCTGTACCCACTGAGTTGGCTGGATCTGCGAGTGAACGAGATGTCCACTACTACCGTATGAGAAACATTCCCGATGTTGTGTCTACCCACCGCGTTTGCTAATGACACTAATAAGCGCACATCATCTTTAGAGCATTCTCGTTCAGTGGCAAGTCTGATAGCGGATAGTTCGGTCGAAATCGATTACCTGGCTGACATAGGCAGTGGAATTCGCATCCATAAATCTGACTTTCTTGTTTATCCGAACTGCTGCTCCCAGAATTTTCGGCAGCTTCAACAGGAGGAGTGATACCACCAGGAGTAGAGAAGTCGATTTGATCATAGAAAGTAATTCCTACTCAGTCGACGACAGACACTCCTCCCTAGATCTCGGGAGATAGCTGCTGGAGTGATAGTCCGATCTTCCTGATTAGCTTGGGGAGATTAGTGTATGGCAGAAGACTCAAGGGGTGAACACCCAGTGAGTTGAAGAGCTCAATTCACGTTCGACAACATCAACAACCAAAACATCAACATGCGATGAAGTCATATCCCTACCGTGGGAGTCCTGCACAATATCTGTAAAATGGAATGAATTTGAAATGGGTGGATTTGATATTCGATGCTAAGACGAGACTATTGGGCTGCTTCGTCGCTCCTTTTTTGGGTCGAAGGAGTTCTGGCTACGATCGTTAGCTGATGATGCGGTTTCAAGTGCTTGTCGCTTGTTGGCTCATACTGTAAGTCTTCTGGTGCCGTCTTGAAACTGCCTCCGAGGAGCCATACAACAATCCCCTTCAGATCGAGCGCACTCGTTTCGGATAAGCTCGCGACATACTCCCGGATTTGTTGCCTACACACCTTCGTGAGATATTCCCTGGTTAAGTTCGCTCCAGACTCGGGGAGTATAGTTCTGGCGCGCTCCTCTAACTGCCGCAATCGACCCATATTGAAATTGAGTGATAGTTTTCTGAGATAAAGCAGTTGAAGCTATGGTTAGAGAAAGCCCCTATCTAGCGTGCTATGAATGAAAATGTGCGCAATCACAGGATGAGTTCGCCGATTCGGCGTTCACTAGGAGGAACATTCTCGAATTTACTCTAACAATGATTAGCTTATCGAAGGGCATGCCTATCGATCAGAAGTTGCACTTGTGTTTCTTACGGATCGTAGTTCCTGCCGAATGAACTCGACAGCTCAGTGATCTTAAAGCCTTGCTGAGGATCCTCCATCTCCAGTTTCAGCGACACTGTCCATGTAACCTATTAGATCGCAGCTATCGGGCTAGAGGGCTCATCTCTGGGGGAACCCACTGATTGCTTTCGACGGCCACCAGGATGAAACGCCCATAAAGACATGAAGTCGTCAGCTTCGCAATGGATCTTCTGCAGTCTCGAATCGCGTGATTTCTGCATGAGCTCTTTGCCGTAGACTCCTAAGGCAGACCTCTTTTGGAAAGGGTCTGCTCCATCCAGGTCATCGTTTTCTATCTGTTTCAACACTGCACGGCTGAGCATGACGTCGACAGCTATGTGATCAGGCTCTTCCCTCGTGGTGGATGTATTCCCACGAGTGATGTATCGAGTAACGTCTGATAAGACCAGTCTCTCCATGCCGTCATCTCCCACATCTTTATCATAACCCAATTCCAGCTGAAATGGTCCATAGCATCGCACAGGGTGTTGGCCAGGCTTACCTTAGTCGTCACGGTAGGAGTGGAGAAGATAGTTTCGGAGAATGAGGAATAATGTCGTGGGTCGATTGGAGCCTATAGAAAAAGGTTCAACCTCGGAAGTATGGGTTCCCGAGAGGTCTTTGTTATTTCTATTAACAATCGATCGGCTGAGTACTCGGATAGGCCACCATGGCGACCCAGGGAACTCGAATTCAAGCCCCCGAGCTCACCTGTGTGGGTCTCGGAGCTGGGCGAGGTCGTAGAAGCTTTCCCGCGAGTCCAAATAACTTCTTCGCTGCACCCATGCAGACCGGAGCCTCTAGCAGAAGTAGCAAAGCTTTCAACGCCGACGATTTAGTCATGTAGAAGAGGACAAATGGTTTGATGTTCTGGGAAGTCGTAATTTCCTCTTAGGAACATCCTTACCTATAGATTTTGTGTGTTAAACTGAACCTAGCGTTGAATTCACTAATGCGGACGTTTTAACGCGAGGCTGTCCAGCGCCTAGGTTGTTTTTCGAGACAATTTCCGGACAGTAATATACGTCATAAGGATTCCCGTCAGAGAACAGCCGCTTCCTGCGCAAGCCCAGGGAAGTCTGCATCCATAACATGGATGGTTAACCGATTGCGGCGCCGATAGGAGAGGAATGCTGCTAACGATCTCTCATCGTGCTCTACAGCAGCGACGAGTTCATCTAATTGTGGTGGAATTGTGGTTTCGTGCATCGACATTCGAGCAACAAATAAGTTGTCTCGATTGTGGGCGTGCGCGAGTGAAATAGAGCGGCACCATAGTTTGACCTCACACTGCCAATTCGTCCAGACTATCATGTGAACCCCAATCCAAGGCGGTTCAGAGTTCGGGTCAAAGAAGTCTAGGTCCTATCCATGTTTGCCTCAGTCTGGTATTTTCACGCCTCATAGGAGGGGACGACTTGTAGGACTCAAGCCACGTTGAAATCGGATATATATTCATTCATCTTGATGCTCGTGGTATGGAGTATTTCCCCGTATTCTTGTTGAGTTGGGAAATATTTGTACGAATTGAAGCTCCTAAACTTGAAATTGTTTTCACTACAGCTTTGAAATTGAAGTTCCTACTAGTAACTCCAATTTGGATAAAATCATCTCGGAGTTTTCTGGATGATCGTATCCCAATTGGAGTTCCCTAAACCTCCGCTCCATTAAAATTGAAGTTACTAAACGATAATCTTTAGTTTTACTCCTTCCACCGTTCTAACTAGAAATTACTATTCTCTAAATAGGCGTTGAAAAGGTGTGAAGTTTGTTAGTCTACCAACGAGTACTCAAACTGCTGCATAATCTTTATCTCCATCATGGAGACTCCATGAAGGGTGGCCAATGAACCATTCAAAAGGAGGTAATTACTTAGCGAAGCGATGCTCTTTGATCCAAGGCTTACTATTATCCCATCTTCAGAAGTAACGCTGAGAGTAGGAGCTCGCATTCTTATATCGCTGACCACGCCGGGCTACATGGGAGAACCAAACTAGTTGAGAAGGTAGATAAAGATCCTCTTTATTACCAAAAACCTTGGGAGAACCACCGGTCAAAGTACGTGGTGGGCTGCACAGCGAATGAGAAGCGTCCTGGATCACCACACCGAGTTACTTAGTGTGGTTGGAAGGTCGATGACGATAATGATGAAGAGTAGTGACATCGTGTCACTGTCACACGTTCATTGTACTGTTATTTGATGTACTTCTGTATTGCATTTGAAATACTTCTGTATTGCATTTGAAATACTTCTGTATTGCATTCGAAATACTTTTGTATTGTATTTGAAATGCAGTATTTCCATGGAGATTATGTTTCGTTGAGGACCCAGTTGGAATCCCATACTAGTTCCCTCTCTCATCGAAGAAAATAGCAAGTAGTCCCCACATGGAGCCTCCAATCAGTCGTATACCTCCCACCAAAATCTAGCTGCTCTCCAGATAACATACCATAGAAAAAGCTGAGAAAACAAAGGAGCTAAAGCATGTTGAAAAAGACTGCAACATAACGAATGTTCAGCATAACACCGTTTCCGATCGATGGTTGCACAAGAATGCCAATAGGCTAAAAACTACGCGGCTGCGTACAGCGCAAGTTGCTCAGCGCGCGCCTCCACTGTATCTTGCGTAAAAAAAGCTGGGATCTTGAAAACTCATGTAGTTTCCTCGTGCCACTTCAAGGGTTTCCTTAATAATTGCCTATCATCTCGTGCTGTGCTGACTTGTTATGAAGATAATACTTGGTTGTTCGAGGGTGCTGTGACCTGTCCCTAAGCCTAAGAAGGCTTATGTACTATCAACGGCTCGCGACAGGCCCCTACAGGGTGTATAAACCTCGCCAATCTAGCCCCATCACGCGCGTCTCAGCTACCCTATCAGCTATGGGTTTACGTGGCGTTCACTTCACTACGCCCTTGTTCAGGCCTGTCGTTAATTGCGATGGTAGTCTACGACATGAACTCTATTATTATTGAATTATGATCGGTTGTAGCTTGGTTTTAGTGAGGAAGTTACTTCGTGAAGTTGGCTGCTTGGCAAATGGTCATTTCCTTGCAGTTGTGTATTTATCTCCCTCGTGGGTAGCCAAACGTCCTTCCATCTCTTTCCATCCCTCGGCTAACATCAACATTATTATGTCGCATACTATTGATGTACGTCTTCGGGACTCTGCGACCCTCTATTTGCATATCATTGCTGATCGGTTGAGTCCATCATTGACATATCCACTCAGTTGTATAGTCTGTATTGACCGTTTAAAAGCGTCCTCTCGTCGATGTACCTGTTTATAGTGCTCTGTTGCTTCTTAGTGTTCGCTTTTTGGAATTTGTGAAGATTGTTTTCACTGAGTTGGCTGTGTCAGATCCCCACTTCTATTCGCGAGATATTTGCCGGCACTGAGCGTTCCGATAGCAGCAGTGGCTCACCGATGGAGACCGCTGTAGAGCAGTTCGGGCCGCCGCCAGGTCTACAGTCGCCTCCATCATCTATGGTGCGTATTACCTTTTACTCTTGGCTCGTATCGTGGGGGGCACGCATACGCACCTTCAGGGAGTGTTGGTGATCTCTCTTTATGTATTGTCAGGCGACAGATTTATCCTGTCTACAGTCGTCTATATGGACGCCTAAGGCTAGCGATGGTCCACTTCGAACTCCTGGAGCTGCAGGTTGCTTCACTCGGGCGAGTGATGGCAGTCTACAGCATGACAGTGACAGCACAGCGTAATGAATCGTTGATGTTGTCTGCGGTCGTCACCTCTTTTGTACCTCGATCGTTCTGACTGTTATGTCGTGATAGATGATGATCACTACTACGGTGATTGTATTATTGCCTCTTTAGTCCTCCTGGTATCATCATGAGTGGTATATCCAGAGGTAGCAGTGTCCCTTGCGGTGCTCCGGTGTTCACTTCATCATCATCATCATCATCGGGCTCTACTGTGACAGCATCTCCCAATTCTGGTGTTGGTAGTAGTATCAGCACCAACACTTCACCGAGTGACTGGCATGCAATTGACAGGCAAGCTTGTTGCTACTGGCTGCATCCAACCTCGTCGACTGTGCCTCATGTAGGTCTCTGCAAAGTGGAAGAGTCGTCCCGTGTCGCAGCCCATCAGCGAGCGTCGTCGGTCAGGGGTTCTGGGCAACACCTGGTACGCCTCCTGCTGCTAGCTGGGGCGCCTCAGGTTGTGGACATCCAATGGTGAGGAATCTACCGTAGTGTGGTATGCTCAATGTTGGATTTTGCAGGCAGCAACAGCTTCCCCACCGGACGTACGGTCCCCGTTTTCGGAGTTCGATGCAGTGTCGTCATCTACTTCGCCTTATGGCGAGTCCCATGGCCGATACCATCCTCGCTCACAGGATGATGCGTATTACTCTTTGCGGGGAGTGCTCTCGTCACCAGTGTCACCGGCGGCGGCGGCGGGTTCATCAAACTTGCTGTATGATGATGGACCGACAGGTCTCGACAGGTAGGCCTACCTCGTCGTGTAACCTTTGACGGTCCTCTGTTGCTTTTAGCTCTTGTATGTTCCGTCACATTGCGAGCAGTCCGGTGATGTCGTCGATGTCTCTACCCCTGGCGAGTAACACTTTTGATCAAACAGTGGAATACTCGACGCCTCCGCTTCACCTGAGTCGAGGTGGGCCGCAGAGCTCGAGCCCTACGATGATGCAAAATGATGGGACCTCAGGGACGCCTCGCGGTATGGCAATTCGTTGACCTCGTCTGCTGTATTGTTTGTATTAGATATTTTTCCTGGATCTTACCCTCATCCATCATATCATTCGAGGCCCCCTGCTAGCAGTAGCAGTAGGATGTACAATCAAGTATTTACCGACGAAGTGTCCACCCCGCGAGAGCATCGTAAGGGCAGGTGAGATGATGTTGTAGCACACATCTTGGGAACTGTGTTCTCAGCGGCTCGAATCCCTGGCTGTCGTTATCTCTCCGGCATGGCTCGTCCAACACGGGCTACACTGCTAGTGATGCGGCATCCCAAAGGACCTCGACAACGCCCTGCAGTAGGACGTTCGCCGCTGACGTTGGTGGTAAACTGAAGGGTAGTGCCAGCCAGCATCACAATACACCTAGTGTCGCGTTGGAGGAGGTAGACTATTGTAGTTCGAGAGCTACTGGTAGCATCATTGTGTTGGTAGATACAGGACGAGATTCTCGAGATGGCTATGGACCGTAGCGGGAGTCGTATTCTGCAGAAGTTGATCTCGGACACCTCGGCGGGTGCTGCAGATGGAGGGACGCATGAGGAGTTGGACGAGTTGATTGACGCTATCATCCATGAGATAAAGCCGGTGGGTTGCCACTCCCGCTATTCCTAGCAGCAGAAGACGTTATTGATCGATGTCATCGGATTCTGTTGGGCATCCTGCCTCGTCGTCGTTCGTATGCATTTGTGATCCCATTCTCCTTCGATCAGGTATTATCGCGTATAATGTGCGACACGTATGCTAACTATATGTGTCAGCAACTGTTCCAAGTGTCTTCAGCGGGACAGAGAATTGCTCTACTGCGCAATGTGAGGATGATACTGGCGCTTTGAGCGTGACGCAGGACGTCCCTTGCAGGTGCTGGAAAACGTAGTTTACATATCGCAAGACCGCCGTGGAACACACTCTCTCCAGGTGAGCTGGCAGTTGGGTTACATTGGGATTTATGGTGATGTTTCAGGCATTGATAGCTTGTATGCAAACTCCTCAAGAGCATGCCTTGTTGGCTGAAACCCTCCACGATAACGTCATCAGGATGGCCTTAGATGTCCATGCTACTCACGTGAGGCAACACGTCTACGCAGCTCGTGATGGTGAAGAATGAATGTGTCGATGATTCAGGTTTTACAACAAACCATTAGCAAATGCACACCTTGTGGTCCTGGCAAGGAGTATAGTCACTTGCCTATGGCTGATTTTGGTTTTATTTTCGACGATATTTACAGAAATCTAGAGGCTCTCGCTGGTAGGGTATCACCGTATGCACGGTCGTCGATGGAAAGCTCACTTCATTCTTCAGGTGATCCAAATGGCCTCGGTGTTGTGAAGAAGTGCATTACTCATGCACCATGGTATGATGATGGCTCGTATGTAGAGAAGTACAAGTCAAAGATGTTAAACAAGTTACAGTGGGTGTTCGCAAGTCGATTGCTCCTTCATTAGTTTTTTCATAGGTACTTTGTCGAGAACCCCTATGCTAATTATGCAGTTCAGCACGCCTTGGAAATATGGGTAGGACTTGTCGTTGCTTCAGTGCTTGGACTTTCGGTGACTGATTGGCTTGTATCATGGTGTCTTCGTCAGGGACCTGAAGTTTGTACAGACATTATCATCAAAATCTCTGAAAGTATCATAGCGATGGCGATCCATAAGTTCGCATCCAATGTTGTAGAGACGGCCCTCAAAGTCTCGCCCGACGATATGCGTAAGGAAGGATGGTGGTGGGCTACTTGTGATGTACAGCGTCGATGTTAGGTATTGTGTTAATCCATCGCTTGATCGATTATGGTAACACTTCGTCCCAAAATGCAACGATGATAACTCTCTTGAACAGCGCGTACGGTTGTCTAGATGATTCCGTTTTCAGCTCACCCGTCTGTTAGGTACGGTGTTTTCGTCATGTCGACTGCACTTCGTTTGGCGCCTACTACGGAACTGTGTGAGCAGATTTATGAAGCGTTAGTAAAGTAAGCTGATGATAATCTTCATGCTACACGTAACCGGGGAGTGTCCAGGAACTACCAGCGCTTGCCTGATAGCCGCCACAAACAGAAGTGGGACAAGGTCCTTGTAATGGCCGAGAAACGTTGCAAAAAGGTATAGAAAGGTTGATAGTACTAACGAGTGCATCCCCTAGCGATCGTGCTATCTCCCAGTACTGTCCTCATCAATGATATCATCATAACACTAGAGGGAATTGGCACATTATCGCACTATTGCATGGATTGAAAATGATACTTATGAACAAATCTGATTGCTGCCTGTCTGCATAACGTAATTGTGATGTTGCTGATGATTGACAATTTACCACAAAGAGCGATTGCTGAAGAAGATTAGGACCTTCTGGTCTCGAGCTTTCGTGAGATGTATCAAGAGAGTTGTGTTGTCATTACTTGTATTGTGATCTTAGGATCATCTTGAACCGTTATCAAACGATATCTCGACGGTTGAGGCCGAATCTACCGATGTGCGCCCGGTTGGAAATCGACGCGGTGCGTCACCCAAGCCTCGGAGAGATCACGGTGGGATAGACGAGATTTACTGTCAATTCCCTATCGTTTGCGGTGTCGCGTGTTGATTTTGCTATGGGATCGTATGAAGTTCTCAGGTAGCATAGAAGCTCCTACTAGGGCGTGTAGTTCCGAAGAGACGACATGGTCCTCCACCGAGCAGTTCCACAGCGCTATCGGGGTGAAATTTGTATGAAACCGACCTGAGAGTACATGAGCTATGTATTAGGTACCGCCCATGCCTACTACATCGGTGTGGAATAGAGACCGAAACGCGTCAACCGATGCGTGACGTCGTCTATACGGCGGAAATAGCACAGTAGCAGATTAGCTGAAAGCCCACGGTTAGCACCGGGTTCGGTATTTCCCTCATACTTTTTTTCATCACCTCCGAACCGAAACAGTTTGTCGTTTCGAAACAAATTGAGGGTAATCAATAGCATCGTTCGCTTCAGTGCGTGTGGTAAAGAACGCTGCCATATCGCTCTCATTTATAATCGTACCCGCTTGGCTCGGTCTCGGGTAGTGCATCACACTTCCGCGACTCTGATGGGTTTGTGCATGGCTCGCTATTGGTGGTGCTCATCCGCTCATGGAAGACATTTAGATATATTCTGCATCATTCAGATAACACTATAAGTTTATGTGGCCTCTGGGATGCTCGTAAAAGCAACCGTGTTTCAGGTACATTGCCTCGAAACTCATGTTACGGCTTTCATTCTTTGTGGTTGGTGGCGTATCGTTGACTGCTTTGCGGCTTCGGTCTCTCGTGGTTGCTATCATGTGCACAAAGCTATCCGATGAATGCGCACAATCGTAAACGGGTACAGTTGAACACCAATATTTGCTGAATACAAGTCGTCCTTCGAGCTCACCTAGAGGTGTCCTAGTCTCTATTTGATCCTAGCATTGGATCATCTGCCAATACTTTCACTGCTCCGTTGACTGCTCTCTCATCTGTGCCTTCAACCATTTCATTTCATGAGTGATCTCTATCCGTTTACGATCAGTCTACCTCGCTATCATTTAGTACAGTTAGGAGACGTGTCACTGTAAATTACTTTCTCCGTATTGCATATCTGTCCAGGGAGAAGACGGTGGCGGTCTTCGCTCGTCGAGTGGCAGTTGCATCGCAGTTGTCATGGTGCGTGATTGATATTCTGATATCCCGCCTAGTCTTTTTTAGAAACAATGTCTCATTGCTCCATCGTAATTTCATCATCGCCTATTACAGAAAATATGTGCTTGTTTTCCGAACGCGTTCGTTATGCTTGGAAGTAAGATAGGTCAGGGTTGCCTGTAAATACGACAGTTAGGGTAAGCTTGCGTAGACAAGAATGTTGTTGCGCTGATCTAGTTGGGTGGAAAGCTTCCTCACAGGAAGTATATTCATATTCACGGTTATAGTTCATGACGATGCATTTGCTCACAGGACCGTGGATCTGTCTCGTTTCTGATACTTCCTGAGGTCATCTCAATGAGATAAAGTAAAACTTCCATGGCGGAAGGTCATCTTCCGTCCGTCACTCACCGTGAATGACGTATCCTTATCCCGCTGAACGCGGGAGATGAAATTCCAATCGCAAGTCTTCTTGCGTTTCGTTTTGAGCCGTCAATAATCAGTGGGAAGCACAAAACAAAGTGAAGCGCTAAGCCCCTTGCCCGAACAACCTGCGGCCGGTACGCTGCGATCGGGTAAGGGTCAGACGTTAGCTTTGACCAAGTCCCCAATCCGTGGGCCACGGACCGTGGCCCGTTGGCCGCGACTAGAATGCCTTGGCCAGAGTCAACCAGAGCGACCGGATCTCGCGTGGCTTGTGGTACAAGCCTTGTGCATGCTTGTCTTAGATGGAGTCTCCATAATGGAGATATCAATTCGCGACCTTGCTAACGCGGTCTGTGTCGGCGATATCACGCGAGATCATTTATGGGTGATCAACTTATCCGAATGCCCAATGATCCCGTGATCGTCATGAAATATCCGAACGTGCTGGTCTGATGCGCAAACACACTGGTGGAGGGTCGTCTTGGAAACGTCGCAGGCCAGTGACTCACTCACCTATCTGCGTGGTACCCCAGTCTCGGTTCAAATCTAGCCATATGTAACAGTGGTACAATACCACTTACGAAGATGAACAGCATAATTCTCCACGGTATCCGCATTTTCTGAATCCGGAGATCCATCATGAGACCCAGCTCTCATTCGCTGTTAGCACTGGCCCTCGGAACCGAGGTGTAGCACTTTAAACTTCCACGCTCTTTCGAGTTGAACGAAAGCCCCTCCGACTCCAGCGTTGGATTGGAGAACCGAGGCGCCATCCAGCGAAGGCTGGATTTCCAAGTGTGCGCGGGATTGCCAATCAGCCAACGTTCAACGTCGCCACTAGTCTCAGGCTAGTAGTCTCTGTGTCTAATCTGTAGAGTCTACAGTGTAGGTTGGCAATCAGGGAATCCATGACCTGCGAATGCGCCAAAGGTTTTATGTGGCAGGGACCGCATGGTGTGAACTAGGTGTTACTTGTTTCGCACCGATACAGGCCCGGCACACATCCCCCGGGTGGAGTGGGTGGGGTTAGACAGCACCAGGCCAGTGGGGTATTGTTGCTCCACATGGAAACAAGCAACTCTAAGGTTGAGTTACATGTGGTGGTCGCACACGTGTCTTGCACGCATGTGTGCGTACGCACGTGCAGATTGTGTGCTCTGCAGAGTTTGCAGTTTTGCATGCGGCGCGTTCCAGTTTTGCACAGTCTCTGGTTACAGAGGAGATTTCGCTGCCGCAACGCTCGGAGCCTGGCGGAGTAAAGTGTTGCGGGCGCGGGAAAGAAGGCTAGACTGAAACACACCTCTGCTGAGTCCCATGTTGCCATCGTTGCTTACATGTTATTCAGTCGAAAGAGTGGTAGTAAGAGCGAATACTAATGATGTTTTCCACTATCATTCAATTCGTTGCAATGTGATTTCCGCACTCATCATCTCCCCATGTAAATCTCTCGATGAATCGTTTATCAGAGCTGCTGAGTTATCCAGATGCATTTCTGAGCTTGCCAACGTTACTCTGTCATGAAGTCATTGATATCTTCATATTCGAGCTACTGCGTTATAGGGTTAACCAGCTCGTCGAGCTATGTTAGAACTTGCGTATTTCACCAGTCAGTTAATGTTGCAACAGCTTCGTCTAGGAGTATCGAGTACTGGTGCCCAGGTGTTGGGTACGAGACATTTCACGGTAGAGTTTCCAGCTTTGAAATGAGGTTTGATGTGGTCGCATATTGAAGGTTATAGCCGCACCGTCGTCGACTGAGGCCACTCGGCAGCAACTCAAGTCCAAGTCGTCCCAGAACTTAAAAGTAGCCTGGTTCACAGCAAACTGGTGCGCTCCCTGTCGGAGTATCGCCCCTCGAGTAAGACGAATGGGTATGATTTCACGAGCATTGCTCAATATCAATCGATTGTCGTTGGCAATCAGGATTAATGAAGACGATTTGATCAGATCGAGAAGTATGCCGAGATCGCAGACGCAGTGACCTTCATCAAAATCGATATCGATCATCACGAGGAGTTGGCGGATGAGTGGCATGTGAAAACCGTTCCGACCTTCTGCCTCTTCAAAGGAGGGAAGGAGGTAGGCCCTAGCTGCTGCTCTGTTCACCCACTCACGCTGGCTTGGTCAGGTCGATAGAGTGAACGGTGCCGATCCGGAGGGACTGAAGGATGCCTTGGATCGGCTTGCTTGACGGGATTTACTTCATGAGACATCCGAGTTTTTCGCGACGAGTTTCAGTGCGATATGCATATTGAGTTCGTTATACTGGGTCGAATATCGTTGAACGTGGGAAAAGTGATATTGATTCGATATCGTCACAGCGCACAAGCCAGTAGACCGACACCCTCAGCGGTGTTGCAGTCATGATAGTTCGAACGAGCCTTCAGATGGCCTGTATCACGCCCATCGCCGGAATACGTTGCAATGGGAGGGGTCGCGTCTAATGCCATGGTTAGGTACGGGTTGCACTCAGTCATAATAGAGGCCGAGATCCCCTCAGGTTACTGTGGCCTCGACATGTGCTTGTCTCCGTGAAACGTTCAATAGGTATTGGGCCAGCTAGTGTGCCAAGAAGAGGGTGATTATCTTGTCAACTTTAGTTAACATCGGTGATCATGGAGTGGTTGTAGAGGCTCTCTTGAATATGTCGAAGCCTTTGAGAGTGCTATGATGCTGTAGAGGGGAACTCACTCCTCGCCGATCCGTCATGCATTCCTATCATCTTACTGGTTCAATGCACGTGGTTAGTCCGGTGCTGTTTATATGGTTACTGTTAGAGCGACATTGATACAGTCTAAACTCCTGAGCTGAAAGCGCATTGCAACGGAGAACTTCGACCGTCGCAATGCTCGATATGCACTGCAATTGATGAATCATCATTGATGGTGTCCAAATAGAAAGAATTGATATTCAACAATAAGTCAGGCTGGCTTAGGAGGACTACTCTCAGATCTTTCCCTCTAGCCGTACCATGAATCGATGCTGGCCTTACTCTCGAAGCGAGGACGAACTCATGTCTCTTTTCGAGGGATAAATAACATCTTGCGTCTGCGTGCTACTTTCGTACACAGACCCGAGTTCTGGCATAGATTCTCTGAACATCTCATGTTGTGTTGCACATTCGTGGAGTCGTGTTGGTATGTACGGTAACGAAGAAGTTGACTATGGTGATGATGACAGTATTTCATCCTCTTGGGGTGATACTGTTCAAACGTCGGACACTCATCTCTTTCAACGTTGACGACCTCTCCCACCTAGAGATACCGAGGATATACTCCGGTCTAAAAAATTTCGCCAGAGCTGATCCTTATCTTTTCAAATTTGAATCTTTGAACGAGGCCCTGCTCATTAGATCAGGAATTTGTACTACAAGTTTCGTAGGGCACTTGAACGCTCTAAGTCCAACTGAACAGCTCTCACTTCTCATCGGGAAAATAGACACTATTTAACAGAGTATTAGATTTTTTCCGGCCGCACGTTAATCTAGACTGATCCCCTGTTTCCGCGCGCATTTCTCTCCAACCCAGACGACTCTCCGGCTATCAAGGTCGTCAATGAATTTGGAATGATTCGCCCCCAAGTACGCCTGTCCACGTAGACTGAGGTTGGAATAGGCCTTGGGAAGAGGGCGGGAAACTTACGCTTGGGGAGTGACTTGTGATAGAACCATTTGACTCACCCATCGAATCAATATCCATACACCGTCGGAGGCTACTGAATGTTGGACCAAACCGCCGTTTAAAGCGCCCGATAGCATCCATACGGATGAGTCACTCAGAAAATGGGCGTCCTGGGGATCGAACCTGGGACCTCCGTGATTACATTAGTCGGTGAATCAATGGACTTTGAGGATACACTCTGTCGGATTAGAGGTTGTGAATCTTCAAAGTACCCCCTAGGCATTCATTCAATAATTCAATCGAAGTCACCCTCGAGCCATGCCTACTGCTATTGTTACTGAACCCGACGTGTGGTCACGAGCTCGGCAATTCCTACCCCGCCTGGAATCGTCAACTACTGAGGATAAAGTGAGAACGCGGATGCTCTTAGTCAGGACCTGTCTCGAACTGCCATCAGGGCAACCTGCTAGCATCGTCTGCTGAGGTATTGCGCTCATTGTTAGAAGCCGATGAGCACAGGTAACGGCCGGATTATCGTGGCAGACTTTCTCTCTCTCAGCTCATCTAGATTAGTCGAAATCATCAACATTCAGAAAGCGAGGATAGCCTCCCTTCAAGTACTCCCATGGGCTCTCTCGTCACTCGTTGACTCACAGTTCGATAGGCTTCACTCGAGGGCGGCCGCTCCGAGACTGCTACCCTAAGGCAACAACCCGACGGCCTTATTCAGGAGGTAGTAGGGCATGTGTCGATGATAGGGGGTCTCGTGCCACTCAGTTGCGTTCTGAGCTTACTAAGTCACGAGAAGAGGTACTCTCTTTGCGGGAGCGCATTAAGCGTATCAAAGAACTCAAGGTGGGCCTTGCCTCAATATTGGAGTAACTATCAAGGCCGTTTAGGAAGAGGAAGAGAGATTTGGTTTGGATATCATCCGGGAAATGGTAGCCGAAGTAGAAGGAGGGTCCTCCCATGATATCAACGCTGATGACTGCTTGCTCACAGCGCGGCTGTTCACCAGGCAGAGGTTCCTGTTGGTGACGGCACTGAAAGTGGCCCACGAGTAGTAACGGGGATCTGCTGCTTATACCATCCTTTATATTCTCCCCTTTTACCATTCTAGTGAGCAGATATATCTTTCAGTGTCACTGCATATCGTACTGCTCAACGACTGTTGGTGATGATTTTGGGTCCAGGTTGAGAGAGGATAATGTGAAGTTGTCACTGCAGCTGTCAAGCGTTCGTAGTCGCCTGGAGCGGCTGGGAGGAGAGGCGGCCATCAAGGCTTTGTCCTCTGCCGTTGAGGCTCGCGACCGTCGAATCGCTGAGAAGGATGTACGGGGTTGTTGCTCTGAGAACTGGACCATCAAGTGTGGCCCAATCAGGCAAAGATAGCAGAGTTGGGCGCGCGTCTCGAGGCTGCTAGACGAGAGGCTATCGAGCAGATCAGTAACACCAGCATGGCGTCGTCTACCATTTCCGAGAGGACCAATTTGGAAGCTTCTGACACGGAAAAGGCGCTGCTGGTCGACACACAAGGTGGGAAGGAGACGGGCGCTTGAACCCTTGAAGAGGGTCTTGAGTCCGTTCAGAGACCAACCTATCGGTGGCCTCGTCGGTGCCATGTAGGGATCCTGTTCGGCAGTACGATGTTGATGGGAATAAGGTCTGAGACGATGTGACATGATAACGTGACTAGAGGGTTTCAGGAGCTATCAGGCATTGCTGGAGGGGCGGTGAAATGCATGGCTGCGACGGAGTCGGAAAGCTCAGAGTCGCCCGTGCAGGCCCCCCAAGATGGAATGACTAGGGTAGTCCCTCGCAATCTTAGTGGTAGTAGTAGTTCAGGGCCCTCGACAGGCTCATCACGGTCGGGCTATGGTCCCACCTCCGGCACCACTGCTTACAGGAAGGGACCTTGAGGTGGCTGCTGCTGCTGACGATGTGTCTATGGAGGCTATTGAAGGGGCCGTAACTGTCCGAAATAGCAATACTGTGCCCACTGAAATGAAGCATGGTCCTCAACCAGCTGCATCCACTTCAGAGTGCCCTTCAACATATCAGTGGGGCTCTCAGGGTCTTCATCTCAGGAGCATAGCGGAGCCTTCGATAGTTGGAGTATGCACACCTGGGCGCGGTAGTGATATCAGTAAGCTGTCATTGAGCGCTACAACTTTCAATGGTGTCAAACGCCGAGCGACGACTCATGTGAAATTGCGGAATCCCCGATTGGATTTTGCTGCTGCTGCTTCTGCTGCTCCCGTTGCACCATCGACTGACACTAAAGTAGGGTTGCGATAGAGTGTAGCCGGAGTTCTTCATCCTATCCTAGCTGCCTAACTCTCGGCAGCCAGTAGCTTCACCATTCGATGCGGGCCTGGGCTCACTACCCCAGTCTGGGGATCTATTACGAGGTTTGTGTATCATCTAGTCTCTGTGATGCTCATCATCGTGCAGTGTGTCCTTTTTTCAGCATGGCATCAGAACAGTGGCAGCATGCCTGGTCACGAGAGTCCTGGACTATGGTCCCCTCAGCAGCCACAGATTGTCCAGAGGCATTTTAGCGCGAATGCTTATAGTGCTGGAGGGCAGAGGAAACTAGTGCTGTACACTGTGGCGACCAATGCGGCTATCGTTCATGGGCAGGTCGCTAGACAGCTCTCTGGTACTCCTATACTCACAGCTGAGTTCCCCAGACAAAACACTCCAGACGCTTATGTGAGGGTGGCTAGTGGGCCCCTCTGGGCTCGATGGTCGCTTCCAGTCCTCGCATAGCGGTATGGTACGTCAACCCCCGGCGCCTCCCCCACTATCCTCTCATATCCCACGCCCACCACAATTCATCAACTTGGGGGCGCTCAGTCACCGGCCGGCAGTAGCTAGTACGACTGCTAGTAGCAGACAGTCCTCAACATCACAGTGAGGGGAGCATTAGCTCGGCAGTAGAAAAATGTTGTCAGGTTCGCGCCCTTGGTCGGGGGCAGCCCAGTGAGCATCGACCAACCTTCCTTCTTAGGGATCTCCCCCGGTACGGGTCGAGTCACCCCTGGCAGTAGCGGTCTTAGAATGGTTAATAATACGCCAGTCCCCCAGCTGCCTCTCCACAAGGCTAATAACTACACCGTCGGCCTGCCATTGTGGTCGGGGCCCAACTCGGGGCCGCGAGGACAGGTGCCCTCTGTGCTGGGGCAAGGCGTGATGCGGACTGCACGGTGATGGCTGCTGCCCTCATGCATCAGAACTCCCCCTAAGGATTTCATGATCGATCCCATATGTTGGGTTCTAACATTTACTGTGCCTTGAACTCAGGATGACCTTTTATGTCATCATCATCATCGCTTAGCGTCGTATCACACTATCGAGTATTGGCCCAGTCCCTCCAGGCCACGAGGGGTGTGGAGACGGATGCGGCTCTGAGGAGCTTTCAAGTCCTCACCGATAAGTACCTCCCCAGGAGATGTTCCCATAGTATTGGCTCGACAGTTTCAATCGGCTTGGGCCTTCACTAACGTGCGATATCGTTCACCGCCTATCGACGTGCGGTACCGACCGCAGAGATCTACCGAGGATCAGCAAGAAGTTCATCAACGTTGCTGCTGGTAGTAGGGTGGAGGGCGAGGGACGGCTGCTAAAACTGGTGGGGATCCTCGTGCGTATCCAGCATGAGTTGATACTATAGCCCTAGATGAAGACACTTGGGTTCAAGGGTGGAGCATGGGCGTTCGTTATAGAATATGTATTAAGCCGCCCTCCCCCCACATTGACCACTTTTGCATCTCAGCTGAGCTCCCTTTCCATATTGATCTTGTACCGGTGCCCGATGCCGTGAAGGCTGTGCGGGGCCTCTGGGATCTGGGCCACAGCACGGTCGCTAAGCGGGTACTGGTCTTATATAATGCAGTCAGGCATCCCTCCTTTCCAGTTACTCACTAATCTCCAAACTCACTGGTTGGAGCCCCTCACTGAGAAGGTCCAGCGAACGCCGTTCAATACGCCGCACAAGCAGTTTGGGGGTAGCAACGCTTTTACCAGGCGAGGTTGTTTCTCCCCCCTATCTCAGAGTTGGGTGGTTCTCCTAGGCGTATAAGCGTGTATCACATTGGCGAATTCCTTCTACCCGGCTAGGGACTGCTGGTTGGGTCTCGTTCAGATTTATATAAACGACGTTCTCGCTCGGAGGATACTCTGGTCCTCTCCTGTGCGACCCTATCACAGTTACACACTGATGATCTGAAGACCCTCTGGGAGCTCGTGGACAGCATAGTTGCCGAGGCTGGTGATGAGGTAATTGTCATCGAACAGCGTATTACTATAGCCAATACGATGGGCTCAGCCTATTCCGGAGGGCATGGTGGAGGTCATCCGGCACGAGTTACATCCATTACATCGGGTGATACGGAAGTACCTGGCTGATAGAGAGAAGGCGACGCCCTCCAAATGACCGTTTCTGCATGTTAGTTTCTGTATGCAGAGATCGTGTTTGAGGTGGCGGAGCGAAGTCTGGCAGTTATTACCAGTTTTTGTCTACTCCTTTCTGATGATGCCAGCTCCCTCCCGAAAGGGCGGTGTATACAGCAAGCTGAGCACGTCATCAGAGGAGCCAGCTGCTGCACCCACTACAGTTCCTTACACGGAGTCGACCTTCCAAGATCTGCCTGTGCCGGTAGCTACCGGAGGATCCACTCAGAGGACAAGGCGGATGGGTAAACGCCATGGAGAACGTAGTAGTAAACGAAGTGCTCTGTCGCTGAGCCTCATGCATTTGGGCAAGTGGGGCCTCATGGTGGTCTTCGTGTTGGTACGGGCTGCTCATACTATGGCGATGGAGGCATCCAAGGTTGATAAACGGTGGGATCCCCTCCCCTAGGAACTGGCCCCTCGTCCATGTTCATATCAGGTTCCTATACAATAAAGCAACTCCAATCGTGATGGAATGTGTGATTACTTTTATAGTGGGGATTTACATGGCTTACTCCCTTGAGGGGCCCGACTGGCTGCGGAAATGCCTGGCACCACAATCTTTCAAAGTACTCACCCTACTGTTCGTCAGTTCGCATGGGTTTCATCCCTCAGGTATTCTCGCTCATCGGGGTGTTCTTCGCCATTGGGGATATTCTAGAGATGCAGTCGATGTCGGCTATGGACGGCGCGGTGTACCAAGTCCTTGGCCAGTCCAAGCTCATCGTCACGGCTATAACGCTATGGGCTGTGAAGGGCCACAACCAGACGGCTCTGGAGTGGGTGGTAAGGAGTGGGGAGTGTGGTATCGTTATGGCAATGGAGAGTGAGTCCTAGGTCCTCGCCTTGATAGTAGCCTCTATGAGCACGTTTGTCCTCGAAGACCACAACAACAGTACTCGTAGTGAGGCCAGCTACTACGTATCGCAGCCACAAGAGAGTCTATTTAGTAAACTGTTGGGTATAGGATATGTGATGTTTAAGGTAGTCAGTAGCCTACCGAAAGTCGAGGCCCGAGTAATGTACACAGGTAACGATATCGTGCTTATGTGCAGTGTTGGCGGATAAGTACATGAAGCAATTTTCGGACGTTCCCTTTTATATACAGATGGCTCAGTATAAGATCGCTTGGTTCACGACTTGTGTAGCCCTGGCATACGCCCTCGACTGGGAGGTGGGGACGCTCCTGCTGCTGCTGCTGCACGCAAGCCCTGCATTTGTTCAATGTTTCTTTTATTCAGGGAGAGCTGACCCAGTTTGGTTTCTTCCACGGTTGGACTTGGTCTACCTTGATGGTCACTATCAGCTTTACGATCAAAGGCTGGTGTACGATGTACCTATTGCGAAGTCTCGATTCTGTTCTTAAAAACATCGGCGAGGCCCTCGCGGTAAGTTGGAATATTCCTCAGCATGTGGGCACTAGTTGATGAGCCTCAGGTAATCGCCGTTTATCTGTGTTCTATCTTGCTATGGGGGAAGGCATTCGACTCGGCGGCGTTCCTTAGCATGTCTTCCGTTGTGTTGGCTGTGGTGACCTACACCCTGGTCGTCAGGCTAGAGACTAAGAACAAGCGTTTGATGTACATGTTGGTGGAGATACAGGATGACGTTCCCTTCGTGTCTGCTCCTGCACCGCCGGGGAATGAACGCTAGCCTGGATGAATAACAGTAGGAGCTCTCTCACTATTGATGACACTTTCTGAGATGCCATCGGAGATGTTTTGTTGTAGGGGAAGGTATGATAGGTTGTTGATACTCTTCCTCCTACTACTACTACTATGTTGCCCTCACCTTCCACGGCCTTCCGTCACCTGCCTGCGTCTCAGAGGATACTCGCTGAGTCCGGCTACACGAGCCAAGCCACGGAGGCAGCGCCTGGCGTGGAATCCCTCTTCTATGGTCGTCCACGAAGACCGTTCGCGCATATGGTCCAGCACTTCAAGGAGCTCGAGGCGAGCCTACTGCAACGTCGAGCACGTATGCGCAGCTTCCTAGAGAAGACTGCTACGCCTCAAACACCGGTAGGTCAGCGAAGGCATGGACTAGAAGATCCTGATCATGGTTGTGATGCTGTGACGATGGCCGGAACCTCAGTGGAGAGGCTCCCTCAACTGGTCGCTATCATAAACACGGACATTCCATGGTCTTTCACTCCCGCCCTACGGTGTGATATAACCTCGAGCGGATGTCTAAATGTGCAGCTTGGCGATTTGATGCCGCCCTTGCTGGCGTATCAGCTTCCCCTAGTGAGTGTTGACTACAGCGTTGGTCGGGCATATACCGAATTAGAGGCCTCCAAGTCGGAGGATGCAACGTTCGTAAGAATCATGGTGTACTCCCATACCCACGGCTAAGCCTGTCCTTTATGTTGAGGCCTGTTGAGTTCAGAACCCTCACAATGGGAGGCACCACCCTTGGGACATACTCTCTGTTGTGATAGAGTATCTAATGTGAGTGATAGAGTTACTGCTGATAGCCTGTAAAGGACTTTATTAATAGCCCTTTTTGGATGGTGATTTCTGATGCAAAGAACGTAGTTGGTCGTGGTCCCCCCGAACTGCTTCGTTGGAGTCCGTCCATAAACAGCGTTTCATTAGCTCCCCTTGAGTCATGAGCGTCCGGCGCCATCCCTTGTGCTCATTACCAACCACTTCCGTCACGTCGTCCTCTTCCTCCACCGCTTCTATAGCGTCGTCCAGTTCTATCTCTGGCGGGGGCAAGCAAGGGAATATCAAAGACTTGCTTCCTCCAGAGGTCTCGCAGAACCCCGAGAGCAATGCGGTGGTCCTCAACGTGTACGACTTGGACCAGGGCATCGTCCGCCTGAACACCATTCTGGCTATGGTTGGCGTTGGTGGTGCCTTCCATGTAGGCGTCTCTGTCTTCGGTAAGGAGTATTATTACTCTGGTATCGGCCCACCCAATGGCCCTGATGATCTGGATCCCAGTGGTGTTTACTGGCATGAGCCGACTCACCATGACGTCCACGTTTATCGGCAGTCGGTGTATCTGGGTTCGACGGCCCTCACTGAGCGTCGTGTATATGAGCTCGTTCGCCGCTTGGGTGAATTCTGGACTATTGGTCGCTACGATCTCCTACGGCGAAACTGTTGCCAGTTCGCGGAGGCTCTAGCCCAGGGCTTGGGGGTGGGTCCAATTCCCAAGGAGTTTTGCGTCTTGTCTCGCAGGCTTTCACTAGCCGCGGACTCCCTAGGTGGAGCCCTTGGTGCTGTGACCGGTGCTGTTGAGTGGATATCGCAACCGACATCCGATAGCCAGGCTGTGCCCGACTCGCAGTTCATGAACGAATCCAACACTTCTCTATCATCTCCCATCGAAAAGCCCATCCTCATTGTGAGAGTACTGCCTCTGGTAAGTGTAGCACCGAATGGTGGAGCAGCACCGATTCGCATCGAGCAAGGAGATTCGTTATTTGGTCGTACTAATCCAAAGCAGCTGCCCAACTTCCACGTCCTCGATCATCCATCAATTTCGAGGACCCACGCGAGGCTCAATCTGTGCGGGGAAACCGTCACCATTGTTGATCTTGGTTCGGTAAATGGTACTCGAGTGGTCTGCCCTTGGCAGGGACAACAGGCAAGACCGCATTTGCTTCCACCGCGATCACCACGAAGGATCAATCTCCTTATGGACGAGTTCATCGTGATGGGCGCGGTGTCACTACATTTACACCTTTCCTATCAGAAGCACTGAGGATTCGTCATGTAGTTGCACGTTTATTTCCTGATGTATTTTTTGCCGGTATTATTATCCCCTTCTCCTATGCATCTCTTGGCTTTGGTTCGAGACTATGATGATCGAGCAGCGCAGTTTGCGCCACCAGTACCAACCATTAACATGACAGTGAGGCTTTTGATTTGAATAAAATCCAGAATAGAATCAAACCAGGTTTCCACTATCAGCGCAACAACAAAGAGCCAATACGAATCTTACACGCACGATAAAAGCACATAACCAACAATCATTCTCGATACTGGTGAGCAGGCGGAGCACAGCCTTTGGGCTTACCACAGACGTCAGAGTATATCCCCGTATTGTAAGCCACTCCGACCGTTAGCCCATCTAGCCATTGACTCTCCGAGACAATACCTAGGTCTTGATGGAGACTCTGGTGTCGGCCGTTCACCGGACGGACGACTCCTGCGTAATCGTATCGATGATTGGCCACTGGCTCAACTCTGCAACTAGTGGTGCTCATATCCTTACCTGCAGCACTGCTGACGAGCCGACCCACACCATCGACTTTAGTGCTCCCATCACACTGTACATGCCCTTTCCCACTGCAGACGGAACATGTCAAGCCGGCGTGTAAGGCAGTATTGCGGCTTCGACAGTATACATAGAGAGGACATGCCTCCAGAGTTGCATGACCGTATTTACGACAATTGATGCAGAATTCCTCAGCCCTGCACTCATCGTAACTGTGTCCAGCCTGGGAACATCGAAAGCAGCGCTTTTCAGGGCATACTGTCGACTTGTGGGGGCCGAGACAAACCCAGCAAACGGCCTCTGTGTCGAAGTATCGTTGAATCTTTGGCCTGACCATCTTGGAATCTTTGCAGTGAGCTTCAGGATTCAGTCGGAGATAGTCAGCGAGGTAAGGATACTCTCTCTTCTCGCAGGACAGGGTTAAATCACTAGAAGATTTCCCATGTTGCTGGACTTCCTTCAACGTCCTAGTAGTACCAGAGCCGATGGAATTGCTAGTCATGCCCGGGATAGAACGAACTCCTCAACCCGAGGAAAATGATCACACCATAACAGTCGATCAATTTGAAGACTCCGTAAAAGACCTCGGCAAGGGTCGCAATGTCCGTCTTTCCGATCATAACGAAATCTCCCCAAGAGATTGACTACTTCCAACGTAACAGAGACTAAGTCGTTGGGGTATCATTGCAGTAGTACAGATAGTAATAATAAGCATATCTACAGCGCACGAGCAATAGGCAACATCCTCTGATAGGCTTAGAGGAAGTAGTCCGGTAGCTTTCGAGCAATATCAGGCGAAGACTGCTCGCGAGGGGCCGGATCAAATTGCAGGAAAGTGTACCTAGAGATGGATTCAACCGCACCAACTCACTGAAAAACGTTGGCTCACTTGAGATTCTCATCGATCTCCATGATGGCTGCCTGATTACCGCATCGATAGCAATAATTAGGTGCAGAGAAAATGGTGACGACATTCCGGTCGTGGCACCAGTTATAGCCCTCCATGACCAGCTGATGGGCTCTGGCTATCAACTTCAAACCGTTGGCATGGTTAAACTGCTCCGAGATATCCTGTCCGAAGGTGTACCTGATATAAATGAGGCCCATCTAGATGAAAGGTGCAAGAGAACTTACCCAGCGCCCCTCGGGCTGATACCCCAGCCACACCGCTCATCAGGATCAGACCATAGCAGGTCACACATGGCGCCCTCATGAGGGACCTCTTGTACACGGTCCTGCTATACTGATGAAGCAAGTACAAGCAGCGAGGTGTGACTACCAGTTGGCGAACATGATCTAGTAGGTCGATAGAGGGCGAGAGACCACCGTGTTGGCAGAAGATCTGATTCTCGATCAATGCTGTTAACGGAAGGTAATCAAAGGTGTCTGTGAAGTACTTCCACACATTTGGATTGGAGTACTTCCGCAAGCACTCATCGTAGAAACCATAGACCTGATAATTTTACAACATTCCCTCGGAATAAACCGCAACAAAAAGTTACTTGTGTGATCTGTCTAGTCTCATGGTTGCCACGAAGGAGGGTGATGCGATCCTTGAAACGGACTTTATATAAGAACATCAATGCTGCAGTCTCTAACGAGTAATACCTAGCAAAAACAGTTTTTGGGATTATCTGCTGAGACCTTACCCTCGATCAACATAATCACCCAAAAATAAATAGTTAGTTTCTGGAGGTTTCCCTCCGATTCTGAAGAGTTCCTTGAGGTCTAAAAATTGCCCATGAATATCTCCACATACTGTAACAGGGCATCGGACCGGCTGGACATTAGACTCTTCCTGACATTAGCCGTCGCCACCATGACAGTGCCCCTATGCAGCTCGTCCTACCTGTAACAGCTCTCGAACCCTCTCGCATAGGTTCTTGCATTCAGCCTCTGTGAGAAGACCCATGTTGGTCACTCGCTCAATTTGCTCGTCTAGCGATGCGACTTCACTGTCGCTCAGGACTTTAGTCATATTATTCTTACAGTACACTCCGTTTTGTTCGCCGATTTAGTGACGGCGACAGGAGTTAGGAAAATCACTGAAACCAACCAGGATTTATGAGCTCACATCAACCTTTATTATACTCATTATTAATATCCACTAATTCACTATACCGTATTAGCCCACCACTAACACGAGAACATAGGGCCGGGCTCGACAGGAGACAACAGTCAAATATGATTGCATGCAATAGGGGGCAATTAGAAAAGGTCAATGACACTTCATTGCAATGACTACTGACTAACACGAAGCTGCCTGATAGCCTCTACTAGAGGCACTTGACTTGACAGAAGCTTCAATTTCCGCAGTGCCAAGGCAGGGAGGAAGCATACTACCACTGTGAGAAGTAGGATGAGCCAAAAACTGACGGAGCTGAGGGCGCTGTACAGATAACCCGAAGCGTCATCGTCATCAATCGCGGTATCGTATGCAAATACGAAAGCAATGTACAACAAAATTTGAAAAAATACCATTGCCAAGATTAGAACCCAGGACCATTCCCGAGTATAGAGTAGTATAAGTACCGACACCAATGCTAGCACCGCTGTATAGAGGAGGATAGAGTCCATCCACAAGTCGGAGGCGAGGCCGTGGTCGCCGACAGGAGCACTGTTATATTGTCGAAGACCCCATACGCCGAAATAACATACTATCGATTGCAAAGTACCCACAACTATCCATTCTGATAAAACTCGCGGATTGAAATTGTAGTTTGCAGCGGAGCGATGATACAATTTGGGGATAATTTGGTATCGCCAAAATGCAGGGGTGACACTCGGCGCGTGAAGTATTCGGCCGTCACCATCAGGCCCATCTAGATCAGGATGGACGTCGTGGTCAAAGAGGGCCGCAACGGTGAGAGGCAGCACACTGAAAATGGAGTTGTATACCAGAACATAGAAGGAATCATACACTGTTTGGCCGGACCATCTCGAGGCTGTACCAAAGTGAAACTGGCAAAGGGTGAATAAGAAGTTCTTGTAGATGAAAAAGTTGATGTAGTGAGTTATGCGTTCATAATTCCAACGACCATGATAGAACATAAGCCTATAGAGATCACCAAACCTGCTGATGGCATAATCAGCCGTACCAGCTGCCTGATACCCCTCCTGGCCGAATATACCAACACCAACATGAGCCTGATGTATCATATTGATATCGTTGGCACCATCACCTATCGCTAGGACTCTGCCTCTACCACCAAAGCCATCCTTAAAGAGCCGGACGATATCTCCCTTCTGTTTGGGATTCACTCGGCAGAACACAGCCGATTCACACAGCTCGTGGCTAATGATAGAGCGCAGGCGATTGACGCTCCTTGACGATCGTAGTATAGTCGGCAAGGAAGTTCCATCAATAACGACTGAAAATTTTTGACCAGAAGCACCAGGCTCTGCTATTAGCTTGGATTCTACTGCCATACTCATGCCACGAACAAGAGGAGGAGGAGGAGGAGGAGGAGGAGGAGGACCCTGTTGGTGTCCTTCCCGATCCTGATGGTTGTATCGAATGACAATAGCCACCATCCCAACTATTACTAGCATAGAAGGAAGCCTTGGCCAATCGTTAAACTGGTCGCCCATGATCTCCCAAGTAGCTCGTTCTTCAACTACATGGACTCCGTCATCACCTGAAGGGAAGTCCCCAACTATCAAGGCATACTACGACTCACAACGATATGGCATGCCTTCTGATTGGTGCATAGTAGTCAGACTCACACAGCTACTCTCATCCCCATCTGCTTCCCTACACAACACTCTGTACCTACACATTCCTCATACCACTCCTCGCGCAAATCCTCCCGCCTTTACATATTCTTCGGGCTACTCACGAGATTGCAGCTCCTAGCAATATTCACGGCGGTCTCCCGTTTATCGCCAGTAATCATTGCCACAGTTATACCCGCGTTTCGCAAAGCCGCTACAGTCTGGGGAACACCATCCTGACCATGTGCCGTTGAGGAAATGCAAGATAGCAAGATACCTCCCACTTGAAGCTTATCTTCAACTGCTGTGCACCCTAGCAATGTGAATCCAACTTCGATTTTTTCATCGCAGATTTTGGCCACATTTTTCTCCCTCAAATTCACATCGCCAACCTGTGCCTCGTGTAGCTCCTCTGCAATCATCTGCCACTCGCTATGCCGCAGTCGACGATATGCGACACATAATGTACCTTCCAGGAAGAAACTCAACCCTAAGGGCCCAGGGGCTCCTGCCGAACCACTACGATAGCCCATCTCAGCAAAGTTCTTGACCATCTCCTCAGTATGTTTTAGTGTTCGGTCAAGACCAGCATCAGCATGAACCACACATTTGGAGACTACTGAACTATCTGCGCCTTTCGTGAACACATAAACATGCTTGTCGGGTGTATCTACACGGAGTGGTAGGCAGTCCCTCACCAGGAGTAGTTTACCAGGACCAGTGTCCGTCACTACAGTGCTCATCATCCTTCTCTCACTGCTGAACTCCACCACATGCAGCACTCTAAATTCCTTTTTAACCCTTCCCGGTAGCTCCAACTCTATCGAATGCGGTGTACGATCCGTAAATTGATACCCAAAGTCCGCGACTGCTCCCACCAGTGCACTCTCATCAGGAGAAGTCCCTTGATAAAACACAGAGTCCTCAGAGCCCATCTCCCCGTTGCTTTCCTGGGCATTATCAACGCCCACTCTCGGCACGGACTTCTTGCGGCTGATATACAGGCAGGGATTGCAGCCAATTTCCTCCCTTTTTGGAGTGTCAATGCCTCCCACATCAACTCGCCATTCCGGTACTCTTCGACAGGAGTGATTAATGGCCAGAGCCAGAAGAAAGAGCTCCAAGTTTGGGTCTACCCCGGGGCCAGCCAAGGCCTTTCGAAAACGATTGATCAACCCCGGGGAAGGGGGAAGGACATCTGTGAAATGAGTATGCGTCTTCGCATCGCCGACCTCGCCCGACAGAACACAGTCTTCCGCCGGGAATTCTTCGGAGTACGTTTTGCCGCCGACCGCTGCGCCCTTAAATTCCATCTTATTGCAGGTGAGTGTACCCGTCTTGTCAGAGAACACGTGTGTCACCATCCCCAACTCTTCATGCATGTTCTTAGCATTACACCGAGCATGGAGATCTCTGCACAAAAATGCCCATGCCAGGGATCGAACCCGGGACCTCCCCTCATACTACCTTTCTTCGTCGTATAAGTGTAGGTCCCACTCTATCAAATAGGACTGTGCGAACTTGATGACATCCACGCTGACCCAGAGTGAGACCGGTATCAGAGTGTTCAGCAGGAGGAAATATGAGATGTAAGTCACAACCTCCGACTGATAAGACAGCCCCTCGAGGTACCTAACACCAGCGAATAGCTAACAAACAACACGTGCCGTAATGCACTTCTACCATAACACGCACTGATAACACGAACATGATCAGCAAGGAGGTTTATGCCCAACAAAAGCTCAACAACAGTGAGCTGTTGAGGGCCAAGACCCTAGGATAACAGATCACGCACTCAATGGATGATGGAGCCGGAGGAATTACATCACCTACATCCCACCATCGCGACTACCATGGTGGATCTGCCTCGCTCCCCTCCTCCCCTGCCCGTGTAAAGGTCGACGTTATTATAGTAGCAGCAGCACATAATACGTTGAGGAGCGCGAACAAGACCAAGACGTATTCATTCATAGCCTTATCGACAGTACTCTGCTTACGTGGTCCCATAGAGTGAGCTGATGAAGAATAACAACTACTAACCAACACTGTTGATTCCACTCCTACTATTACCATGACTATTCAGCATCGCCTTGGTCTCGCTCCCCGCATACACCACTACTCCTACAGCCCAGGCGGTATTACGCAAGCTGCACCCTCGGAGCATACTAAGGAGTATGTTATTCTGGAGGAGTGTGCATACTGCAAACTCTTCCACGGGCGCGCGCGAAACGCGGAAACCGCATAATCGATTTTTAGGCTATTATTATACCAGTAACAAAACAGAAATGATAACAGATTCTGAATCTACGCAAAATTCGCTATCGTTTAGCCATTTCGGTTTTCTCTATCCATTTTGGACACTATATCAAGAAAACCGGTCATCCGTGAAGTACAAACATGACAAGTCACTCACACATTGTCAATGGTGATCGCCTGAGACCTTTCCGTTGCCTCACAGTTGTCATCACCCACCGTTAGTGTACCTTGAAATCTGTAAGGAAGTAAGAAAAGCATTCAACCACACAAGATGCCTCATCCAGCTCTTACTTCATCATATCAGTGGTAGGAGCTTCAAAGTCGATGGAGAGCCTGCTGCTCACCAACAATGACAACTCCTGTGCACTCTCATCCTCCGACAACTGACAAGGTATCGCAGTGAACCCCAGAGCAAAAGAGGCTACGTCCGTGACGATGTTGTGACCTTCAAGAGCTACGCGCCTTTCTCCAGTGCTTTCTTCCACGGTATCTGCACTTCACAGCTCTTGTACAGTGGACGAACTATGACCTTACCTGATTCGATGATGCCGGACTCACTATTCCGAGTGGTAGAGCTCATCGCCAGCACTGTCCCAACCAACTTAGGAGCCTCTCTCGTCTTGAGATTAGTCTCCCCATCCAGGTTACTCGTCTCCATATACGCCACCGATCCAGTCTTAGCATTCTCAGCATGTGAGGACAATAATAATACCACATCAGCAGGTAGCTGATCCCACTCCTTCACAAGAACGATTTCCCCAGGGTATATATCGGACCATTGTCTTGAGACCACACGCCCACCCTGGACCACCACATGGCAACGGCCACGGTTAGTCTCCTTATCACGTAGGTAGGCTTGGTACTCCTCAATGAACTCTCGGCCGACCGATACGATAAGCACGAAAATCAGAGGAGCCACAGAGGCAAAGGGATTGAGAGAGCCTACGTCGGGTACGTAAGCTAGAACAGCAGTGAGGAGGAAATAACAGTTCGACAGCCTTCGGAACTGGAAGACTATACATAGTGGGAGGAAGGTAAGCCAAGTATACGCTCGTGTAGATATGCTGTTATTGCAATATGCATAAGAACTCTCACCTAAGACGAAATCATAAAGGGTAATAATAGAGCCGACTCTTTCTTGCTACTACCAACAACAAGATGACGAAGTTGAGGATGAATCGCAGTGACAACTTTAGAGAGGGAAGTCCTCCATAGCCGCATAGAAGGAAGCTGATCACTACGCCTAAGGTCAAACCCACAAAGCTGTTGTCACCGTGAAACACAACACCATACTTTGATGACCAGCAAGTAAAAGGGAATATTCCAAGTGAAATACAGGCCAACAAGTCATCATAACCAACACTATCATCATAATGGTATTATCAGCTACTAGAGCCACGGCCTGCTCCAGAGGCATGAAGTGTATATACGATCCATATGGTCAAGTCTTAGAGCAATATCTAAGTATTCAGATAGGCTCACTCATACCGATATGCTCAGTACAAAGAGGCGTAGTAGTAGAAGGACTATGACTACAGTGAAACATCGAATGCTGTCCTTTTTGACACAATAACTATCAGGCTGACGACGACCTACTGCTATTTACTCATACTACAGCTCCAACTCTATCCACACAACGGTAGTTGTTATCGCTATCATGTTGTTGCTGATTAGAATGATGATGATGATGCCTCCGTCGATGACGGTTCTCTTTGCGAGTTTTTCGCTTATACGACGCCCTCATCTCCTGCAACTGGTCCGAGAAGTAAGCGTGGTCCGTCAGTCCACGTAGTTTGGCAGCACCAACTATTGGTAATACACAAGATGCAGTAATAAGCAAGAGGATGAGCCAAAAGGTGATGTTGCCAGTGGTTGCCACAGCCTCGCGATAAACATCACTACCAAACCATAGATCATATATGTATACGAAAGCTACATATATGACTATGTTCAGTATCGTGTTGCAAAAGATGAACAGTTTCGTCCACTCTACTGTATAATAGAATATCAGCGTCGTGACCATCACCATTATAAACGAGTACAGAAGAATTGACATCATCCAGTAGGAAGCGACATGACCGTTGCTGAGTAAAGGAGTACCCGTATAACCCCAATACCCCCATACCGCGTAGAAGGCGACCAACGATTGCAGTGTTCCAATGATAATCCATCTAAGAAGAATTGACGAGCCAAAATTATAATTCTCATTGGTCCTATGATACAGCCTAGGCACCACTTGCTCATACCATTTATCAACCGTAAGGCCAGTGGGATGAGGCATCCGACCACATCCCTTGGGAGCAGGAGCGTCCAAGTCCGGATCGATGTCCTTATCGAAGAGGGCCGCAATGAAAAGGGGCGCCAAACAGAATACAGAATTATAGGTGAGAACATACCAACTCTCGAAAACCGTTTGACCCGTCCAGTAGGATACTATGCCGAACCAGAACTGGCACAGCGTGTACACAAAGTTCTTGTAGATGAAGAAATTTATGAAATGTGTATTACGCTCGTAGTTTATCCGACCATGATAGAACATAAGCCTATAGAGATCACCAAATCTGCTGATAGCATAATCAGCCGTACCAGCTGCCTGATACCCCTCCTGTCCGAATATACCAACACCAACATGAGCCTGATGTATCATATTGATATCGTTGGCACCATCACCTATCGCTAGGACTCTGCCTCGCTTATCGAGACTGGCCCTCACTAGATGTACGATCTCCCCCTTCTGTTTGGGGTTCACTCGACAGAACACAGCAGACTCGCATTGACCGTAGGTGAGCACCTCCAACAACTTCTTCCTACTGGTCGGGTTCACAAGTATAGTAGCTAGACTTGCACCATCAATGACCAGCGAGAACTTCTCAGTTGTCGTAGAGTTCCCATCCGGTGTGCTCACGCCACGTGCTGATGCCACCCTCATCGGAGAGGACGCAACTCGGGATGTGTTCGATGCAGTTCGAGAGACGAGTCTTTTGGCCTAATAAGATAACAATTTGATGGAAGTGTGGTAAGCTACTTCTCCATGCCCGGCCAAAAAAACACCAAGTTTGGCACGTGAATGTCACCTGTTGTTCGTTGCGAATTTTATCCTCAATGTCCTGACCTTCCCCAGTGAGCTCCCATATCGCTCGTGGATTAGGTCCCAGTAGCATATCACTTTCATCAGGGTCGCCGTCCTCATCCAATGAGCCAGGTTCGAGCGGTGTATTCACTCCCAGTGCCGGCTCTTTGGCCTCTACAGAAAAGGCAACAGGTGATACACTCATCGCGAAAAAAAGCAGATAGATCATCGTCGAAATTGGCCACAATCGTTACACAGAGCCATTCCAGCTGCGGTAGAGTTTAGAGAGGAATTACGTATGCGAGAGCCATAACTAACCCCGTCTGGGACCCACCTAGAAGTTGCTGTAAACTCCTTATTGGGACGAAGTTACCACCACCGAACATGTTGTTTTGGCTCATCATCGTATACCTAATATTGTCTTCCTCTGCCATAACCTCTGCCGTCTCTACACATGAACTACTACACATTCTGTTTGCTGGTGACTAGTCGACAGCTCCTGGCGATGTTGATCGCCGTTTCCCTTTTATCACCAGTTATCATACAAACCGTGATATTGGCATTACGCAAAGATGCAATGGTCTCAGGGACCCCATCCTAAGAACAGTTCAAATCCGACAAGCTGCGAAAAAGACACCACGTCAATTTTACTTGTAGTTTATCCTCTACTGCTGTGCACCCTAGCAAGGTGAAGTTTACCTCAATCTTCTTGGCCTCTATCTCGCTCACTAGACGCTCCCTCTCTACCACCTTGGTCTGGGCAATATCGATCTCACTCTGGATACTCTTCCATGCTGATAGCGACATCGTACGATAGGCAACGCATAGCGTACCTAAGGAGATGATGCACCAACAGGCCTACACAGGTAACGCGACCACTGCATTCGTGAGAGACCCTTCCTCATTGAGACTTACGGAATCCCGTCTCAGCAAACCTTGCAACCATCCTCTTAGTATGTGTTCGAACCATATTATCATCGCTGGTATTATTAATACACTTGGGTAAAATAGAGCTATCAGCTCCCTTAGTATAAATGTACACAGGCTTATCGTCAGTATCTAACACCAACACTCTGTCACCACCACTGTCACCACCACTGTCACCACCACTATTACTACCAGCTGTGTCATTGTCAGTTGCGACCACCGTCATCATCCTCCGCTCACTAGTGAACTCAACCACGTGTAAGAGCCTCCAGGTCTTCTCAGTGCCATCAGGCAGTCTGACCATCTCCACCTCAGGTGTTCGGTCAATAAAACGTATACCAAAGTCAGCCGCTGCGCCCACCAAAGCGGTCTCATCTGGAGACGTGCCTTGATAACTATCCGGCTCTTCGGCATCTCCCTCGTTCAGCCCGCCCGCACCACCATCCATCATACCTCGACCTAATCGCCCCGAATCATCCCCGTCATCCCCCCTCTGTTCCTGTCCCTTCTTTTTCTTATTGAAAAGCTGTATGCAACCAGTGAGTATCTTCGCTGGCTCCTCTGCCATATGCTGAGGATCTATATGACCTCCAGCGACATGCTCACAAGAATGGTTCAAAGCCAGGCACATGAGAAATTGCCCCATTGCCGAGTCCACGCCATCGCGATGTAACTCTTGTTGCAATAACCCAATGAGCTGCAAGTTGGTTGGGAGGACGCCCGAGAAGACCGCGTTGCACTTCTTTCCATCGGGGACCGAGCCAGGCGCCGGGGCGTTAAAATCGAGAGAATACGTTTTGCCGCCGACCGCTGCGCCCTTAAATTCCATCTTATTGCAGGTGAGTGTACCCGTCTTGTCAGAGAACACGTGTGTCACCATCCCCAACTCTTCATGCATGTTCTTAGCATTACACCGAGCATGGAGATCTCTGCACAAAAATGCCCATGCCATGGATCGAACCCGGGACCTCCGAAACTCACCTTTCTTTATCGTAGAATTGATTATCCCACTCGATGAGAAATGACTGGGCCAACTTGAGGATCTCGAGCGTGACCCACAGTGACATCGGTATCAATGTATTCAACAGGACGAAGAATGCGAGGAAGTTGATAATAGGATTTTGATAACTCAAACCCACCAAGTACCTAAATCGACCCAACATACCCTTTCCCGTTCAATCCGATGATAATATACTACTACTACCAAGGAAAGTCCTCATCCTCTGGTGAGGGCTCCGTACTGAAAACGATAGTGACGATGGCACAGAGGATCACCAACAACACGACCAGCCAAGTAACATAGGCATTTTGCTGATTCTCCACCGTAGAATGCTTAGATGGATGTAGACCAGCGGCTGAGATTGCAACAATATTACCAAATAGGTATGGAGATGATGAATATGTACCTCTACTATTCATCTCAGCTTTGCTATCATATCCAGCATAAGTCACCATACCAACGGCCCAAGGAGTGTTACGAAGTTTACACCCACGTAGGAGCCTGATACTACCATAATCACTCTACGTGGAGTAATAATAATACTCACATGTTGTTGATAGACAACCCCTCAGCAAAGCCCTCATCTTCCGTGTTACTGAGCGGAGCAATGGTCCCTTTGAACCTACCAACAGCACACACTATTGGACCGCCCCCTGGCCATCTCAACTGCGACTCACTTGTACATATCAGCATGAGGAGCTTCAAAATCCATCGCCATGGATGATACCAAACGCCCGAGAGAGTCCTCAGCATTGATGCCAGTAGCGAACCGCTTGACAGTCTACCGAAAACGAAGGGGGATGAAAACATTAACAAGTTTTATCAAGTACCATCCTCTCCACTGGTGATCCCTGTTGTACGCCTGCAGTGCTCGAATCGGGCTCGGTAGTAACTGCAGGAGGGACTGACAGGCTTATAGCATAGACACTGGAGGAAGGAGCAGCATGAACACTACCTGAAGTCTTGGATCGCCGTGTTGTGAACTCCGAACCAGCAGCGACCATCTTTCCAACCAACTTAGGAGCCTCTCTCGTCTTGAGATTAGTCTCACCATCCAGGTTACTCGTCTCCATATACGCCACCGATCCGGTCTTAGCATTCTCCGCGTGTGAGGACAATAATAATACCACATCAGCGGGAATAGGCTCTTGATCCATCACCAATACCACATCACCCACACGGAGATCAGACCAGGGGACGGCCACCACTGTACCGTCCTTGTCGATCTTGTGGGTCTTGGTGGAGTTAGTTTCCTTATCTCTATTATAAGCCTGATATTCCTCGACGAATTCTCGTATTTCCGATACTACTAATACGAATGCCAAAGGAAAGAGAGCCGACACTGGGCTTAGAGACGACACGTCGGGTATGAGCATTACCACTGCGCTCGCGAGGAAGAAGAGATTCGAGAACTTGCGAAATTGAAATAGTAATGACAATGGTAGAAAAGAAATCCAATTATACCGACGAGACGATACACGATTATCATAGTACTCGTGGTTGGGCACACCTGATATAGAAATACTACTACGATGCGCTGCCTGTCGCTCCTGTGGTCATTACCAACTTCAACATGTCGGTAAGGGGCTTGGGCCGAATCGGCCCGATCCCGCCGTCTGACCTTCTTCCAAGCTTGTCGAATATGCTCAGCGACGTAATCAGACATTCAAATGAAACACTATTGGCAATCCCTTTTCCTACTCCCAACACACATAGCTAGCCTCGCACTGGGGAGTGGCTGGAAGAGACAGCTTATGCGAGACGATGCATGTAGAGCGCTACCCGGGTGAAAGTAATCCAACACTGGTAGACTCAGAGATATTCCTTCACTTTGGCTGTAGACATTACCACCATCCATATGCGGTAGTAGTGCGCACAAAAATCACTTACATGAATCGATCATAATGGCGCGCGCTACTCGCATTGTAACTCACCTAGGGTGATCTTGCAGGTATACAGGCTGTTTGAACGGTAGTTTTGTAAAGCAAAGTTGTTTGTATCAAGATGTCTGCAACTGCTGGATTGGGAGCGCTTTTCGCGAAGAAGAAAAAGAAGGTAAAGTCGTTGAATATGACGGCTAAGATGAAGGAAGAGGCCAAAGTAGAGGAGGCTCAAGAAGAGACCTCCGAAGAGCATGGTCTCGAGGTACGACCAAGGCCCTGATGATATCCGGAAGTGCATTGACAGGACCATTTCACGGCTATCGTAAGCGGTGCTGAGCCCCTGGTGAAAACTGAGACTAAGGTTGTCAAGACTGATTTCATAGCACAGCAGGAAGAGAAGGGAAAGGATGAACCAGAGCTGGATGAACAGCCTGAGGCTGTTGACTCTAGTGAGGGTAGCCTAGCCTAGCTGCGTCCTGTGTTGATGTCTGTCGGATGTAGTGACGAAGAAGGGTTGGGGTAAGACGCCTGCTGATGTGGCTGCTGAGGTGGAGGAAGAGGAGAAGAGACATGAGATAGAGGAGACGGAGAAGTACTTCATCAATTGTAGTTGTCGATGATTGTGGCTTCGTAGGCTTGCCGCGAAGAAGGCGGAAGAGGCTGCTAAACCTAATGTTTATGTACCGGCCTACTTGCTCAAGATGGTAGTAGTTTTTGCAGGACTCACACGGTCGAATTATGATGTTATTATTGACAGCGCGAACAGAAGAAGGCAGCAGAGCAGAAGGAACGTATCAGAGACCAAGGCTTGACGCCAGCTCAGATGGTGGAGATAGAGAGGAAGAAGAAGTTGGCTCAACAGGAGACTACGGAAAAGGCTAAGAAACTGGTAATAGCAGGTGCCTCGGCTAGATACGTGTGATAACTTGGGTGTTTAAGGCTACTGCAGCGACTGCAAGTGCAGCAAATGAGGAGAAGAAGAGGCAGGAGCGTGAAGAGGCTCAGCGTCGCAAGGCTGAGTTGAAAGAACAAGTCAAGAAGGCTATGGCCGCTGGTACTACTACATCACTTCTCCTCGTCTTCCCTTATCGCTATCAACTTCAGAGGAGTCGTCCAAGCAAATTACTCCCCAATCTAATGCTAGTAAGGTTGAGGGCAGTGCTTCTTACGACCAGCTTGTTGGCAAGTAAGCTTTCTCCTCATCTAGGCTATTCCCACTATTGTTATATCAGATACCAGTGCCGAGAGCGAAGACCTGTGCGACCCCATGCTGAGTTGGATCCCTGTTTCCTACCTCCTCTGCAGAGTGTGGCGTAAGCGTCTCTATCGCAGTTCCTGTACAGTCCATTGATACACCGTGCTACTGTTGCTTATCTATCCTCACCGACGTATCCGTGATTCGAGTCCTGCGTCGTGCATGAGTTCCATGTTAATAACACCAGCTTGTCTACTCTTTCCTATGTGCTCCTACTGACCTCAACAACGTGATCATGTTGCTAGAGTCCTTCGCAGCCTTATTGGTATTAGCTGCTGCTGCCAGTAGTCCGGACATACACCGAGCCTGGATCGAGCCTGATGTGAACGAGCCCTCCGATTGCGTTGTTCAGTTCTCTTTATTCACCCTCTATGTGGAGGGTCTCTACTTAGAGTCCGTCGACGCAGTAGCCTTGGTCGGGTACGAAGATAGCTGTGCCAACGTCTCTGTTGGCAGCACGAAATTCCTATCTCGGTCCAGCCAATGTGCCCCCGAGGTCCCTGGTCCATACCCCATCTCTACTGGAGCAACAAAGCTCCTATGCAGTGTCACCGCCCGAGAACCTGGCAGTAGCATGCCGTGTTTCTCGATGGACTCGGGCCTTACCTTTCCGCTGGGTCTTGGCGCTAACCAAACCTCCCTCACCATTATACAGTATGACACTTTCGCGATGACTGATGGTCTTGTCCCTCCTGGTAGGAAGTTCCCTGGAAAGGCCCATGTCAACGCTATCAGCACTAGATCTAATGGTATCGTCATTGTAGGCTACAGCGACGGCTATGTTAGGCTTTGGGATGGTGCATCTGCGACTGAGCTCTGGAGTAGTCCAGCGAATACCCTTGACAAGGTGCCGGTAACTGCTGTTGATTCTCGTGGAGATTTGATGGCTATTTCTGGCGCTAATGGCCGCGCTAGTGTTTGGAACATCACTGGAACAACAGCATCAGAGTACTCTGTGCTCCGGGTTGACAATGAGCCTAGCTCTTTCAACTGTATTGCACTCTCGCCTAATACAACTGATATCATAGCCGTTGGTAGTGACCTCGGTAGGGTATTCATCTTCCGGGTGAGTGTCACGTTGTCACCTGTTGTAGGCATGGCTCAAGTGGGAGAGCCAGTGTCCGTCGTCAAATGGTGTCACAACGGCATGTTTGTCGTGGTTGGTACTCTGGCCGGCAGCGTGTCTTGGTGGTCTCTCATTGACCTCACTGAACCATCAGCAGTCATGGACGGCTTGTGTGGTGGGCGTGGTGGGGTTGCCGATTTACAGTGTGCAACGTTTGCGTCTGATGACGTGAGTTACGTGTTCGTAGCTTGTACTAGTGGCACTATAACAGTCCTGCGCTTCGATGACACTCTGAAGCCTGTTGTTTCAAATACGTGGTCACTGCCTAACAAAACAGAGCGTGATTCTCTAATAGTAGCAATGAGTCTGTCCTCCGATCTGGAGTGGCTGGCTGTACGTGCGGTGGACTTTGTCTTCGTATACGATACGAATGAGACTCTCAGTTCTGAGCATCATCCTGAGTTCTGGGATGTTCTCAATGGCTCGAGGTTGCTCACTGAAGGATCCTCTTCGTGGTACGTAGTGGAGGCAGGTTCCGCTGGGAATGCTCCGTTCGCTGGGATCAATCCCGTCGATGGAAGTGTGAGCTTCTATCCCTGCTGGCCTTCGCCTGATGCTGATCGTCGTAGTACAATAGAGAACATCAGCGAGCTCACTTGTGCGTCTTCATCTGCTGCGCCAACGATAGCGCTCGACGTAGTTTTACCTTGGGAGTTCACTGCTATTCGCGGATCCTATACAGTCTCAAGCATTGGTGCCATCCCAGCTGAGGACTGTAGGAGTGGCCAGTTGCCAGTTACGGACTGGATCTCCGCTCCTGGTTGGAAGTGGACTCTGGTTAGGACCTTCTCCATGGCGGTCTCTTCTGACTGTAGTCCACTCGACGGTGGAGGTAGTCCAGGTTCCCAGCTTATAACCCTGAAGCAGTGCCTGGACATCTGTGTCTCGCTAGGACATTCGAGCCGAGTGTGTAATGTTGTCAACGCCCTGCCTAAGTTGGGTACAGTCGGGTTTGACAGGCTTGTAACAGTCTGTGACCTGCGCCACTGTGATGACGTTACAGCATTGCGCTTGCAAGCAACTACGAACAACAGTACAGATGGGAAGGCTTTCGAGGTGTGGGGCCGATATAATGGCTCTGCCTTCGGTGGTGGGTATACTGCATTTGGTACCCCTGACCGAGTGGTCTATGGCGGATGCAGTGTGCCTGGGGGGAAGGTCCCGCATGGCAGCGCAGGTGGTGCGCTGATGGTCCTCAATGAGACCATATTCCGATCGCATCCCAGCAACAGACTGAGATTCCAGGTTGCTCAGTCTAATGCAGAAGAACGAGTGATGATACATTCAATACGTCTCGAGCTATTGCGACAGCGCCCTCAACCAGTTCGTGTTATCCGAGATCCTCTCGTGTCGTCTAGTGGTGACAGCGAAGTTGACGCTAACTCGCGGAGGGGAGGCGAAGTGAGCGGTGCTTCATCTAAGGGAGCGATCGCTTGGGGACGGGCTAACGATGCTACAGCCAGTCCATGGTTGTTCTTTTCCAGCCGGGACCTTTCTGTGGCGGCCTTCGATCTTCGTGGTCTCTATTTGCAAGAGGTGCCAGATGCTACTGGAACGCAATATATGTGGTGGAAATGGAAACCAACCGTGGTTGAAGACGTCCGTCGGAACATTGCCCCTCAACGGCCGTCGTCAATATTCGTAGCTGGAGTTGGCCTCGACCTGACGTCCACTATAAGGATCAATCAAGTGCCGTACTGTGGTGCAATGGACTCTCGGTATCATCATAGCGCGGTTAATGTCCCCAACGATATCCCTATTGTGACAATCCAGGGGACTTTGAACATCACTGTCTTGGAATGGACCAATGTAACCATATCTACGACAGGCGAGTATAAAGTCTGCTGGTGCGCATCCTCATGCTGTTCCCTCCAGGATGCGCTGTGGTCGAATGGCCTCGCGGGCCTGCTTGTTGTCTCTGGTCCCGATTATGATAGGAATTATCACGTTTGCCGCTGGGGTTACGCTTGTGTCATATCTAACTATGTTGGTCATGGTCTCCAGCAAGATGATCGTCTCCGGCTTTCCCCTTTCACTGGTGTAGTAGAGTGTACAACTTCGTTATCGAGCATAGGATTCTGGTCTCCGGCTGATCCTGCTATAATGACAACTCGCACTTCCGACGGCTCTGAGTATCGTACAGAGTTCCTAGATGTGGACGGTATCTGGAAAGACTCCCAAGTGACCGATGCTTCCCGAACCGGAATTACTATCATGCTTTGTTGGTGTCGAGCTGGCGATGGGTGTAGCGACAGCGTTGTCGACTATCAAACTCCTGCGGGGATCCTCGCGTTCACTCGGTTCACCTCGGACCCTGCCAGACCTCTTCAGTGCGAACAACATTCACAGTGCTTAGTGTATATGGCAGAAGATAGCGCTCCACTGGACCCTGGTGATAAGCTCATGATAAAGCATCTTCCTACTGGCTCTGTCCCCAGTGGGGTCGATCCGTGTTCAGCCAGTTCGCAAGTGGTCGAAAGTGCTGGCTTTTACGGTCGAAGCCAGGGTTGTAGGGCTCCTGACTACTCAACACAGTGCCTCGAGTTCGACTTCGGAATTATCAACGCTGATACAGTACCTGCCGGTGATTATTTGGTCTGCTGGTGCCAAGGAAGTTTACGGCCATGTGTCGATGAGTCGGAGTTCGCAGTCTCAGTGAGCGAGACAGAGTACTTAGTGATATCACCAGCGCCGTATGTCTTCCCAAACCAATGCACTCTAGCGTATCTTGGATGGAGAGCACCGTGGTTAGGTTATCACGACTGTTGCTGCAACTTCAAGGAATTGGGCTCCAGCCCAGGGTGTGAAGATCCAGACAGTGTCGCTTCTAGAACTTGCAATGATACCACTAATTATCAGTGACTACTATGAGCATGCTATACGTGTCGCTCTGTCACAGTTTTTGGAGAGAAGACAGTGATTGCGTGGGCCCCGAGAGTCTTATGACTGTCATCAGACAATCAGACTGTCTGTCACTAAAGTTACTGTAGGAACAGTGACCTTTCCTAAGTTAGGACTAGGATTCCTAACCTCAAGTTGTTCATTTTCGTCTCGTCCCCTGAATGTTGCTACCCACTCATCGATTGGTTATACAGTAAGCTTCATGCCGGTGGTGGGGGCGCTCAGGGCTATCCATAGAGCTTTCGTTTCTTACGTGGGATATGAGCACATTTTGGTTGACGTCGATACCCAGAAGGGGACAGCTCTTGTGACGTACTACAGTACATCGGTATTATGCTTTTCGGTTTACTGTGTACTGCGATCAGGTTGAATCGTCCAGAGGTCCTCGATGTCTTATGCGGCGATCTCATAAAGGAGCTCGGTGCTGCCTCCAATGCCCTCGACAAAGACGGAGACGTCCGTGCTATTGTTATCACTGGAGGTGGGGACTCCCCACTGGGGAGAAGGCTTTTGCGGCTGGCGCCGATATCAAAGAGATGAATTGTCGACAAACGATGGCCGAGGTCCACAAGCAGAACATGTTCGCCTTTTGGCAAGATCTGGCTAATGTCAGAAAGCCCATTATTGCTGCCTTAAATGGCTATGCATTGGGTGGCGGTTGTGAGTTGGCCATGTTGTGTGACATTGCCCTCGCAAGCGAGAAGGCAGTGTTTGGACAGCCAGAGGTGAGCTCACGCTGTAAGTTGTGATTGGAATCTCACCGTTGCAGGTCACTCTCGGTACTATTCCCGGAGCGGGTGGAAGTCAGCGTTTGACTCGTGTTGTGGGGAAAAGCTTGGCCATGGAGCTCTGTTTGACAGGCAGACTCATGTCGGCAGATGAGGCTCTCAAAAGAGGCCTCGTATCTCATGTACTTACCGACCTCTTTGCCTGAGAAATCACGCACGATAGAGCTGCGAATATCATATTTGACCCTCAGGTCTTCACGCCCGAGGAGCTTGTTCCCAGATCTCTGGAGATGGCTCAGCAGATAGCATCCCTCTCTGCTCCTGCAATTGCCATGACCAAGAATGCAGTCAATCGCGCCTATGAGACCACACTTTCTGAGGGAGTGAGGTAAGTATAGCTCGCGGCTTTTAAGACCGGAGTTCAATCTAGTTCTTCGGCTTAAGGCCACTGTAAACTGCGTTGCGAATCAAATTTGTGTATGATCCGAATCTGAGATTTCGAAGATCTCAAACATATGTGATGAGCCTCGGGTGCTCGCAGTAGAGCTGTAACAGACTTTCTATGCGACATGATCATGACTTAAACCTTCTGTCTCCTGTATTCCACCGGAAGATACCTAATAGGAGAACTATGCCTAATAATAAACGATACCTAATAAATAATAAACTATACCTAATAGTTCCGGCGTCTATGGCATGAGCTTCATGTTGGAGATTATCCTGGGCATAAAAGAAATTTGCTCCGGGAGAGCATGCTAAGTGCTCCGGAATATGGAAGTTTTGGGACAATCGCTGCCTCGCTCTCCAATTGGCAGTTCAATCTCATGCTCATGCTCTCATGAGAAGCGCATCTTCTACAGCGTACTCCATGTTGGTCGTCGAACTAACGACATCAACGGTTAATGACAGTCTGATATTGGTGCCACAGGCAGACGTGCGAACGAGAACTCGATTTCTCCATGTGTAGAATCATAGTATCATACTAGTTATGCATATGAATCTAGTAGTATGATACTGCATGATAGATTCATATGCAGCAATTGAGTATCTGCCGAGCGCCATATACATTCAATGTATAACACTGGATGGATTCGGTTTCTCGTTTGTAAACCATATCGATCAAACTTTAAATTGAAGTCTTCAATTATAGATCTTCCTGACAGCTGAGGGTTGCAAGGGCTGGCAAGCGCCACAGGACAAACAATGCCGCAGAGGCACTTCACAGGTCGCTCGAGGGTCTATTCGGCTGAGGCCATCCATACATCAGAGTCTTCTCTAGTGGTTGATGTAGCCCGCTGCCGAGAAGATATATCTAATGTGTGATTCTCGTTTCGTGCCGGATAGTCGAATAAGCCTTATCTGCATTGCAGACTTTCAGAGTCTCACTCCGTGGAAGATGTCATCAAGCTCAAACTTCGAGGGGTCTCTGTAATAGATACCCCCGAGAAGGGTTCTTGATTCGTTATCCCATACCTCGTTCATCGGCATATGATTTCCAACAGCATCGTTGGAGTTTGAGTAATGTCCTGGTGAGGGTTTTCGGAGTTGAGTTTGGACACTCGTGGCGAGGTCCTTAATGTATTCTTTGACCGTCGGTGATTTCTATTCGACCGTCGAACTTCGGCGGAACAAGGGATCCCTTGAATGTGTGCGTCATTGAAAATCTCCATTCTGGCATAGTGGATGATTTGTGATAACTGTCCTATAACGAATATCGTCGTCTAACTCAGGTTCGAACGAAATCTGTTCCATTCAACTTGGGCTCTACAAGATCGCAAGGAGGGCATGACCGCTTTTGTTGAGAAACGCCAACCCCAGTGGAAGAACCAATGATTTCTAATTTCGTGTTCACAGGTCTATGACTCATCTCAATATGATATTGACAATATCGCTCATGGTGTTTCGCACGTTGTGGCGTTGTGCATTTCAGTTGTGATGAGGTTACTCCTCGGAAGTTGCTCAGTCGGGAATGTCGATTCAGGTTGCTATCCCACATTCGGCACCACAGTGACGGAACCCTCCACTGCGCGTGTCAGAGATAGGAACCTGTGCATTTGCCTCGAATCTAGTCATGCAAGGCTCTATGATAAGGAGCCTACAATAGGTCACATCATCTACCCATTCAAGTTCGCTAGTGATGGAGGCCCACGCTACTAGCGTGGGTCTAAGGCAGAACAGTAGCAATTATTCACGACGAACTATAACCATCTCTCTTAGCATCCTCGTTTCATCTTGCAGTCCAGCCACAATCTGGGCAATTCTCATCACTTCTTCTCTAAGAGTATTTACTTGTTCCTGGAGAGAATCTTCATCTTCATCGTCCTTCTCCTTATGGTCCTCATCAACAATAGACTGGTAATCGGCACCATAATCCACTCTATCGTAAGCATGATGGAAACCACCATTATTACTCTTCTTACTCACAGGAAATAGGTTAATATCTGCAAACGATTCGGATAATTTGCCAACAATAGGCTTGTCATTCTCATCGTAGAAGTCCGATAAGGATACGGTCACAGTATAAGTTACTTCTCCTTTGAAGGCTGACTCATAATACTATTATGATAATGGGACGGACCCACCATAACGTCGATTTTGGCCCACATAATAGGGTTGACTGAATATATGAGATTTTTAATTTGCGGACCCACACACCCTTTCCAGCGAGCGTCCTTCATTGCATAATTATTGGTCAACAAAGCTCCTACGTGCCCAATGAATATCGTATTTCCGATTCGAATCGAATCATTCGATTAGGGATGCTGTGAGTTATCGAGTACTAAAAGCCTTCGCAAGTTCACTGAGGCATACAAGGATGTTGAGTAAGCGATATTCCAAACTGAGCTAAGATGTTCACCCCCAGACAAAAGGAGATATTCAATGTCGTGTCGCTCGTACACTGATGCGAGCTGGCTACTTTAGCATATGATATGGCAGCAGGAGCGGTGAATAGACGACTATTACTAAATCGTTCCTGGACCCTGAATAGACCACTCAAACAGCAAAAAATTTTGCAAGTTATGTTAGTGGGAATAACAGTTTCTCGTTATGTAGATTGCTGACACATCAGTCATCATCCATCACTGCAAACACAACACGGATTATGCTCACGACAAGCAACAACATGTATGTACAGAATGATAACTTCGGGTGGTGAAATCTTCCCACATGGATCATGTGACACGACTACTTTATCGTATAACCCATCTTCGCATAATGCCCCTTGAGAATGTTTGTTCGAAGGTTTCCGAGTTTGACCACCACCTGTCCAAGTCCAACCATCATGATACTCGCTATGAAGCGGAAGACCACGATAGAGCTCACCTCGTCCACGGTCTCCTGATCTTGCCCGCAATCTCTCAACGCCCGGGCCACCAGTTGCAAGAAGCAGTCGAGATGGTAGTCAGTGATCGCCAGGACAGCATGAATTTCTTCTAATGATCGCCCGCTGTATTCAGAGGGTCCACCTAGGGTCTTTATGATGAAGTCCGTTTGAGCTTGCTTGATAGCCTTCAGTTTCGCGCCGGTGAAGAACGGGTTGATCCTCCTGTCACGTTCGACACACTCGTACAGTCGAGTGACGAATTCGTCGATGCCCTCGAGTCCACCAAGTCTCGAGAAGAGCTGGTCTTCACCTGCTCAGGATTCCAACCTGTCTTATGCCGCATCAGCATTCCTGACTCACCATCTTGCTTATCTCGTTTCTGCGCTAGCTCTCGGCGAAGTGCAAAACCAGTCGTGATATCACTCCTCACACTATTCATGACCTATAGATAAGCTGATGTTCCAACAGCGAACGAGGTCTTACCATAAGAGCGTCATCGATAGTGTCAGCATTCACGTCAATTTCTCGGCAACTTTCCGAGAAACAGTCCAGCATCTGTTATGATAACATCCCTAGAGAGCAGACAGCCTTTCCACCAACCCACCGCATCGACGTGATAATCCGTGATGTTCATGTTGTAATGAGCTGGTTTGATTCCCGCCGGGTCATAATGTTTCGGCCCTCCGAACGCTCCCGCCAGATATTGGTACCTAACAATAACATCTGCAATGATCATGACTACGAGGCGCTTACATTTTTTGCTTCAATGCTCGTATCTTAGCTTTCCCTTTTTCAAGGAAGTAGCGTATTCTGTCATCGGTCATGGCCTTGTCGAACCTACTGGTACACTGGGCTACACCACTTCTGGAGTGGAACCTCACATGGATTCAGTCAGAGCTTCCAAGTTCATATCCCCACCGATTCGGTCAATGATCGGCTTGCCGTCCTTGACCTTCATTTGAGCAGCGAGGGCCGCCTCATCTGCCAAAAACACGTAACGCCCATCTGACACTTCTGGTGTGCTCACTGCCGTCTCGTCCGAGGACAGTCTGGCGAAGAGGCTCCATGGTGATCAGGACTTCGTCGATAAGGTTCTCGTCCATGCCCAAACCCATCATTGCCTTCTGAAAGTCGCTACAGAAGCAGTCGAAATGGTAGTCTGTGACGTTGAGATCCTTGTGGATCTCTTTCAGGTCTCGACCTATTACGGCCAACGTTTCTGCAGCTACTTCCCTCACTATCCACTCCGCTCACCGTTGTAGACCTTGGGACCTCCGAACAGCTCAATAAGGACGAGTGTCTGACCTTCCCGAATTTTCTCCAAGGTACCGTCACCAAAGAAGTCCTTAATACGGGCATCACTCGCCACCAATTGATACCTATCATCACCACGATTCGCATAGCGACTGAAATCACTACGGTATTCGTACAAACTGTCCAGTAACTTGAGGATGCCTTCCTTTCCTCCCATACGCTCGAAAAGGTGGTCAAGACCTAAAAGTCAGGGTAGGGCAAGAAGCTCTCGACGTAGTTGCAGCACTGTGTAAAGCCCCAGAAGATACCTTTTTCGACATTCTTCCTAGCCATTTCCGAGCGGACGGTGTATCCAGTCGTGATGTGAGCTCTTACAGGCTGCAGCACCCCCATGAACTCTCGTGCGAGGGCCTTCTCAACTTGGAGATCCTCCAGTAAGGTAATGGCCAAAAGGCCGAGCATTGTGTCGAAGTGGAAGTTGGAGATGTTCATCGCATAGTGAGCAGGTCTGAGGTGAGGTTACATAATAATCTGTTCTTGCAGGAACTACCCTACTTCAGATCGGCGATATCATAACCAGCGGGCCCTCCTGTGAGGGTGGACACGAACTGGGTCATCTTCTTCTTGATACTGGCAACCTTTGCCTTGTTCTTCTCAAAGTAGAAGCGGAGTCTATCATCGACCAGAGCCTTGTCGTAGGCAGTGTCCATCAGTTTAGAAATGCTGTACTCGCCACCGAGGCGGTCATATCTGTCTTAGGATGGACGGAGCGAGTCGAATGCCTCATCCGCTCACAAAGGCTTCTTATTGGCGAGTTCCATAGCCTTCCTGACGTCGTGTTGCATGAGCTCTCGATTAACAACATTCTTCCGAGCAGATTCCATCAGAACAATGCCTGAGGGGGAGATCCGAGCACGCATGGCAATCGATTCGCTTACAGTCGTCAATTGTATCCGCGTCCATCATCAGCTTCAACAGGGCGGTCTTGGCACAGTCCAGGAAGGAATCGAAATGGAAATCAGATATTTGAATGAGTGAATGTATCGATGGCAAGTCACGACCAGTATAGTGTGTCGTAGAGCCAAAAAGCTCCTTGAAGAAAATGCCTACACAAAGCAAGGCAGCAGTGACCCAACGCCCCTTGCTGGTGTGTGTTCTGTACTCTGGCTCGCTTTCACCGCGTCCAACTTGGCTCCTTGAAAGAAGTGCTTAATCCTGTCGTCTCGCGTGACCAAGTCATATAGCTCGTCCATGAAGTGCGTGATGCCCTCATCTCGACCCAGTTGATTGAATAGTCCCTCAGTGCCTGTTCAACTGATACCAACAGCTCAATCTACCCTCAATCATTATCACCCGAAGCCTCTGTCTTCATCCTAGCAATTTCATACCGTACAGTGCAGCCACAGGTAATGTATGAGCGCAACGTAGATATGACTTCTCTGATGTCGGCTGTGACAGCATGAGGCAAATCCAACATACCACAGACCGCCTGCTCAGACAGGACCAGGATCCTCGACCGGGATATAGGGACCAACAGCTTACTTCAAGGTTCTCCACGACGGCATCGAACTGGTAGTCAGTGATATTGAGGTTATAATGCGCCGGCCTCAGTCGGGCGTAATCGTACGTCTTGGGACCTCCGAAGAGACCCGTGAGCAGTTGGACCTGATTGATCGGAAACAGTATGGTGATGGTCCGACTCGCTCGAGAGGCTACGAATTTAGCTTGTATGCCACTCAGCTTAGTAGGATCCTTAGTGAAGAAATATTTAACTCGTGGATCGACGACACAGCCAGAGAACCTATTGAGGGTCGTGAAGTAGACATGGTGCGGTAGGTGCTGCACATGGTCTCCACGACAGCTTCCAGATTCATCTCGCCGCCTATCCTTTCGAGAATCGATTGGCCATCAACCATCTTAGTTTCCGCCCTCATTCCCCGTTTTCTGTTGAGTACTTCGTCCCGCAAAGGCTCCATAGTCACTATGATCTGCAGCAAGAGCAACGTCAGCTGAATCCACCGAGGTGGACACAAAGAGGGATGACCTCGTCGATCATGTTCTCTTCAACTCCCATGGCATTGAGAGCTTTCTCGCAGTTCATGGTGAAGCAATCAAAGCCGTAGTCATCAATTCCCAAGCCCTTGTGAATCTCAGACAGTTCCCTCCCTGACCACGGAAAAGAGTCTTTCCAACGGAAATCTTGGCTAATAAAGGCCAAGACGATTCACCGTTCTCACCCTGCCATGCCGTGGGGCCGCCCAAAAGGGCCGTGATGTATACTAGCTGGGCCTTCTTGATGCTGACACAGTCGTTCATGCTAGTGGCGGCCCGTTCAGTACCCACCTTTCTATGTCCTTCCCTTCAAAGTAGGGTGCCATCCTCTTATCCCCGATCAAGAGATCATACACGCGGTCGACGAAGTCCTGGATGCCCTCAGCCTCACCAAGTCTGTTCACGAGGAATACCGTGCAGACGGGAGCCAGCGTGTTGTCATACCGTTTGAATAGGGCATCAAGGCCCTTCTCGTTACTCCTCCTAGCAAGCTCCATTCTCACAGTGCAGCCCGTGGTGATATCCTTCCGAGTGGCCGCTAGCACCTTCATGGCATCCTGATACATATAGCATTGAGAGTTTCCGCAAACAACGAGACTGCTTTACTCTAACAGCATTAGCATGAGCTCCAGTCGAGATGAACGTCTGATGGAACATCTCGGCAAACTGAGAAGGGAGCGTGCAACAACGGGGCCTTAAGACCGACGCTACTACCGCGTCAAAATGGAAGTCGGTAATATTCAGCTGATAATGTACTGCTTTCAAGCCATCGTTATCATACGTTGATACGCCACCTAGGAAAACTCAGTCGGACGAGGACAGGCTCCGACCGACGAGTAGTGCTCCCACCGAAGGCTCCCGCGAGGTACTGATGCATTTTCTTCTTTGTAGAATCCATCTTTCTCTTAGTCTTATCAAAGTACGCCCTAACAGACGTATAGTTTCATCACCTTATTTGCGTAGCGATCGATGCCGCTCACTTCGTGCGACTGTCCTTCACCGCTTGGGCGTAGGCTAGCTTGACACATGTTTCTATGGCAGTATCACCACCCAGTCGCTCGATCCTAAGCATGGTGAATGAGATGGAGATTCTTGGCTTGAGTCGAACAGGACATTACAACGGTCGTGATTTGTCGTCATTTCCACTCAACTTCTTCCTCAACGCCTCCATAGTGGCCTCGGCTTCGATGAGCTCATCGTCTGCGTTGGTGGCATCTTGCTTTTCAGCCTGTTCTCGTACTATCGACATGAACCTACCGCACAAGTCGTTTCGATCCTCCTCCGACAAGCATGCCTCGTCCACCAGTATATACCCATAGTGAAGTCTACGAGTCAGACCACGAGGGCGACCTCGTGGACTTGGCATTGGATTGTTAGAAACACCACATCTCTAGATGAGGTCCCGCATAGAAGGCCAGGCCACTACTATGCTACTGCTGACCTCACCCACTCATGTGGATAACCCCTAGTTATCCGCTAGCTGTACCTGTCGAGCGTCTCCCGGGCTCTTCTCAGTTCACTCTGAACATATTGTGCGTTGATAGATGTGGTACTGCCATCGCCGCTTTCCACAGGCGCTGCTACTGTCGGCCCTACTTGTTGCTTGATGGCCTCCAGTTTCACTGAGTTAGACGCTATCACACTTCCACCTGGCTGGATGCTTTTCTCACCAGTGACGCTGGCCATCTTGGTTCGCAGCTGTTGCAGATCACTGTGAGCTCGCTCTACGTTCGTGATGAGACCAACAATGTCAGCCATCTCCGGTGAGAACTACGACTGCTTCCAATTACTTGCAATTGACGAACACAACCAAGAACCGTGAGGAAGAGTTTGGGAAAGGCCATTACTGTGGTAACATGGTATACATTGTCGACATCACTTCACAATGTATCTCTTCTTTTCAAGGTGAGCTGATACTACATGCAGGGCCTGGAGGGCATCAAGACACGCAACAGCCGAGTGCAGCAGCATCATCAACGTCCCGATCTGTCCGAGTCGCCACACCACATCAACGATACCACCACCGTTATCGCAAAACGCTGAAGTCACTGACAGATAGGTGCTGGAGATGTCAGACATCATGTCAGACAGTGACCCGGCTGCCATGATGCAGTCGGATCACTGTCACTTTAGATTGATCGTCACTGACAGAGGTTCATGCATGAAGAGCCGATTGCTTCGTATAGCCTCACCGGCATCATGTTGAACCCGACCTTGCACTGGCTGAGGATTTTGAAAGATACAGTTTCCTTCTGTGTTTTCTCCATGTTTCCTATTATCATGAGGAGAGCCCTATCCACGATTGCCATCCCAAAGCTGACATACGGATTCCATAGACCGCACTTTTCCATTGATAAGTTTGGTTTACTGATCTATCATCAGGGCTTATGCTATACTTCAGGAATTACTCGAAGAATTATGGGCGAGCGACACCGATTGTGCGCGGTAGACCTTTGACATAGGGTGCTAGAGGTCTCCCCTCTCTCCTAGAAAGATGAACAGGTAGATCTCAACACGAGTGTAGGGTTGAATGGGTGATAGGGATTCAGGGCTAAGAAATCATCGCTGATGCAACTGCCATCGGAAGGGTTAGGACCTGATTCCCGACTCGAATTGATTTACATTCTCCTTCTGCATGAGTATCAGATTTATCAAAGCTGGAGCAAAATAGGTCGACAAAGCGTATTTGAAGCAGAAACTAAGCTTGGTAGCAGCAGTTGAGAGGATACGCATGCGGAAATCGGACAACCCACGATAACCACGGAGTGAGTCAGGACTGCACGTACTGCAAGGAAGCATTGTTCGGGGACACGGGTTGAATCTGCAGAGTAACCGCACACATGAATAAATGCAAGTCAAACGTACATTTTTATACAGTTTCTCTCGAGGATTGACCCGTTCCTGTGATGAGATCCACGAGCTAGGAAGTTATTAGAGCCTCAGGAAGGCATTGCAGGCGAATGAGTGGGGAATGAGGTAGAAAAAACCAGCTCGAATGCAGTTGAGACACTTCACGAAAATTTAATTTACTGTAGACGACTCAATACGGAGTACAGAGACAGATCCTTGAAGATGATGATAGAGGAACAGCTCAGTCCGATGCCAGCGAAACACAAGTGGTCGACGTTGCGCACGGCGGCGGTTGCTAATCATAGGCGTGGGTAGGTTCCCAGTTCGTGTAGGTGACCGCTGCGCGTGGTGTCCAAGAACAAACCATACGACAAGCACGTTAAACGTGCTCAAGTCAAGGCTCGTGGTCAAGAAACTTTCTTGACATTTATTACTTTCCCAGTCAGGTTCCGTTGATCCGAACTTAAACAACGACTCTATTCGAACTTTTGACACTTCGAGTTACTAACTCGGAGTTAGTACCATAGTGACTGCTGAGCACTATACCTAAACCGTCCACAATACCGTAACTAATCCCTGACTAACATATCGATCAGACCGTCTGATTCAGACGAAGCTCAGCCACTAGCGAGTGATATACCTCAAATCACGGTAGATAACCCTGAGCGTGGGCCCTAAGTCGACTTTGTTCGCTTACAGAACTCAAACCCTAGAGTTCACGCAACCCTGGGAACAGCACGCATACACACAAATCTGTGACGCGTCATAGCTGAAGCTAGCACAAGACAGCAACAGCAAATACAGTGGCGAAAGTATAGTGCATCTCGTCATACAAGAGACAGATCAACCATTATAGTCAACAGGTCTCGGTTGTTCCGAAGCGCGCAACGTAATTCGTTGTGCGTCAACACATGTCTAAGTATACGTTGAATGAGTTCTTGGAGCAGTTCTAGACTAGAACTTCTAGTACGCATTGAATGTGTGCTAGAATACGTTACATTCTCAGACCACGTTTCGCTTGGAACTGGTTCTGGAAGCGGCTCCGAACTTCACAGTCACGACCTGACACTATTGTTGAGACTCGATAATTCTGTGAGAGCTGAGACCCGATAATTCTGAGAGAGCTGAGACTCGATAATTCGGTCGTCATATATCCATAGTCATCAACGAGTATGCCGTGCCGGTATTGATTTTACCGTTTTCCCTGTGAACCCTATCACGTGCTGTGAACTGATGATTACCTACTGAATTCAAGTCAGCGATTTGATCTCGGAATCTTATGCGACGAAGTCTCGTCCACCAGCGGGTCATGCGCGGCACGAGTCCGACGTTGTGGTTGGTGGTATCAGAACTAATAACTAAATTCAATGTATTAATTTCACTAAGAGAGAACCATTATCATCTTGTTCTCACATTCTGTGTTATGGTATAGCCCATTTGCGTATAATGTAGCCTATCATATCATATCTTGTGGAAGGGCTATAGTTGGCGGTCGTTGGAGTAGTTAAAGTGAACCATACACATAACTCGTTAAGTGTTATTTCCATACTGTTTTGATACTGCCACACGCGTTTCATACCCCTATCAGCATTCCGCTAGATAGTACAAAGAGAGAGAGAAAAAGTAAACATTGAAAGTCAAGGTTGAACAGTTGAGATCTCGTCGTGACACTCCCATCCGGATTCCTCAGTGAGGAATCCTCACCTATCTGAGAGACCTTCGAGGTTCATGGGAAACATGATGTAGTGGTTGTAGATATTTGAACCCCCTTCTAGCACTAATGCCAGGGAACGCTCCTGGTAGGAAATAATAAGCTGAGCCTAGATTAGGCTCCAAGTGCAACGAGTCGTTAAGCGTTATGTAACCATCAGAAGGATCAGCGGCCTTCTTCTAACCGTGTGCGTTCAAGATCAGCGACCTCTGGAACCTGCTGGAAACAAGCGGTTCTGTGGATGTGTGGATAACCAATCTATCGAGATCTATGTCGAGCTAGTTGTGTCTTTAAAATGCAACATGATATTCTCAGGCTTGACGATGTTGTTGTCGTGATAGCACCCAATAACAGCCTTGTGCTTGTGTCGTATGATAGTAGCGATTCCCTAATCCTGAATACGAAGATACCGCGATTAATAGGACACGATTCGCCCCCTACCTGGAAACCCTCATTATTCTAGTCTCGGGAACGTTGATGATGTGATCGAACAGATCCAAGACAGCAAATGGGACGAAGACTAAATAATAATTAAGTTCATTGCCAAAATAAGCTTTCAACTCGACTGTGTGAGGATGGTCCAATGCGAAAATTCTGGCTATCTCGTGCTCAGAGACTAGCTGAAATCAAGACGCCCTGACGGTTCTACGATACAGCCGGACGTCGGACGAGCATGAACTCACTTACTCACCTCGTCGGTGCCGACGCGTGTCTTAGCTATCTGCAAGACGACTCCTAATACACGTACATATATGTTTGGTTCGTAGATCCTTGTCAAAGCCAACCGAATCGGCAATAGCTCTGCTTGTCCCCAGCCACCGTGACGGTTACCAAGCTCGCGAAGTATTGCATAACGGGAGTAGAACGGATTGAGATTACGCTAGATGAAGGGGTGACGCTCAACAGACAAGTCTACGAAATGAACGTGAAGGAGATAGACCTTGGATCCGTAGAAACTGTCGCATATGCAGTATCCTCACATGTCTCGTGAACGTGTAAGGCGTGGGACAGTAAAAGGTCCTCGCCGTTTAGCAGTAGATATCCCGACGACGGCTACCAGTGACATGAACCACCAGTCGAGTCAGCGACCGTGGCCACTCAATGCGACCATTGACGGGTACTTTTTAGACGATACTATGTAGGAAAGCCACGAAAAACATCAACTGTGATCAATATTGTCCTCGAGGAGGAATATCGGACACCCGGAACCCGTCTGACATCACAATGCACATGTTGGATGGAGTAATGAATTGTAAACTATTGTTTATAATGTGATAGTGTTGCCCTGTAGCAGCATTTGATGCACCAAACTTTGCCGAGACCAGATCCATTGTAGTACTACTACAGTAGTGGCTACACATTGTGAAGTAAACAACTCCCACTGAATGATGAAGCTACAAATTACTGCTGTTGTTGCTGTTGTCACAACTCTGTACCAAGGAGTTGAGCTCAGGATGCTTATGGAGGAAGGTCTGGGAGATGTAGCTGCACGTGGGTATTACTTTGTATCCCTCAGCCTTGGCGAACTCGAAAGCCGCTGTAGCAAGAAGCGCCGCGAACCCCTGGAAATGGACAACCGGAAATCAAAACTGTGGATAGATACCGTACGAGTCGACAGTCTGTGCGCATTCCTCCACCACTGAAGCAACTATTCCTTGCCAGTGCAATGACTTGAATATACAGACGTTCACTAAAAATGCATCGACTACCAGCAGTCTAGTTGAATTGAGGGTAATCTTCAAAACGATAGATTTGAATCCACCTGGTCGTAAGGCAGTGTTGGAATATCTGTTTGCTTTCCTCAGCTGAGTTCAGAAGTTTCCTCGTTAATTATGGGAGTTTGCCCACAGATACAGATAAAGGGGTATAGAAAACAGGAGGAATTTATCGAAATTTTCCCAAAATTTCTCTGTTGTCGCGACCATGTGCAAATCTTCCCACACTGGCATGAGGTATATAGTTTCCCGTACCCATTCCCTCAGTGTTTACCTTCCCTCTACCAGCTGGAGCAGTGAAAGTGTGTGTGAGATCCATGACTCTGCTGTGACCAGCGAGCAGGCGGTATTCTAAATATGCTACTGGGCTCGCCCTTTTCCCGATGTAGAACAAATGCTTCGCTGCGTCGTGTTGCACTGAAGATTCAGCCATTGATAAGCCGGTAATCAATCTTAACTTGCCGAACATAAATGGATAGCCTAGTAGCAACCATTGGTCGTAGATAGCGAAGAATTCCGAAGGCTACTCTCTCAAGCACATTTGCAGCGTTACACGGCTACTCTTCCCAAGGCCGAACGTTTACAACGCCCTTCAACTTGGGTGGTTTTCCCACTTGTGAGGAGCGTGAGGAATTCCCACTTGTTAGACACGCCTTAAGGAGCAGTTCCTGAGTTATAGGCTCAACAACTACTATCCCAGGTGAAACCTCATTTACAGGCTAAGTAAGCTCTTCGGCGACTGAACACAATTTCACGCGCCACAAAATTCCCTGGCAGTTGCGGGGTCGTTCAATAAACCGATTTCTGTCTATACTCATAATCGATTTCAGAATTGCTTATATTACACGTATAATACGATGCTAGCATCTACAATTGATTCAACGAAGATGGGGTGCGTGTCTGGGAAGGGTTTCGGTGACGTCCCCGGTGTACACAATTGTTGACTTCTTCAACTTTTAGGAATGCTTTATCTAGCAGCCCGCGAGGTAAAGGGCGAAGCGATCTACAATAGACTTTTCTGCATAGTGTTCCTATTATGTTCTTTCCAGCTCTAAATATTTATCAAGTTCTCCTTGCCTGGCCATGACTTGGTCCATTCACCGTCACCTGCCTCGACGTTTCCAGAGAGAGGTCAAACCGTGGGCTTTGGTAATGTGAGGTGGGTTCCGTGGAGAACGTTATCATCTTACTCTTGGCATATTTTCGAATCCGGCGTTCATCGCTGCCGAGCCCGTCTAGCGCCGCATGTAGCACACCAAGTGTAGCTGCGGTGCATGTACTTGTCTGGTTTTAATCACTGGATCTATTTTTTCGTAAGGTCGTTATTGTTGTTATCAACAGCTCTGAACTGCCCTCTTCCGTCATCACCAATCTCCTGCAGTGTCGTGCGAATTGAGTTCAAGTGCATTCACGTACTCTGTTTTTCATTACAGCTGTAGTTGCTCTCACATGGGGGAACTGGCGACACTCCAGACTGCTTTGCAGACTCTCTTTTCCTCGCAGAACCAGGAGGAGCGCACTCGGGCTGACGAGTGGCTACGTAAGTGGCAGCAGACTCCTTCAGCGTGGCAAGTGACCAACCTGATCTTGGATAATGAGGCTAACACCGAGAACATGCTCTTCTTTGCGGCTCAGACATTGCGTACTAAGATTCAGTTTGATTTTTACGAGTTGCAGGAGACCGACTGGACTGGTCTGAGAGAGTCGATCATAAACAAGTTGACTAAGTTCAGTGGTCCCAATGGATCTAGCGCAGTACGGATGCAACTGGCAATAGCTCTGGCAGACATGGCAATTCAAATGGACGACAAATGGGAGACCGCCATAGAGGACATTATCAAACAGTTCAGCTCCAGTCCAGCTTATACGAGCCTTCTTTTGATAGTACTCAAGCTCTTGCCAGAAGAGGCTACTAACTACCGGCTCATGACGGACACGTCGAAGCGGAACAACGCGTTCAGAAGGCTTGAGAAGTACTCCCCAGGTGTGATACAGCTCCTTATGACAGAGTCTATGAAAGGGGACAGGAAGCTCAGTCTGGAGGCTATGGTTGAGTGGCTGCGGCTCGGTACTGTCCCAGCCAGTGTCCTCGTCAATTCCCAGCTTATGGATGTGGTCTTTAGTGGTTTGGGAGACGCCAGGATATCATCGTCGTGTACTGACATAGTGGTGGAGGTACTCGGGTTGTTGGGAAGGGAATCTAACTCACCAGAAGCGGGTAGTCTGTACGAGCGAATGTTCGGCAAGGTTGGAGGTCTCCTGCCGGCCCTCGAAACCTCTCTAAGGGAAGACGACAGCGATGTGGCTATGATGCTATCACGTGTTTGCGTCGAGTGCGCTGAGGCTATGTGCGTGTTTCTGGTCACCAACGCTACGACCAGCATGGAAATGCAACGGATGCTCGCGGTACTGATAGAAATAGTAGAATATCGAGGAGAATTCGAAGTGTCCGAACTGCCCTTAAACTTCTGGGAGGAGTTCGCTCATGAGGTCAACATCCGTCCGCCTCAACTGCACGACTCGATGAAGCCCGTACTGTGCAAACTGCTGGTGGCTTTGACTCAGAGGTGTTCATTTGATAGCCAGAGCAAGGCTACTTTGACGGTCGATATTCCACCTCCTTACAAGGTCTCTACTATGGGTACTGAGGAGCTGTACGACCTGTGCACAACCTACTTCGACATAGACGATGATTATTTGAGGTTTCGGCGCTATCTTGGAGAAACGGTCTTGCAGGTCCTCGGCCCAGTGGGGCCAACAGCCGCGTTGGAATGCCTTCTACAGGCCTTTGGAGCTCAGCCACGAGACGCCATCTACCGTCAGGAAGCCTACTACTTCATCTTAGGCTGGGTGGTTCGCCGTGTGAATCCTAATGAGGCTCTGCTGGCTGATAACTCTCTCGTGTGGAAGCTCCTAGACTTCATTCCTGCTCTCTTTAATACTCCAGCTACTCTCGTGAAGGATGTCCTCTGCCAGCGCTCAGCCCTTACTCTTGTGGGTGCTTGTGCTCACTTCCTCGAGAAACGACCAGACAAGCTCCGAACTATGACAGAATTCCTCAGCGCCCAGCTTGTCGCCGATCCAGCCACACGACATCCTTCAGTGACGTATGCTGCTGCCTCAGCCTTCCGGTTGGTATGCTTGAGGTGCCGAGAGGAGCTAGCACTGATATCTGGTATGTCTACCGCCTTATGTAACGTATACAAGTGTAGCGCCGCAAGTCTGCCCGCCAAGACCCATATGAAAGTGGTAGAGGGAACTAGTGCTGTAGTCTCGGCTGGTACTGATGATGAGTCTTTCAAGGCTAATCTTGAAGTAGTTCTCGAGCCGCTCATTGCAGGTAAGCCACGTTGTTGAGCTCCGTTGTTTTCATCTGCTTGTGGCTCTGCAGGTCTCCAACAACACGCGAATGACCACAATATGCTTTGCGATATACTCGACCGTCTCAGCACCTGTCTTCTCTCTTCGCGAGTCCCACGAGGATCTGCCCGGGAGGTCGCCTTGGGCCGCTTCGTTGAGCAGTCCTTGTGGTCGACGGTATCCCAGATCATGGAACATTGTGTGAACGACCCTCGCCTAGTGGAGAAATGCTGCAGAGTCCTCAAGCACAGCGTTAGGACCGTTCCTGATGCATTCAAGCCTCTCATACCACGCCTCGTTGAACGTCTGATAACTGACTTCAACAAGCAGCATCATAGTAGCTACCTCTATATGGCGGAGGTCCTAGCTGGTACTTACGGTTCCGACCCAGAGGTGGAGCCCCTCTTGAGTCAGCTCTTCGTCTCTCTCTCTGGCACAGCATTGCAGGCTCTAATTCAATTTAGAGCGACCAACCCAGGGAAGCTGGATGATGCTTGTGAGCTTATTGAGGACTTTTACGGTATGTGTCTCCGTTATCTACGGCATTGCCCTCATATAGTGGTCTCACGCTGTCCAGAGGTAGTACCGTTCATGAGTCAACTCCCATGTTATGAGCCCCCTCCTCGCAGGTTACGTCAGCCGCTCTTAATTTCGCTGGGGAATCGGCCGTGTTCGTCCAACAGAAGGATGCTGCTGATGCCGTTTTCGCCTTCATTGATGCATGCTACACCTCCTCAGAGAAGGCCGATGCCTGGGGATTCACACCAGCTGATGCCGAGACGTCTCGAAGGATCCTCCAGGCTAGCTCAGGTCTCATGGTCAAGCAGATGTTCGCATTGATGCTCTCTGTGCCTCCACGGTAAGCCACATGAGGGACGATCAGGTTGATGACCAGCTGCGTGTAGGTACTTGAGAGAATACATCCCCGAGGTATTGGAAGCTGTGTTCCGGTTCAATCCTGAGCAGTACCGGAAGGAGTGGTTGCCACAAGCGCTGGGATTAGTGCCTCAGAGCGTCTTGTCAGACCGAGAGAAGAGCGAGGCGAAGCAGGATTTGGTAGGACGTCTGGAAACGCCTTTGCATCACTGATGGTTCTGTCAGGCGTGTGAGGGTAGTAAGACTGACCTATATAAGAGAGTGGCGGATGTCACTTACCGTTGCGAGCAAGTTGCCTTGAGAAGCAGTCAGAAGTTGTGATTACCTTCAAGTGCCGCTTCCGTAATGGTAGACTGAAACACTGTGGTACTGAAAGCTAGGTAGACTGGTAGATCCTAAACAGTTGAATCGTATCTGTCCTATGTTCGTAAAGATGCTTTATGGATTCTCCGCCTGTTGTGTTGCACAGTACAGCTAGGGGGTATGAGGCGTTCTTCATGGGGTATGAGAGTCCTGCCAGGAAGGCCGTCTTGCTCGACAGGAAGTGTAACGTGCTGCCGTGGAGTGATGGTAGGGATGAGTTTTTGAAGTCCCGGACGTGAATATTGGGTTTAGAAACGAGATGTTGTGGCGTCGCGGAAAGAAGGAGTAGACGACCTGCCCATGGAGAGTTCGGCTCCGTCATTCCCTAGCAAGGCGAAAGTGGGTTAGGGTAATGACTGGGGCGGCAGGTCCGTGGTAATCCATCGCGGAGTGAACAAGGCGTGAGGTACTTTATGTTGATAGACGAGTATCTGTTGTCAACAGACTGTTGAGGGACAAGGCCGAGCACTTGGAGGTAGAAACTGGTTCTGCCTAGATGTAGTGAAGGAGTTTTGTGAGAGGGGGATGTCATCGGCGAATAAGCACGTGAGATAAGGCCATTTCAATTCCTCACCCAAACACGGGCAGATGAGGCGGCAGTTCCATCGGCTTAGTTAGTAGCAATTCGGATAGCATGATGGTGTTACGTAGCTTGAATGGCGATGTCTAGATAGGCGTCTTGTGTTGAGTCGGGAGGAAGAGCATGTTCAACTCGACAGTGGTAGCGGCCTTTGAGGTGATGTCGCATGTGCCAAAAGCAGCGAGGGACTCCCTAATCGACGAGATTACACAAGCTGGACGAGGGGCGGGGGGACTGAGCCCCGACCTGACCAGGAGGATACTGACCGACTACGAGGAGCATCCTGCTGAGTCGGGGGGATTGCTGGAAGCCTTGGTAGACTCGTGCTGGATCAGCAGCCGCTTCACTCGAATCATACCCGTAGGTTTCCAATCACTGTTACACCGTCATCGACCGCTTGTGTACTCGAGGGGCCGTCAGTGAAGTGGCAGAGGCTTTAGCCAGGACCGGCGACGTCATCCGATTATCTCCTCACAACACTCGGAAGTGCATCGAGACTTACCTATTGGGCAACTGGGAAGGCGCGTCTTTACTCGGCCTTGTCGGACTACCTTTCACGGAACTGGCTAAAGCCCAACCCTCTACTAGCGATTACCTCCTTAGCACTGTGTGGCAGCAGCATGCCTTTGCTCCGGACCAGGCTGTGATGTTGGTAGACTACGGCGGACCAGACGTGTTCTTGCCGCCTTTGGGCAAGCTGTGGGCGGGCCCTCTTCTACCAGTCGCCCACACCCAAGCCATCGCTGTTGCCGCGGTGACCTTGCTGCGATACCGTCCAGGCTCGCTGGATCAGGAGGTGGCTCAATCGCTGTTGGACGGCGTCCATAACCGGCTTGGCAACGTCGACCCTGACCAGCGAGCCATCGCGATGGCTTTGATGGAGGTGGTGGCTAGGAAGGTCTGGGCCTCCGATAGCAAGGTGTTCCCCCGAGGACCAGACTCAGAGGAAGGTGCTGAATCCTGGAGGACCATATGGAGGGCAGGAATGGGTGAAGAATGGCGGGACTCATCAGCCTCGGGTCAGAAGCAGCAGGCCGAGACACCTTCCAGTCCTTCGTCGAAGGGTGATGCGAAGGGAGTCCACTTGAAGAGTCGACTGGTTGAAGCCTTGTCGGCCTTCGACCCTCTACCCGCTCTCCAGCCTGTTGCCGAATCAACCGTATCCCATGGAGACAAAGGAGCTTGGTTGGCATCGTGTGACGCCAAGTTGGCGGCTCCTGCCATAAGTACGAGTGCGGGACTACTGCTCGAGACAGTCTGTCGATTCAGATGAACCTCTGGCTGTGGTTGACGGCGATCTACCGAGTAACATGACTCTGGGTAGCTTAGTCATAGCTCGAGCCTCGAATCATGAAGGTCCTGTGGAAGAGCGTATTCGCGTCCAGTAGGTCTTGCTAGCCATGTGATGATATCGCTGGATTTTCCTTGCCAGGTCCGCCATGGCGGTTCTTCCCGCAGCGATCGCGGCTGCGAGTGCATCAGAGCTGCGTCGTGTTGGGCCAACGACGATCTATAACCTTATCACGCATGCTCGGGGAGATGATGCTGACACTACACAAAACATTGCGAGGCATCTTGCAGGGCAACTCGTCGCTAGGGACTGCGTTGAGAACTCCACAGAGAGTAGATGCTTACGATACGTGTTACAGTGCGTTGAGAAGGCTGACTGGGCAGTAGGTAGGCTGATAGTGAACATAACACCACCTCCACTGACTTTTCGCTGTGATGCAGGTACTCGCGCTGAAGCTATGAAGGTGTTGGTAGAGGCTTCTATGATTCTAGCTGGACGTGACGGTGACGACAGTGGTACCAACGAGGCGGAGAGGCCAGTCGGGTTCGCTACTAGCCGAACCCGGCGCAGGATGGGCTTGAGGGAGCTCGAGAAGTCTGGTCAGAAGTCCAACCGATGGAGCCAGGGCGGTGGTCGGCACGGGGACAGTCGAGCGACCAAAAATCGCTTCGTAGCACAATGGATGCCTCTCTTCGTGCATCCTATCCTCGCCTACTCCCAGTCGAAGCGGTGTACAGACCAACCGGTACTGCTAGCTGAGTGTCTGCGGACATCAGGGCAACTCCTCCAGTCAGCAGCAGTCTCCGCCCGAAATGCTCCTCATAGAAAACAAGTCGTCGACGAGGTGAGCAGTGGATGTGCTGTGGAGAGTTCCGAGGCTTCCTGTGATTTAGGTTCTCGAAGTAGTTAGAAACACATCCCACCACAAGGATGCAACCGTCAGGAAGGCGTGTATGATGCTGTGCACTTGTGTGTTGCCTCTGATTGGTGAGTAAGGCTATTCGAACTCCTGTTCGAATATGATGATGCCAGACCCGTCAGAGCTCAGCGATGAGCAGTCGAGCTTTCTGAAGGGGTATCTGGAAAGAGCTTCCCTCGTCGAACCCGACGATCGAACACGGGAGCAAGCTGAGCGTCTTCGAGATTTGATTGTGTGATAATCCATAGACAATGTCATCAGTTTCTTTATCTTTGTCAAGTTGCGTCGTTAAGTTTCGAAGTTGGTGTTGAACTGACGGTATTTAGTAATTTCAAGTGAGCTAGCGGATTTGTTACCCGACAAAATCCTATTTTACTAGATGAAACATATCACACACATTCCACATAGAGTGAACAGAAGAAGAAGAAGAACACACTTTGAATTCGGGTTAAAGAACGGGAAAGAATTGATTGCTCAACTTCGCACACTAGAAGCAGCGCTCCTGGATGACGTGCCAGCGGATGAGGACTGCGAAGAGGGAAGTTCAAGACGTGCGGGAGCAGGAGAAGATCTCCTAGCCGATGCATGAGTGAGGGCATTCGCAGTAGCCTCCCAAGCCTCTCTGAGGACGGGTAGATGCTGATACAGCGGCGATGCGTCTAACTCACTTAGGAGTATCCGGGAACCTGCCCCTGATATCCGAGCGTAGCATCCATTCCGCAAGTGACACTTTCTCTTCCCGCAAGAGCAAGCCTCGTGACAACCACGGCTTCAATGCTGCCAGAAATCGTTCATCGCCCTCCGCAGCACTGATCGTCTCCTACAGCAAGATCACGCTGCGACATTTGAATCCTACAGACTTTGATGGCGGCTGCAAGTTCTTCATGGCCGCCCTTATTCAACTGAACTCCTACGCCTTTGCATAGGGTAGAGCTGAGCTTAGAGGCATCCTTTACACCACTCTTAGATATAGCCTGTCGCCATATCTGCAAGTACTCAGTGGATGCTTCACCGTGTCTGAGCCCTACCGCATTCAACAACATGCTCCAGTGAGTCTTCCATTGGTCAGACCCTTGAAGATGATGTCGACGGAACTTGAGCGCCGCCATGACTTCGCTCGACAGTTCCGAGGAGCCATCCACCACTTGTCGCGTTAACCATGACCCAACGCTGCCGCATAGGATTATGTTCGAGCGGGAGCAGTAGAGCCCAATGGAGCATGCCACAAAAGCGGCTTTCCTCTTATCAAATGAAGTCCCAGTGGGCCGAGCCATGACCAAGGAGACGGCCTCGTTGAACGCAGGAGGCCAACTTTGCAATAGCTTCACTGAGCCTATCAGCAAAACATGTGTGGAGCTCAGCAACATGACCGGCCCTCTCACCTGGGAGGGATGCCTCGAGCATGAGTTCTTGCACATACTCGCCCAGGATCCTATCGACGTCTGCAGGACTCCTATCACCTATCCAACAAGAATAACTGGAGATCAAAGACACCCAAAGGTTACCTCGCAGTTGATCCGAGTTGCCAATGAGATCTAATAAGAAGAGCTGAGCAACGAAGGCCGTAAATCGCAGTCCCGCCGCCTCCTCCGCAACGTCGTGCTCGATGATGCCCAAGCACAACATGCCGAGATCAGCAATGCACAACTGGTGCTCCTCCGCTGCTGTGCCATCTGAGCAAGGCAATACTTGTGTGCCCACCTGACCACTCCTCACTGTAGAGCCGCCGCATTGAAGTCAATATCAAAGTAAGAAGAACCAGAGTGATGAGCTCTGGAGCAGGAACGTTTTCAAGGGGGGAATTGGCTTCCAATGCCGCAACTCGCCGGTCTGCCAGCTCTAGTAAGTTGGCGAGTAAACTGTAGTCATCCCCAATCACATCCCAGTGCTTCGATAAGGCTACCATACGATGAAGCTCTAGCGTTAGAGGCCTGCAGCAAAGGCTTGGATGATTACCGCCGCACTCCGTGCAGACTCCACTACTCACTCTGTGTTGCCAGGAAGTTGAACCAGCTCGGAGCACTTCTGCTGCAGGGACGCGAGAACGGCTGGGGCCTCTCCTACCGCATACTGCACACTCAGCAGATCCGCCGACAGAGACAGCAAAGTATCATCGGTAGTCTCAATCAAAAGAGACTCCAAAGCCTCAACGCTACTGCTATCCAGCCCTTTGCAGTCTTCGTCCTTCCGCAGTAGCTGTCGGACAATCTCTGCAACGAGTACCTACCAAGAGGCTTGACCATCGACCATCGCCACCGCAGCAAACCAACCAGATCTTCGGGGCTGTTTCGGAATTGCTCGAGGACCACCCGGATCCAGGGCTCCTCAGTGGATCCGTTGAGGCCTTCCAGGATGGTCTCAGTGGTGAACTCGCTCCCACACAAGCGGACGGTCGCCAACAGGAGCGCCAGCAGCACCGTCTTCTCGGCAGGAGATGCCGACGGCTGTGATGCCTGAATCGACAGGAGCATCCAACAACTAAGGAAACTGCCTCACCTGCTGAGAGGTGTCCAGACCCAAGAGGAGTGCCGTGTAAGAAATGAAGCAGCAGAGATAACAGCGGCGGGTGGGGCTGAGGCTGTAGATAGCTTCAGCGAGTCTGTAGGTCAACTCGGGGATCTCCGAATTGTTCCCGTATCTAGCATGACACATCTGATCGTCACCGTGTCTTTTCCTCATACACCTACTGAATGATGAACTCCACGATCATGAGCAGGGCAGTAGTCGACTCAGCTGATGAGGCTTCCTCTCCGACCGGCCATCCCCGGAGAACCCCTGCGAGAGATATTCGATAGTTATGATGAGGAGACGAACACAAGGAGACTCACCGGGATCACCAAAGACGTGGGCGTCCACGAAAAGCATAGCTTCCGATCGCAGGGCCAATTCTGGATGCCAAACCAGGTTCGACACTAACTGGAAGCCCTGGTCACTGAGGACCTGATGACGGTGGCCAGTATACCTCCCAGCGCTAACCCGAGCGATAACCCACTTGTCCCTCGTCAACGTCAATATCGTCGTGGTCGTCATTCAAGGCGTCCGACGACTCGACGATGGCGTTGAGGCACTTCACGGCCCACAACCTGGCAGCTCGGAAGCATGTGTCTATCAGTGACGCAGTGACCCCGACCTCACAGTGGAGTCCAAGTCGAAGCAGCGGCGGAGGACACATGGCGCTAGTGTGGCCAGCTGTGGTCGACTCAACGGCACAGTCTTGATGTCTGCTTTCAAGGACCGATATGTTTGCTCTAGAATCTGAGGAGAAAGGGGAGAAGCAGAAGGAATACGACACATCGTCAGCTACCGTTCCCCTGACGACTGGGCTACGATCTGCCAGTCCCGGCACCAACCTCGCAATGACTGCTGCAGATAAATCTTCGTCATCGATAGTGCCCATCCACGAGGCAAAGCCGGCCTATAAAGGAAACCGACCGAGATAGGGGCCAGCTGGCAATCCCGAGATCTTACATGAGACAACACCAGCGCTCTGATGGACTCTGACGAATCATGACAGCGGTCGAGGCCCAGGATGCTGGTCATCCCTCGCAACACTCCCATCATACGCTCAAGGGACTGCTTCATGTGGTCGGCTGCAGACCGGCTGGGGACCCGACCGCCCAGTGGGGCTGACCCAGATGGCAGTGACCCTTCAGCTGGTGGTGATATCCTACCAGTCATCTCCGCGTGCTTTATATCGGCTTCCTGGCCCTTGATGATTTCGAGAAGGCCCACGCAGCCGGCGCAAGCTGCCACTGTTGCAACCATACGGACGTGAAGTACCGCCACAGTTGCCAAGGATGGGCCCTGAGCTCACATCAACCACGATGGCCGCAACCTTTTCCTACCCCGCGTTGGGTGCTGCCAGGGACACCGAGCAAGAAAGAGTTCAGTCTAGCTATGAGTTGAAGACCGTCCATACCGTCACCAGCGAGCGTGTAGTAGAGTGTACGGAAGAAGCACTCGAAATTGCGAAGGTGTCGCAGCCGACTCGACGAGGACTTCTCGGCGCTCTCTGAATGACGCGCCATATCGCGACCAATCCCCTGTAGTTCCAAGACTACTGACTCTTTCCAGCAGAAGACAAGGCGAGCTTCTGCCTCAAAACCACCAGACGAGGCAGTGAGGTGCCGCCTTCGGTTAACTGGTATGCCTCCACCACCATCTGAGGCGAAAAACTCTGCGAATAATGGCCCCCCCATATGTTCTTACTTGAGCAAGGTCATCAACAGCAGCGGAGGACACTCCTTGAGTATGCACTGCAGCATCTACGTCGCCTGGTCTGACTAGTTCCTTGCATCCAGCTCCAGCAATAATGACATTGATGACCTTATGAAAGAAGAGTGTCCATAGCGGGCCCACAACAGAGAGTCTATACTGTTGACAATATGCTAGCTTCATTATTCCTGCGCCTGTCGACAAGCTTCGATACGAGCTGCCTCATGTGGTACTCTCCGCGACTCCCAAGGATGGTAGTAAGTTCGATCAACATGGCACTAGCCGGGACGGGCTCAGCTGAGATGAATAGCAATACCATTGACTAGGCGAGCAGGGCTGGGCTACAGCTTCGACTTGTGCTCGACGAGGTAGAGGAGTTAGTAGGAGTCCGAGTCCGTCTGGCCCGCTTCCGTGGGGGTGTCTGAACTCTTTCTTGGGTCTCTGCTATGACATCGGGCATTCTGGCAAGAGGGGACTAATGCTGGATGGTAAGGACCACCTACATATGGTCGCTGTTCATTGCAGCATTCTGTGACCCTTCCCCTGCTGAAGTCCTACTGCCTCTGCTAGCTACAGAACGGGGCATAGTGAAAACGAGCAATAGACTACAAACATAGCATTGTATTCCCTTGCACAAACTGCCGACTAGAAAGATCAACTCCTTATTTATAGATTTACTTATATTATGTTCAGAAACATGGAGGTTTGGGTGGTTGGCAACCACTGGTTGCCACTGGTTTATTAAACCCGTGGCGCTTCTAAACTTCATCTTCTATATACAACATCCTAGCTATAACACCAGGTCAACTACGAGGGTCAATAAACTAGGGTGTTGTGAAGCCACTCAAATGGAGATAATCTAGAAGCCCTCCATAAAACTTAGAGAAAAAACATTATAATTGAGTTTCCAGGAACACCACGAGGCCTCCGAGCTCGTTCCCATCTAACAGTAAATCACAATGCATTCGTCCTTGAACTAGCCCCATAAATGGACCTTCATCGAATACGTGTTCGGAAACATCGCGAGTTATCAAGTTCTGAGAGGTACACGACGTTGAATGCCAGTCTGCGCAGTTCAACGCAGACCTTTGAATTCGACTTGTGGCTGCTGAGCTGATGGCCTAGGTTCGACCTTCCAGCGGGGAAAACGTTTAAAGTACCTGAACACCTTGAAACAAGGTGTTCACAAGTAGCGCTCTCTTAAACTCCTACCATTCTATCTGAGCCTCACTGAGCAGTAGGTCGATGAACTCAGACGTTCCCTTCGGCAGACCCAGCGAGCGGTAAGCCTGAGTTACCATCAGAATCTGCACAGTTCTATTACGGGCCCGGAATGGACCACCTTGCCCGTAACGTGGCGACAAGGAAGCCCATTGATAAGCAGTCAGTGATGGTGATGACCTTACGAGCTGGATGAGGGATGGAGCCGTGATAGTGGCCTCGACGCCATGTTGTGAAGGCTCTGTAGTAGACACGAGAGGCCGTCACCGTCACTGGAAGGCCCGAAGAAAGTATTGACAGAGAAAACACGACAGTGAGCAGGAGGACATCACGAGAAAAAAGGCCGCAAGTGTGTGATGACATTTAGTGAGGAACAGGACTATTTTGGCTTCTTCCCATTATGGTGGGCCCCGGGGTCGATCGCCCCCTCATCCTCGAGGATCTGTCGTGCCACCCGGTTGATGAGCTTGAACCGCAGCGGCCCCAAGTGGATGCCGCCGTACCATCTGAGACCAATCCTGCCACCTTTGGCTGTCCAAACCAACACCTACCGAGAGACTACGACCAACACTCCTTCGGCACCAGTAAGTGTGAGAAGCTCCTGAAGCTTCGTCCCGGCACCGCTCTCTCCATCCGAGTCATGATCCTGATGATAGCCTGAGACGACTATCCTCGTGGAATTGGTAGAAGCCCTCACCTACCGAGATCTGCGGACTTGTCCAATTTCCCACTGCCATCCTTCATTCTGAACCGATACGCATACATGTTGTGCGTTGCCCTGAGTATCTTGTGGCTCTGCTTTAGAGTGTTCAACGCGACCTCCACATCTTCCTCGCTTTCAACGAATGCCAGGTGGGCTTGGAACTTGGACTGAAAGAGCAGTTCGTGTTCACCTCAGTCTGTACGAGCATTCTGTTGCCACTACTTTCTTCTCAGTGATAGGCTCCCCTCCCCTCAAATCGGACGGGTCCAGAGTTCTACATGCCTTCGTCCTTCCCTTCCCCTTAGAAGTGCCTTTCCGAAACTCCCCCTTGCGGCTCTGAGTACCACGTAACCACCATCACCCTTGATAAGCCCCTCACCTGCATGGCTTCCATCTGTTCCCTCCAGGCTTCATACTCCTCCGCTGCCTCTTCCTGCACCACCTCAGCCCTCGTGGCTTCCGCCTCCTGCTCCTGCTCGATAACCTCTTTCCGTTGAAGAGCTGCTGCCTCTCGCTTCGCCTGTTCCTCCTCCTCTCTGTCGGCCTCCCACGTCTCCCCGTACTGAGCGTAAATACGGATGAGGCTGTTCAGCGTCATGGAGTGCGAGATTGAGAATAAAGGCAGTGTTCACTTAGTCAGGAGTACTTCTGATGGAGTCCCTAGCAAAGTCGAGAGAGGCCCACCTCAGTGATTATGTCCCTTACAGGAGCAAGGGCAGCAAGTATAGGGAAGACGTAGCCGGCCTTCAGTTGGGTCCATACATTCCCCAATACAAGCTCTTGTAACTTCTCTGAGGAGATGCGAGGGTTTTGAAGGGCATGGAAGAGTCGGTCGCCGTCGTCTCACTTAATTTACTGCCTACAGCCTCGGAGCCTTCCGCAGCTATGATCTCTGGGATGGCATCGAGCTTGAGAGGGTAGCCTCTAGGGAGGGTGAACATGAATGTGGCATCCGCCTCGACATCACACTCGCCGTGGATGGTTATAGCATAGCTGAGAGAAGGGAACTGGTACGATGAGGCCGCGGCACCCCTAACCGTATTACGCCACATCCCCATCATCTGACCCCGATGGCCGATGCAGCCACATGAAGCCGACCTCGGCATCATATGCTGACCGAAGGGCATCAGCCTCTTCCAATTGGATAGCTAGACAGTCACGAGGGGCATAGTCTCGACGAATCATGAACAAAGCCAGATGCCCACCTCAGGCTGCGAGAGAGTACCAATTCCAGTGTGCTCCATCATAGAATGCCATCCTGACCAAGCGCCCAACACAGACCTCCGTAACTAGTCCGAAACACTCTTTACAGAGACTGGAAGTCCCATGACTGGACTGTCAAACAGCATGATAGCCTCGAGGAGTACCAAGAAAGTTTAGTCTGTCGAGGTGGAGTACGGCCATCAGCGCTGAGATGTGCCATAGACGACCCTTTACAGGTCCTGAAAGGTCCATGCTGCTGCAGCCCCGGTCCAGCCCGGGTATTGACTGGCAGGACACAACAGGGGCTAGCTGATCAACAGCGCTTGCATTAGAAAACGATTGATAGTTATTGAGGAACAAAACTATTTTGGCTTCTTCCCATTATGATGGGCTCCTGGGTCAATCGCCCCCTCATCCTCGAGGATCTGTCGTGCCACCCGGTTGATGAGCTTGAACCGCAGCGGCCCCAAGTGGATGCCGCCGTACCATCTGAGACCAATCCTGCCACCTTTGGCTGTCCAAACCAACACCTACCGAGAGACTACGACCAACACTCCTTCGGCACCAGTAAGTGTGAGAAGCTCCTGAAGCTTCGTCCCGGCACCGCCCTCTCCATCCGAGTCATGATCCTGATGATAGCCTGAGGCGGACCGTTCTCTTAGTAATAAAATTGCTACACGTCCCTACCAAGGTCAGCAGACTTATGATCGCTTGTTCTTGCCCTGAACCGGTAGGCATACATATTGTACGCCCGCATTATCTTGTGGCCACGCTTAAGGGCGGTCAATGCGATGTCCACATCCTCCTCGGTCTCGACGAATGCCAGATGCGCTTGGAATTTAGACTGAGAGAAAAACTAGACTTCCCAGGCAAGCCCGACCAATATCGGGTCAATTCAACGCCGTCTCAAGAGAGAATTCGGGATGACGCTGACACCCTCATTACTCTATCAAACTATCGACCAACGCCACCGCCACCACTAAGCTAGGGTTGAGGAGAGGTCCGGCCTCTACAAGGCAGATAAAACACTGCAGGTGCTTTTTCGAGACTACCCTAGCCACTACTCATGAGTTCCAACAAGTGTCGGGCAGATATGGGCATGGAGCCTACCATTACCTTCATCTGAGTTATAGGCTCCCCTTCTTTCCAATCGGTAGGGTCCACCGCACCGCGCAGCTTATCTCTCCGCTTCTCTTTAGAGCCCTTTTGGAGCTCCTCCTTGCGCTCCTGTACAGCATATCTCCTCCGTGATAGCTCAATCCCTTACCCATCCTACCTGTATGGCAGCTATCTGCTCAGCCCAAGCGTTATATTCTCTCTCTGCCTCTCTCCGGGCGAACTCCCCACGTCGAGTCTCAACCCGCTCCCGCTCGACGGCCTCTGCTTTTTGCTTCTCTCGTTCCATCTCCTTCACTTCCCAAGCCTTCCCCAGCTGAGCAGGACATCTGTTTGTTGATTGGCATCAGATTCGAGAGAGGCTCACCTCAGTGATTATGTCCCTTACAGGAGCAAGGGCAGCAAGTATAGGGAAGACGTAGCCGGCCTTCAGTTGGGTCCATACATTCCCCAATACAAGCTCTTGTAACTTCTCTGAGGAGATGCGAGGGTTTTGAATGGCATGAGAGAGTCGGTTGCCGTCGTCTCACTTAATTTACCGCCTACAGCCTCGGAGCCTTCCGCAGCTATGACCTCTGGGATGGCGTCGAGTTTGAGAGGGTAGCCTCTAGGGAGGGTGAACATGAATGTGGCATCGGCCTCGACATCACACTCGCCGTGGATGGTAATAGCATAGCTGAGAGAAGAGAAGTGGTACGATGAGGCCGTGGCACCCCTAACCGTATTACGCTACATCTTCATCAGCTGACCTCGATGGCCGATGCAGCCACATGAAGCCAACCTCGGCATCATATGCTGACCGAAGGGCATCAGCCTCTTCCAATTGGATAGCAAGACAGTCACGACGTGACATGGTTATAAATCATAAAAATTGCACTGTTCAGCTTGCCTTACCACACATCCGAGTACACAACAACTTCCTTCATAAGACGACCACTCCACTGTGGCCCAACTAGTTCAACCTAGTCTAAACGCAAATCCTGATTCCATCTGGGTTCAACTGTTAACAATGGTAGAGAATGGTGCGTCTAGTAGTGGAACTAAGAGTTCGGTTGGGGCTGTACCCGTCATATGAACTACCTCTGATTGTTATACCGAATAGCCTCCGAGTGTATCACCGCTTCCGTCCTTCTCCCTCCATGAGGCTATGACGATATAAAGAGTTTCGATAGCGCCTTCGTGTGGAATGGCAATTCAGCTGTGCAGTCCACAACGTGCAGCTCTAAGCACAAGCCTCATCATGAGAGTCCTGGCATAGCTGCCCCGCGAACACTAAGCACAAGCCTCATCATGAGAGTACTGGCATAGCTGCCCCGCGAACACTAAGCACAAGCCTCATCATGAGAGTACTGGCATAGCTGCCCCGCGAACACTGAACACAAGCCTCATCATGAGAGTACTGGCATAGCTGCCCCGCGAACACTGAGCAGAAGCCTCATCATGAGAGTACTGGCATAGCTGCCCCGCGAACACTGAGCAGAAGCCTTATCATGAGAGTACTGGCATAGCTGCCCCGCGAACACTAAGCACAAGCCTCATCATGAGAGTACCGGCATAGCTGCCCCGCGAACACTAAGCACAAGCCTCATCATGAGAGTACCGGCATAGCTGCCCCGCGAACACTGAGCAAGCCTCATCATGAGAGTACCGGCATAGTTGCCCCGCAAGCACTAAGCACAAGCCTCATCATGAGAGTACTGGCATAGCTGCCCCGCGAACACTAAGCACAAGCCTCATCATGAAAGTACTGGCATAGCTGCCCCGCGAACACTAAGCACAAGCCTCATCATGAGAGTACTGGCATAGCTGCCCCGCAAGCACGTAATTTAAGGTCCGAGCAACGAGATATATATTCCTGAAGGAACGGAATCGAAAATCCGAAGGTCTGCTCGAAGAACTTGGAAATTCTATTAACGCGAACTTGTACACATTCTATCGAACTCGGACGAATTTGAAAGTTTTAAATGTGAGTATGATCTTCCCGTTTCGGATTCGTGCCTCCAACTTCGCGCGTCCTGACAAAATTTCTGGTTCCGAAATCGAACTTGATGTTCGTTAGGTGTAGTGCGGTGGCTCCAGCCTGAGCGTGACTGCGATGGGCGCTAGCTCCACGTACAACTTCCCAACCTTTATACGGGCTTTGCAGACAACTAAAGAATTTCTTGCCTATTGTAACGAATACGATTGGATACTGAATTTGTTGGTGCTGAATGCTGCTGCTACTGCTTCCACTCGTGGCCCACCACGTTTGAGTGTTTGAGTAAGCATATCAAGGCTCTTAAGTGGCTTGCAGATTGGTACGGTAGGCGTCCCATAAGGCGTTTAATCATTTTATCAGTATTATCATCACTCTATCTCGGGGCGGCTTGTTCATTGTGTCGCACGGATGTGGTCTCGACTGTACAGTTCCATGAGAGGGCTGCCACAGGTCACCGGCATACAAGATTGGAGCGTGAATCTGGTCGGCTATGGCAGGGGCGTTGACTGTCGCCGACAGTCTGTCGGTATATGGGTGGGGGACCGATGCTGTTCATAACAGTGCCCTTATCTGGATTGAGCTGGCGGAGACTCCCCTACAGCTGGTGGCAGCCTCTAGCGGCAGGGTTGGGGATGAGAAGTGGAAGTCGAAAGTGGAGGAGATGTCAATACCAACCACGCCCATACCGACCACTATCGTAGGTAGATAAGCATGAGCTGCCCCGCAGAACCACGCCTTCTCTGGTGGGGTTCAGTGGCGTAAGAATCCTGCCTCATCGGGGCATGATTGTTTTTGATTGGTGTTGCTCGGCCACGGTATGTAGTTATCAATTCTATCGTTCTTATGTGATAGTAGCTTCTGCACTGGGAAGGAGAGTGTTGAGTGGTCGGGGGTAGTAATTTTGCCAAAAGGTTTTCGCCTCGATAATGCGACAATTAAAGCCTCATGAGCAGAAGCTGCTCCGTAAGGTGAACTTGTATCAGTGGAAGAGAGATGATAACAACGTCCGCGAGGCAAAGATCATCCGGAAATATGGCATCCAAGACAGAGAGGATTACACAAGGTAGGATGCCTTAGCGGTCTTACTCCTGGCCGAGGTGCGGGAAAAGATACAATAAGCTGTCGGGATTGGTCACGAAAGTTGTAGCGCAGTTGAGGAAACTGCCTGCTAGCGATGAGGAACGTATCAAGATGACCGAGGTCCTTCTTGATAAACTGTAGGGCATTGGTCTTAGCCGTATGCGGATGACTGTAGTCTAGATACACCATGGGAGTAATTCCCACCGCGTCGTCGCTGGACAAGTGCGTTGAGCTCTCAGCCTCGTCTTTCGCTCGGAGGCGGCTCTCAGTTGTTGTAACGCGGAATCACTTTACTGAGCAAGTAGGATTCGATGGTAGTATACTTGTAACCATTCCAGGTGGTCTTAGGTCTCGCAGGCTAACCGCTACATCGAACAAGGGCATATCTCTATCGGCCCCGATGTCGTTAGTGACCCAGCAATGCATGTCACAAGGGAGATGGAGGACTGCCTTCAGTGGAGCCAAGGGTCTAAGGTACTACCCCCCATAGTGGTATTAGCTTGCACAATCGTCTTTCTTAGGTCAAACGTAACGTCATGGAGTTCAATGAGGAGCTCGATGACTTTGAGCTTATGGGTTGACGGCTCATTACGTTTCTTCATACTACGTCCTCTACTCCGCGTTGTGTTGAGTTCTCTCAAGGCTGTCTCCACTACTGCCTAGGCACGGTACTTGAGCGCTCCTCATCTCGGTGTGTGCTTGATAGTCGTCGTAGTTTTCCATCCCTGCCACGTCCTTGTTCGTGTCCCTCTTTACCTGTATCACCATAAGCGGACTGAGAGATGGTTTGAAACTGCGCAATGCTGATTTAGCGAGGGCACCTGTCACCAGCGGGATTGCATCGCGATTGCCGAGGACCTCCTCGACCGAGTTAGGCAACTTTGTGTTCGTGGACACTTCACGCGTTACCTCGAGGACGACTGGGACGTCGCTATTTGTCTTGCGAAGTGCCTCGTCTCTTATTCGGATAGGCAGCGGTACGTTAAATGCTGACAGAGAGTTACTTTCTGACGGAGAGTACTGCAGAGTGGTCTCATCGGGTGATGTAACTGGAGAGCTCCTGTGAACGGGGCGTCGCTAGTAAACGATCTCGGCATGCCACGAGGCGAAGGCCTGAGTGGCCTTTTTGACAAGCAGGTCGGTAAGCTGTTGAACAATTGTAGCATGGTCGTAGTTAACGAACAATAGTCCTGGTTCTTGTACAGGTCCTGGCTCCAGGGGGAGGTGGATGAATAGATCGCAGCTAACCCGGAATCTGTGGCGAGGGCAAGTGAGAGTATAAAACGAAAAATGCGAAGAAATGATTCCCATTTGTGTTAAGTGTTCCTCAATAGTTAACTTCATGTCCTTCGTGATGCCTTTCTTGAGTGTGGTCAATCGTGGACAGTTGAAACCGCGCTTTTCGGGACTCTATTAGCTTGGATATAATGCCTTCAGCGTTGAGTGGTGCTCTTGACAATAGAAATGCTTCTACATCTATTCAATCCTACGTTCAGTAAGTGAAAGAACAAACTAGGTAAATGATATTTGATTTTCGCTGAGTGAAAGGAGCTTTTCAGGAATGAAATTTCAAATTCGGAATGAAAGTTCGTTTTCCGTAGGCCACTCGAAAACGAAAGTTCAAACAATTTATGAGTTCGAAAACGCAAATTCAAATTCGTCGAACACAAGACCATTATCGAGCAATGACTAACAAGTCGACTCACTTTCACACCATCTCGGTATGCATCATTCACACTCATACTCGAGGTACTTCCCAATGTGAACAGTTATTGTGCAGAGGAAGATTCATGAGTGCTTCTCCGGCTTCACGTTGGCTCACATCGAAGGGGTGATGGAGGATCAAATCCGAACAATCTCTCGGTTCGGACCTCCGATTATCCTCCACTGCTCGCAAACTGCACTGTACCGTTCAGCGTTACAGTGCAGTCCGTAGATTACCGTCAGCACTCACAAATCATAATCCATGGCACGACGCTGTTGCGAAATTGTTCCCATCGAACTAAAGTGAGCTTTCATTGGGTAAGTCCGTGTAGCCCATCCTCGCAGTCGTGCGGACTATGTCAACTGAAGCACTCCTCATATGGCCAGCTTTTCGTTTGTGTATATGTTTGTCGCATGTTAAACTTGAATTATCACCCGATACGAATTCGTTCTAGTTCATCCGCTTTATAACCCTTGACTCTCACATGGACATCGGCTCTTTCGGACTAAAGGAGTCCCTCGTGTCGGTTTACCGCACGAGAGGTGTCAACCAGCTGTACCAATGGCAAAGCGAGTGCCTCTCCCTCCCTGGAATTCTCGATGGCCATCGTAATCTCATCTACTGTGCTCCAACCAGTGGTGGCAAGACATTGGTATCGGAAATCGTCATGCTGCGGCGACTCGCTGGTGATGGTCGCCGAGCGTTATTCGTCCTACCCTACATCAGTGTAGTCTCAGAGAAGGAAGCCTATCTCCAGAGTCTTTGCCGATCTGCTCAATACAAGGTCCAGGCTTTCTATGGTGGTTCCTCTGGCAACTTCCTGGCGATGGAACGGTACGACATTGCAGTTTGCACTATTGAGAAGGCCAACAGCTTGGTCAACGCTTTATTAGAACAGCCAGGAGTCGATCCTGGCTCGGAGCTTTCTCGGCTCCTCGGTTGCCTCGTATTGGATGAGCTTCACCTCCTCGGTGACAGCCAACGAGGGTATCTATTAGAGGTCTTGGTAGCCAAAGTACGTTACTTCGCTCCTACATGCCAGATAGTCGGCATGTCCGCAACGCTCCCGAACGTCTCTGAGGTAGCGGCCTGGCTCGATGCCCGCCTCTACGTCACCGACTTTCGTCCTGTCCCTTTGTACGAGTATGTGGTCTGCAAGAGAACTGTTTTCACTTGCGATGAAGATCGAGTGCCAATCCGTGCCCTCGAGGATGCCAACAACCTTATGCCCCCAACGGACACTGACGGCTTTATGCTTGCTGTTTGGGAGGCTCTATCGATCGGCAATTCAGTGCTTGTATTCTGTCCTTCCAAAATGAAGTGTGAGGTGGCATGCAGCCTTCTGACCAAATCTTTACCATGGAGGTCTGCTCCTCCACCATCCCAAGAGGTCCATCATCACCGTCTTCAACTCCGCGCTGAGCTCGAGCTCTGTAGCTGCAACACTGGCACTGGACTGGACAAGAACTTGGCTGATGGTCTCCTGGTTGGTATAGCCTTCCATCACAGTGGTCTCACTACGGAAGAGCGAGACATTGTCGAACGAGGGTACCGGAGTGGGGCTATCACATGCCTGGCTTGCACTAGTACTCTCGCAGCCGGTGTGAACCTTCCCGCACAGCGAGTCGTCTTTCGTACTCCATTCATTGCCACGGAGTTTCTTGATACGACGAGATACCGGCAGATGGCTGGCCGTGCCGGTCGGTCGGGTCATTCGAGTGCCTCGGGTGAAAGCTATGTTATCTGTTCCAATGAGGTGGAGAAGAGACGTGTGACATCGATGGCCGTGGCGACGTTGCCACCTCTGAGGAGCGCGCTAGGCCAGAACTGTGTGGGCCTACAGCGACTTTTATTGGAGGTTATGGCGACAGCCGGCCAAATGAGAGACGATCAAATCATGCGGCTTGCGAGGTCCACCTTTCTGGACCGTCAACTTGAGGCACCAGGCAATGAGAAGAAGAGGCGCAACAGCGTGGCCGACGATTTTCCTGCGGTTCACGCCGGCATGAAGTACTTGCTCTCATCTGGGATGGTATACTTCAACCGTGACAGTCAACTTTATATGGCAACCCATCTTGGCCGAGCGGTGTGTGCTAGTGGTCTCAGCTGCGAAGCAGGTATCGTACTCTGGGAGGAGCTGAAGCGGCTTCGCAATGAGACAGGTCTATGCCTAGAGGGAGATCTCCACTTGGTGTATCTAGCCACACCATGGGAGGCATCAGTATCCGAGTCCTTGATCGACTGGAATACCTATGCTGCCGTCGTCGAGAGTGACCTCAATAGACAGCAGCAGGCCTCGCTGGAGGTCATTGGCATCAGCATGGCGAAGATACAACAAGCGTCGATACAGGGGAGGCTCAGTCAAGCTGTGAAAGATCGCGATCCAGATGGTTGCCGCCGAGTGGTGAAGTTCTACAGTACCCTCCTCATTTGGGACCTTATGTGTGAGAGACCCATCGAACAAGTCATTCATCGTTTTGGCACCAAGATTGGCCGAGGCTTGCTGCAGTCTCTCATATCATCAGCCAGTGCCTTTACCTCTTGTATCGCAGTATTCTGTGGTAAACTCCGCTGGAGGATCCTCGAGTCAGTCTTCGACACATTCGCTGGCCGTCTCTCCAGCATGTGTCATCGCCGACCTGAGCTACTTGCTCTATCTGAGATACCTAAACTTTCTCCAGCGTGGGCACGGCAGTTGTATGATGCGGGCTTCGTGAGTCCGAAGATGGTGGCTGGCGCTACTCCTCAAGAGCTGCAAGCTGTCCTACGACGTGTCCTTCCACGCCAGATCCCTGATGTTCCGGAAGACGCTCTCGAGCGACTTATCAATGATGCCGCTCTGACAGCCAGAGAGCAACGGAAACAGAAGTTGAGGGAAGCTAGAGAAGTTCAAGTGACGATTTCCCACAGGCCCATACCGGAGGCTCCTCCAGTTGTCTCTACCACGCCATCTGTTCCTGATGAGAATAACCCCGCAGTCCAGCCATGCAGCCCCACTCGATCAACTCGCCTGTCTACTGCCACTATGTTCACACCTGCTGGCGGAACCGAACCATCTCAGGCCGGCTTCACTCCTGCGACGGGGTACCACGACGTGTCGGATCCGGCAGAGTTCCTCTGGGCATCACAGCGCGATCGATGTGATGTGACAATCGTGGTGGACCCGGAGCGGTTATCGGCCGGTCTGAGTAGGCTCGGCCGCAGAAGCCTCACTTTGAAAGACAAATTGGCGAGGGCCTCAGCCGAGAGCCGATTATCTTCATCGGTACACTCTGCCAAGCGAAGAGATTGACAGCAGCTCCTCTTCGTACGTCGGGTGAGGCTGCCACTCCGGACACTTCCTTGCTCGAGCAGGACCTTGACCCGACGGAGCGACGCCGTAGTTCTGTAGCCAACACTCGAGAGCTGCAGCAGCGCCGTTGGATGGTGCACTTCCTCGCGGCCATGCCTCCTATCGCCTGTGTGGGATGCTGCTTCGACCTCGCGGATGCTATCCGGGAAGGAGTCAATGTTTTGGTATGTCGGACAGGAGTTGATGACAGTATGACCGTCATGTGGCGGAATGGCAATGCTGTCGAGTACTCGCTGTTGGACGAGTCAATGGAACAACTGCGGCGTGTTGTCGAGGCCTCAGCTCAGTACACGCTCATCATCACGGAATCCGCAGCTGACTTTTGGAGATTGCTCAAGCGGAAGCACCCCGAGATGCGGTGCTCCGCGTGCTCTTCCACGGTCGTAGTAGACCCACACCTGATGGCCTGGTTGCGCAACCCAGAAGACTCCACTGGTCCTTCGCTGGAGAAGTACGTCAAGCAACTGTCAGCACCTCACTACCTCGATCGTGACTTGAAGCAGTGCCTCGCTATCTACGCCCTCTGTACTGAGCTTGGTCGTGGCCTGGTGCAGCATTCGGGTCTTCTCGAACTCCTCGTCACGGTGGAGGCGCCAACTGCTGCTCTCCTTGTCGACATGGAGGTTACGGGGCTCATGGTTACTCCATCCTACTGGTTCCACCGGCAAGGCAAACATGCTAGATATAAAATGCAGGCACTTGAAGTGGCCGTTCGAGAGGCTGTAGGCCGCTACGTGGCCCTTGGGAATGCCGAGGACGTGAGTAAGGCAATATTCGACGACCTGAATGTGCCTGTGCCCGAAGGACTGAGACCACGGAAGGTGAAGAAGAACGGTCACAAGGTCTACGCTGTGGATCAGAAGACGCTTATGCAACTTGATCCTCCTGACCGCTGTCATGATCTATTCGATTGGATCATGGAACACAGGCGTCTGAGTCATGTACTGAGCAAGCACGCTGTCATCGACCGTCACGTGCTGCATGATGGCCTGCGGGTCCACACTACCTTCACGCAAACAGGTAAATCATCACAGCATTTACCACTGCATAGGACTATCTCAACAGGAACTGCCACGGGGAGGTTGAAGTCAACAGATCCGAATCTTCTCACGGTGGAGAATGCCTTCGAGGTTACTGATGTGTCTCGGCCCTCTGTGGCAACTGACTTCCAAAGAGGGAAGATCGACCTGCTTCAAGAAGGTATCTTCTTGCTCAATGCTTCTCCTCAACAGAGTGTAGGTACCGCTGTATTCGCCTCGCTTGTAACAGCCCCTCCACCTCTACATCGGGCCGTCTTCGATGCCACGTTAGTTTCCGTGTCCAATACTCTCACAGTGGCCGATAACATTGATTCTGGGTCGACCTCGACTGCTATGGGGGGCCGTTCTCTCGCTGAGTAATGTTGCAGCTCATTCAGGGTCTCACCGGAAGCCATTGCTCAGGTATTGGATCGAAGCCGGATGGCCAGACTACGACAACCCAGAACTTGCCTCCCGTGCGCCTCAATGCACAATTCAGCTTTCAACAGGGCAGAAGCTCGTGTGGGTTCGCCCGAGCTCTGTAGGAGGTTCAGCTTGGAGGTTGCCATGTAGGTATCCTGCGGACCAAGTGTTCCGGCAGAGTGCAGCAGTTGCAGTGACTGCCGATGCTGATGCTCGTAAACGCGTTATAGCGTTGCGGGACGCCTTCGTTGCTCCTAAGGGGCGACTGCTCCTCAGTGTTGACTACTGTCAGCTCGAGGTGGTATCACCTTCGGTTAAAGCATTTAAGACTCAGTCGTCATCACATCGCTCAGGCCCGGCTCCTGGCACACTTTTGCGGAGATCAGAGGCTCATCACTCTCTTCAACCAGCCTGATGGGGACTACAATTCTACGGGAAGTCCAACCTACGACATCTTCGTCCATATAGCGTCAACGTGGCTATCGAAGGCTCTCAATGAGGTCAGTGATATGGAGCGTAACGGCATCAAGCAGCTGGTCTACGGGGTGATCTATGGCATGGGAGCTCGAAGCCTGTCTCGAGAGATGGGTGTCACGCTGGCGGAGGGCGAAGCTCTGATGAGCAAATTCGACAACGAGTTCCCTCGGGTCCGGGAGTGGACGAGGTCGGTTATACATGGAGCCACGAGGGAGGGTGCATCCGTTCCGAGCATACTAGGCCGACCTCGGCATTTGGCGGGTCTTGGTGGTGGTGGCACTGCCCAAGAGCGGGCAAGAGCCCAACGGCAGGCGGTGAATACTGCGTGCCAAGCTAGTGCGGCTGATATCATGAAGGCTGCTACGTTGGAAGTTGCAAGGAGGCTGGCAGCCATGCGGGATGAAAACGGGTAAGTTCTCAGATTTCGTTGGCTGGACGGAGGCGACGCGCTGTGTTAGGCGACCACCGGCCGAAATACTCCTACAGATTCACGACGAACTGCTCCTCGAGGTCGACGAAGATCGAATCGAGCCTGTTGTGGACGCTGTTGTTGACGCTATGGTCACGGCTGTCCCCCTGACCGTTAGACTGCAGGTCAAATGGGGAGTAGGACGCAGTTGGGGATCAATACAAATAGCATGTTCCAATACATAGTTTCATACATCATCTCCCTTTGTTGTTATATTTACTATTAGAGGATAGGGGAGAAACACCGAGTAGAGACTGTAAACTAATATGACCAGCACTATGTTGAATACCAGTAATTTCAGAAAGTTGAGTACCCGCATGGCAGACTCCAGTTCTAGAGGTGCCACTACTGTACGCGATCTGAACTCAATAGGATCACGAAACCGGTGTAATTGGCTCATCCGAATGGACCTATTCCCGTTCGGCGGATTGACAATGCGTTTTCATGCAGTTGCACGAACAGCGCAACTGCATCGAGGTAGCGTTGACCTTCCTTGCCTCATCTCAAGAGGTCGTCGACAACAACAAGAGCATCGTTACTACCAGACACGTCAGTAGCTCTCTAATGTACAGCTATCTCTTCTGAAAGCTCAAAGGTCGTCATGCTACAATCGCTAATTACACTAGGAGATATTCGCCTGGTCGCTTCCCCGCATTTATTTTGACCCAGCTTTCGATGAGGAGGTACAACAGCGACAGAGGAATATGCTTCCTCCTCATAAGCATCATCGTTAGGCTTGCTAGCTCAAGCAATGGGCCCAAGTTCCACAGAAAAATTGTTCGAATCGAATCAGTTCATTTTGTTCGGGAGCTCGACCTTCCGCCTTTCAGTTCGCTGGAGAACCATCTGTCTGGTGTGAGCCATGGATCGATCTATGATCTCGTTCGCCACCTTGTCAACGCTCTGGTAGTTATTTTTAGTGAATGCCGCGATGTCGTAGTGCCGGTTACGATCCACCATTGGTCATCAACAGCAACGTTACATCTGCCCTCCTTCGTGTATTGGATAATGATGATGTTACTGAGGACGTAACAGACGTTCCATCGCTCAGCTGGAGACGACCGATGGTAGGTCTGGCTCGACAGTGCGTTAGGGAAAGGAGTTCGTATTGGCTAGGTCACTGCTCGTACGGAAAAGCCGTCCTGTACATTCGGTGGAAATGGCGGTATAAAACGGAAAAATATAAGTCTGTTGTTGAGAGGCGACGCAGAGGATTGGTGCCAGCTGGAGACCATGACCATACCATGCGCGAGTCCTCGAGAGAGAGTATGCCTGTTGGCCGATCCCAGTAAGCGTCTTTTATCGTTTCGCCAGGCACTGCACTTACTCGATCGACTGGAGCGTGATGAGAAAGACTTTGCTGAGGTCGAAGCTTTGAAATCGTCGTCTCCGGCTACTGCTAGGCCTAAGGTGCGTCAACATATCACTCGATCTATTCTGACAGCACTAGATGATTTGGAGGAAGGTGAGCACCCTTGGGCTTTAGTTGTGTATTTCGGATTGTTGTTGGTCGCAGATTTGAGCCGGGAATGTCGAGAGCGCGGGCAAGTACTGCGAAAAGTGATAGAGTTATTACATCACGGCGTCGATGCCCAGCTGAGCATGCTCGAAGGTGAGAAGCAGGAACTGCAGGGGGAAGTAAGAGGACTTGTGAAGGAAGTGACATCGCTGGGAGCGAAGGCAGATTTGGCGCGGGCAGCGGCAGTCAGAGCGAAGATCATCGAGGCAGGGTTACGGAGTCGGTTGGCTGAGTCCCGCGATGAGATCGATCGGTTATATGCTGAAAATGACGTTCTGAAGGCTGACGTTCGGTCGGCCCGTGCTCGGACTGAGAGTGCAGGAGCTGGTCCACTGGAGAGTAGTGGGCGTGCATGGTTTAGTGCGCTAGGCGAACTGTTAGAAGGAAGCGCGGCCGAGCCAGGAGTCCTCGGTTCATTAACGTCGGGTCTGCCTGCAGAGCTTGCGGAGGCCGTCAGGCTCCTTGCTGCCCATTCCTCCATGGTTCACGGGGAACTGACCTTGTCAAGAGTGGCCGTTAGGGATATTATGGCTCTTCCACAGCTGAGCGATGAGGAGGTGCAGGCCAGCAGCTTCCTGTCATCTTGTGATGGGGAGGTACAGACCATCGTTGGAGCTGTGATGGAGGTGGCTGTGGGAACTGAATCACCCTATCCCCAAGTTGATTCTGCGATTCAAGTCGGGTATTCAACGGATGAAAGCGAGTCAGAGGCGTCTTCGCCAACACCGTCAGAATTTGATTCGGAGGGCGATGATGAGGCCGTAGAGGAGGGTGACTTGGAAGCGGCAGAACTTCTCAGCAGTGACTTCGCCAAGTTGATCGATCCTTCTCTGTCGGGCTTAGAGATGTCTAAGGGGGCCTCTAAGAAGGCTGGTGTTTGGAGCCACACTGACCTGCACTCTACCATTGACCGGTTGTATGATGCCCTCCCTGGTCGGTTCAAGGCCACTGGTGAGCGTCTTAAGTCGGTTGCCTTGTCTATCATGGCCTCCTTGCGACAGCAGCATGGGATTCCATCGGTCGTGATGAAGAGGGCTTGGCAGCTATTGCGCAGTTTGATTTACTGGAAGTCTCCCCCTGGGCACGGCTCGTGTATCACATGTTCCACCTTTGTGAAAGTGCTCCTGGGAAAGGTCACTTTCTCGGATTTCCGAATCATGCTTTATTTCCGCCGACTAATGCGTCGGCGCAGCAAGCTTAAGCACGACCTTAGGAGCTTTGGAGTGAGACGACCTGAATCGGCGGTGGCTATGAGTTTGACGCATGAGCTCTTCTCCGATGGTATGGTCGTTGACGATATAGTCACGGCCATTACAGCTGTAGATGTATGGGCTATCGAAAATTGCCCCCTAGGGCCAAGCCGGTCCAAGAGCCTGATAGTTCAGAGCGAAATAGAGTCCAGACTGATCTCGGCTTTGCTCGATGGTTGGAGGAAGAAGCTCGAGAGCCTTTCGATTCACCACATGCATTGTGTAGAAGAAGCCGCTAATGCGTTCATAAAAGCAGATGTGGAATGTGCTGGTCTCCTGAACCACAGCGAATGTGTCGTAGCCGCTGGTCGTCCACACTCTAGTTGGAGAGTAGGAGAGCAGCAACAACAGTCTCTCTTGGACTCAATTCTCATGGAAGATGATGGCCCTTCTCATGTCGGTCTCCTTGAGTTCGCTTTAAAGGTAGGAGGAGAGCGCTCGTTGCTTTTACGAGAAAGCAAAGATGCCGCTGTAGAGGTTACAGAATTCGTCACTGAGGCGTTGGTAGGGCTTGGTCTGGAGGGACATGCTCATTGCTTGCTGCACGGTGAGGATCCCATAGGGCAGCATATTGGTCGACAGTATCGTAGTAGACTGAGTGCCATACGGAGATATCTTGCCGATGGAGAGGATGATGCCGTTCTGATTGAGACGATAAGCTTGCTAGCCCACTTCATTTCGACTGAGAATTCACGGAGGAGTGGTACGCCATCTTCCGTCACGCAAGAACCTCAACAGGTCATCGAGAAGGTGCTCAGACCCCTACTGGAAAGCGCTAAGGCTACTAGGCTCTCCCTGTTCCACAATCAGATTGAGTCTAATCTCCCTACAGACTAGGGTTGGCAGAAGCCATCTTAGTGATTTAGTAGACCATGATATCATAAACGATGTGATGATTGTCCTGCCGTATCTGTGTCCGAGTTGACAGTATTCTGAATGATCCGTTTGAGCTTAGTTTTTATATTATAGCTGCACAGTCCGTGCTTAGCATGAAGCAGGTTATAGCGGTTTCTCTGCTACTACTCCTGGCGAATGTCTTCTCTGGGCAAGTCCAGCTCGGGTCGCGCCCTTCCACTCAGGCACGGCTTCGACTAGGTCAGCTTGTAATTCTCTCAGGCTGTGGATCATCGACTGTTTAACCAGCGTTGGAAGTCGATGGTGATGTATCGGTATCACCTTTTTGGCGCCAATTGTGGGGCAATTGTGGGGATTTTTTCACTGGTCTCTTGTTCCTGATAGCTTCCCTCTCGACAGTCAAGAAGATGTTTTGCGTTTGAGAAAGTGGTGGCCGCAGCGTCACGCGAACGAACGTGAAACAAGCGGACACCATGGTCAGGAGCAGGAATGCTTTCAACGGGATAGTAAACAGCTGCTTGTACGGGACACGTGCTGGCTCAAATACTAAAACTCTCGAGTATTGAGCTTCGACAGTGATCGTCGATCCAGACCGTTGTCGGACGGTCGATACAACAGTCTGGTATAACGATTAGTACGACCAGGTTCGGACACGTTCGAAAAAGTCGCGGCCGAAAGCGTCCGTATAGTTGGTGTAGAGCAGACTCGCTCAATGGAGAATCGCGTGATGAATTGTTGGAAACCTTGTCTCATGTTGATATCACTCTTTTCTCGGCGATTTCCTAGACTTCCATTAGTGATCATCTGAGGAATCGCCTCGTCGCCTCATGTCAAGGTCGTCATGTGCATGCTGTCACTAGATGCTCGTATCGACACCACACTGCGATATGACAACTGCTCGTCTCACTAATAGCGCTGTTGGCGAGTAGAACTAGCGAACACGGGCTCGAGCATCGGCGAAAAACGAGGCACGATCACGTTGCTTGATTTACTGTGAACTACGCGTGAAACATTCATACTGCAATGGTGCTATAATCATGCGAGATAAAGATCGAGGTTCGGAGATGTTCGACAGAGCTGAGGGAGGTGAATTAATCGACTGGTCGCTGTGGGATTGTTGTTGGTGTTGGGATTCCCGAGTACAGTGGTATCCTGGATTTGGTTCAGGACCTTGGCTTCGATCATCACGTTGATCTGCATATGCTCAGTGTTGAATGGATTCGTGGTGAAGAGATTTGGCGCAACGACTGATACACGCAACAGCATAAATGCCAACATCGAAGGTAACACATACAGTCAATCATATTCCATGGGAAACTACATGTTAGGACATCACGTAGTCTTTTTATGGGCTCCTCATGTGTTGACCTGATAATACCCACATAGTATACAACTACGCCAGATGTTTCTCCTTCTCCTCGATGTGGTAGCACGCATGAAAGAGTTGAGCAGTATTATAGCGTAGCGATCACTAGCTTACCTCTCATTAGTTCCGACGTGTGAGCCGATCCCTTCACGTTGAGCACACGGACCAAGAATTTCCCCTCAGCGAATGGACTCTTCAGCCTCGCGAACAGAGGTAACGTGAAGGGTCGCAATCGACTCTCAGGACAGAACGATATTCGAAACAGCATCTTTTCTCGCCGCTTGAGCGTGACGACACCGCTAGGTTGCCAAGATACGCACTTGTCGCGGAGTTGGTCCTGTCCAAACATAAACTTAGCAGCTGCTGTTGAGGAGTCGACTCACATCAAGATCTGTCACGTTGAACGTGACGCTTGTAGCCGATCGGTTCACAAGCACCACTTCCTTGACGACAGTCTGCCGCTGTTCGAAAGAAACGCGACCGAAATCAGAAGTCTGCGATTCTGGTGACTCTGTCTCCAGGTAAAGTGGCACACCCCGACCTATGAATAAGGAGAGGATTCCAATGTTGCGTAACACGTGAAGACCCATCATACCCTTCAGTTGTAGGTTCATCTTCGTGCATCCATTCAGAGTGAACTCCACAGTTTCAGTGTAAACGGTCAGCTCCCGAGGGGTGAATATTATCGGTACCCTTACTGATTCTCCGACAGAAATTTCCAGGTCATCGGACAACTTGATAGTAAACTCTTCGCCGTCTCCAAGTTTCGTTGCGGTGACTCTGCATGGACTGGCATCCGTGTTCGTTATGACGAGTTCAGCCTCACTGCCGAAGTAAACATTTTCCGATGCTTCTGAGAGATATCGATGAGATGCAGAACAAGTTCTCGACGTACCAGTGGCGCCCGAAGAGCTCTGTGACTGGAGCATGAAAGTTGGGCCGAAATCTTTCTCGGTGAACGAGAAATTAACTGCTGGACGCCTGGATCTGCCAGAGAGGTCTATGGAATACACGTTCTGGCCAGGGCCGTTTCCTCCGACGAGAATCTGAGAGATAACTCCCTCAGGCGGACTCAGCGCCGATTGCTTGAATGACACCTTCAACGTAGTTCCCTGCAGGGTGTGATTATCAGGCGCCGAGTATTCAACTTCGATGAGAGTTGGCTCGTCGATACCAGCCGAGCCATGTGCGGGAGAGACTCGTACGAAAGGCGGGACAAGACCCATTCTTGGATTGCTGGGTACCTTTGTAGAGGACCAAAGGATGTATAGCTCGCTGATGCCGATGCTACAGCGTCAATGAGGAGCAATCAATCGATACACACCTGCATCATGCCGTGCCGGGTTGCTGTGCGTAACCGAGCAATATATTCCAGGTCGAAACTGGAGTGGTTCCGCAGAGACAGGAAAACGGATCTCCTCTCCATCACCTGATTCAAGACAAGTTGGAAGAAGGGATAGAGTCCGTTCCTGATAGCAACACTCGTGTTGCCATGCTTCTTACCTGCATGGAACCAAAGTCGTACTGCACCTTTGAGAAGAGCTCTTGCCCAGAGTCAGCATCGGGTGCCGTCAGCAGTGTCACTGTAGTCTTGATCTCGTAAGCGCTCCCTTTAACATTCAATATCACGGGTTCAACCTGGCGAAAGGGTTCTCGATCTATCGGGCGTGGGCGAGCCGACCTTCCTCTTAACATTCACGACGACGTTGAAGTTATATACTCGTTCTTCGAAAGGCTTGAATGTAACGGTAATGGGCAGATTAGTGCCGGGACTAACTACACCTATACGAAAGCAACACGTCTTATCGAGATGACAGCGGAGGAACCACTAGTTGATGACGTACCTTTCATAGGGGATACAGTGAGTGGAGGGTCCAGCCAACTCCCCGAGTCGATAACGAATTGAAATGGCAGATGCTCACGATTCACTAGGTTGACAGTTCGCCGAGTCTCGTAGTTGATGAGAACCTGCAAGTGATGGTGACGGACACCGCAGCCGGGGGCGACTGCCCTGTGACGTACTTTGCCAAAGTTGACACTAGGCAAGTCAACATCAACTCTTGGCTCTCGCACAGTCCCCACGAGCTGGAGAGGGACTACGAGATTCTGTGATGGTACACGGAATGTCCAAAAACTCTCGTGGCGGCCAGTAGTCATAGGGGTGTAGAGGAGCTCCATCTCGTACTTTTTGCCACTGGCGATCTCACCATCACGGGTCACACACCCGAAAGGTTGTAGGCTGCTGCCCGGCATCGTCGCTCCGGCATTTTGCTCATCGAGACCATCATCAGCCGCGCAGCCATCAGGCAGAGCTTGGCGGTGGTCAACCCAGAAGAATCGGTATTTCTCCTTGGTCGTGTTCAGCACACAGAACCGTTTGCGGTTGCGGACGCCAGTACCGAGAGACTCGAACTGGATGACTCTGACGTCATCTCGACCAGGCAACGTGGGGCACTCGATAAGCTCGAAATGACACACCGGGCACGTGGCTGAGGCGTCCAGCTCGAGCGCCAGAGCGGGTGTTCCCTCATCCACTTGAGGAAGCATAAGCTCTAGCCGCACAGTAGAGAAATCGCACATCTCCGTCGGACTGAACCGTACAACAACATCAAGTTTCGCCCGGGCGGAGAGTCTTCCTGATGACGGTTTCACCGTGAAGGCTCGATGGGCTGTCGAGCCGTGCGCTGTGTTGGCAACCCTCCACGAGTAGTCGAAAGAGATGTCCGAGGTGTTCTCCAGTACGAACGTGTGCTGCCTGGCGTGGTAGAGGATCGTCGTTACGAAAACTATAGGTTCCTCTTGAGTGCAAGAGTAGCTTATAGAGTCAGCCCTGACCGAGACTCTTAGGGGCAATTCAGTCGGCGAGTCACTCAAAGTGTTATGGATGGGCTCTGGTCGGGCAGTTGGTTCGTCGTTGCCAGTGAGCCGAGCGTGTTGTGAGTTATCCCAGGACACGCGCCCGCTGTCCACGTCGATCGCGATAAGCTTGAACAGGAGCCTAGCCTTTTCCAGGACAATCTTCTCCGCCGGCTTCACTCGTACGATCACCGTTTTGGTCTCTCCTGCATATACATGGCCGACTGAAGGCACGATGTCGATGCAGTTCCGCAGTTGAGGATCCGCGATCTCCGCCAGCTCAAATCTCTGTGTGTGATCGGATATGTTCTTCAGCCCGAGGGTAACTTCGTTGTCAGACCCGACCGGGACATCACCGAGATCTAGGAGGTCATGGAGATAGTAGCTGCCAACTGATGGAACGCTTTCATTCTCCTCGTCGTTTTCTTGAGGCAACAACCACTCCACCGGTAGCATTACGCCGCGTCCTGTTACCTTCATCGTGCGACTCTCATCTTCGTTATGCGCGGTGACAATTTTCAGTAGAAGCTCATCGTTGTCGGACGCCACTTGAGGGGCGTATCCTACCCTGACTTGCCGAGTCTCTCCAGGCTTCAATGTCTCAGTCGCTGGACCGGTGATGCTAAAGGATCTCATGCCTGAACCGCTACGCTCAAGTCTATAGGTGGCATCTATACGATGCTCGTTAGTGAGGAGGAAAGATACGTTTCGGGTCGCTCCGACCGGAAGCTCACCAAACTCGAAGCCCAAGTTTTTCGCGTCAGTGGTGGTGGTGAAAGCTGGGGCTTTCAAGGTCAGAGCGGGCAACACGCCATCACCTTGTACGTCGAAGGTAAGACTATTCGTTGAGGGGTCAGTTCCCGCTGGAACTACCGCTGAGAACTTCGCAGCAAATGTCCCAACCGCTTGTGGGTTGAATGCCATAGTGACATACCGGTACTCGAAAGGAGGGATGCTCAGGTTCGATGGTGATAAAGTGTATGGAGTGCCAGCGGAAGTACTCTCAATCTTACATTCAACATCAACAGTAATACCCGTTGGGTTCGACAATCTGAACCGTTCCGTCACCGACCTGCCTACCATGACAGGGCCACAGCTGAACAACCTCTCATCTTCGCAATACACGCGGAGATCGGCGGAGCCCGCTATCGCCTCAGCGTCCTCTCTCGTTTTACTCGTGAACTGTTCCTCGAACAGGAGGTGCATGTTCTCGGTGTCTAGTCCTGGTATGTAGCTCTCGCCCATTACCTTGACGACGATAGGCTCTCCCGAATCTGTTCCTTCGACCAACAGACCAAACTTGGCCGAAAAGTTGTCTTCCTCCGAAGCCGCGAATGTAACAGTCAGTTCCACAGTTGCCCCAGGCATCAATGCTCCGCTGGTGGGTGTTACACTGAAGGGTCCTACAGTCCATGTGGATTCCGATGCGGGAACGATTCCGTCGGTGGGAGCATCTGGTAGCCTGCTCATGTCGAGGAGGGACCACGGTGTCTCAAACACTCCGTCGTTAGTAACCTTCAAGATCTGGCGCGCGGCCTCGCCAGCAATGAGGGTTCCGAAATCGACGTCGGTTGAAGGACTGACAGTCACACGATTGAAGTGCGCCTTCGCCGTTATCTTGAACGGAGGCATCTCCGGTTTAACTTCCTCTTTTGTTCGAGTCTCTACAAGCTTCATGAACAGCTCCGGACTTTGTATAACTGACATGGCCCTTGGGCAGACCAGAGCGGTACTGACCGCCTGCCGGTGACCAGGCTCAAGGGTCGATCTCGCCGGATCCACCGATAGCAGCCTACGCATCATCTTACCCCTCACCACGAGGGAATAATCAACAGCATGCTCACCGTCGTTAACAAGCTCGAACGACCTCTCAGCTACCTGGCCTACTCGGACATCCCCGAAGTCTATGATGTTTGAAGATAACCCATCTGCCTTACTCGGGATCACCACAGATACCTGCACCTTGAAGCCTTGAGCTTTGAAATGGATTGGTCTGGGCTCAGGAGCGAAGCGGTTGAGCCCTTCACAGTCTCGGACCACCATGTTCATCACAAAGTCATGTGAAACGGTATCTTCGGCGTGGAAAATGATAGCGATTTCAGTTACTTCACCAATAGCTAGATGCCCACTCAGGGGCTCTATGGAGATTTCTCCTGGAGGAACCGTCTCGGAGTCCTCTGCCCGGTCACCGCCTGCAGCGAGCAACTCCCACTCGATTGGTATGGCCGCGACGTTCTCCATGCGTATCGTACGGCTGTCTCGTTGGTTCACCATCAGGCTCCCAAAGTCGACCAGATCGGTGTCGAGGTCGAACGCAGGAATGCCGCCCAGAGCCTCAACATCCCATTTGAAAACTTCAGGGTTATCCTTCACCAGAATAGTAATTGTGTCTCGAACCTGACCCTCACGCTGTGGGAAGCACCATAGTAGCAAGTCCTTCGTCTCATCCTGCTCAAGAGTGAACTGCGATGGTTCAATGACGAACGGGCATTCCTCCAGCGAGAACTGGGGGAAGTCTTCCGAAGTATCCGGGTCCTCAGTAACCTGGCCTGGCCCAGCAGCCATCGCGGAGGCCATGCTGCATCGGACCTCAGCGCGGAACAAAGAGTTGTTCGTGACGCGGAGTGTCTCGGCATGCCGCCGCCACAAACGCTCACCCGCCAGGCGCTCGGGATCGTCTCGATCCAGCTCAAAAAGTGCGTCCCTCATTTCGATGGTTCGACCGGCCAGAAGCGGGCCGAAGTCAAACACATTCTGAGAGGTTATGAATTGCTTCCTAGAGTAACCGCCACGTGGCCGATTCTTGACCCTCCTCATAAAGACGTTGCGGGAATCGTTGTTGATCTTGGGGAAACCAGCGAAGCCCGTCACGTCCACGAAAGTCTGCACTGGTGAGAATCCTCCGGCTACAATCTCGAATCCCAACTGTTCTGTGAACGTCCCCGTCTTGGTGACGTAGAACTGCACAATAATGCGCTGTTCCGCCTTTGATTGTATAACCCATCGAGATTGCTCTCGAAGTTCCTCTATACCTTCGTCGTTCACGATAGGAGTCAACAACGTGAAGAGACCGGAAGGTGCTCGGGCCTCGCGTTGAGTCGGTCTCCGGATAAGCTGTACTGTTTTCGAAGGGGGCAGTCGACCATACCGAGGGAACGAAGGCGGTTGGACAGTTGCTAGAATCTGCTCTACAGTGTTGGTCAGATCGGGTTCCTCCGCCGTTATCAAGATCTCATGCCAGGTCCTTATTCGGGATGTGCCCGGCTTTTGAACAGAAACTTCTTCAACGGCGTCATCGTTTCCGTTCACTGTTGTCTCCTCCCCAGCACCGACCTCAGCAGTGTCCCGGCCATCACTGGACACCTCTTGCCCCAGCGGCGTAGGATGTAGTCTATTGATGCGTGCAGACAACTCATCCATGTGCTGCCCAGCTTTCGCGACCGGTCCCTCCTCCTTAAACCA